GGGTGGTGATGCCGCTGCCAACAAGGAGCACGAGGACACGACCATAAATACCAAACACGGAATTACAGCCAGAGGCCACAACTCCGTAGGTACTTCAGACCAGTTGCCATTACTGTCGCTTTCAGCCTCTAGAGATATCACAGATCTCTCACCAGTAGATGAGGACTGGGCACTACCGCCAAACTATCTCGATGATGTTGACGTCTCGGATGGATTCCATGCAGCGACACAGTCAAACCAGTTCGTTGAGGTTGGTCTTCAACGATATGTTTTGCAGCCCCTGGTTCCTCTCTCGACTAACTTCAGAGAAAGGTTCAAGAAGATACCACCGCTGGGAAGATTGCTACTTCGGATAAATCGAGGCTCTACATCTCCGAAATAGCACCTCGCTCTGCAAACGCAAACACGACTGACATTTCCGGTGATGAAAGTGCAGATTTTGGAACGGATATCGCGTTACCAGGAACCAGTGGAATGCCGCCCAAGATAGGCCGACGGTTCTCTATCGAGTCGGCACGGATATTGAAGCAATGGTTAAGTAACCACGAGGATTATCCCTACCCCAGCCACGCAGATAAACAAAGCTTGCAGCTTTTGACCGGACTTACCATGACGCAAATCAGCAACTGGCTGGCAAACGCACGTCGTCGACGGCAAAAACATACTGCCAACCGCCGATTGCCCTCGTCAGACACATCTTCAGCCACGGAATTTGGCCGCCCTGGGACGCCCGTGCCTACCCGCAAAATAGGACACTCTTACGGCGAGATGGATCCAATTGAAAGATGGGTAGACTCTCCGCCAGAGGATGAGCCAGCATCTGTGGGCGATATTGCACGTGCGCTATCTTCTCGCCGGAATTTGATCAAAGGTATGTGTGCTCCCGTCGACCATTGGCCGATGCCCCATGCTGATGTGACTTCGTTCAGCAGGGCCTAGAGATTATCGTAACATGGACCACTCTTCGGGCCCGTCATCCGTCATCGGTGACAGCTCCGCAAGTAGTGCGGGATCCTCGAGAGATGAGCTCTATTCTGGAGCGTCTGCAAATTCACAAAGTTCTGGCAGATCTCAAGGCACATCTTCGCCACTACCCATACCACGTCGACGGAGAAGAAGACGCAAAATGGGACAAACAACAACTCTACTCCGAAACAGAGGTCCTTACCAATGTACTTTCTGCACGGAAACCTTTCGTGCGAAGTACGATTGGCAGCGGCATGAAAAGTCTTTACATATCCCACTTGATAGATGGGCTTGCTCACCTTATGGCCCCACAAGTGTTAACCCAGAGACGGATCAATCTTGCTGCGTTTTCTGCGGCGAAGTTGAGCCTTCATTGGATCATATTGCACGGCACAACTTTGATGCATGTAAGGATCGGGTGTTCAACCGAAGGGATCACCTCAAGCAACACTTACGCCTTTTCCACGATGCTGACGGAGTCGACTGGGCTATCGGTACCTGGAAAGCCTCCAGCCCTGAGGTGAAGTCGCGCTGTGGGTTTTGCGGAAAGAACCTTGCGAGCTTTTCTGAACGCGCTGATCACTTGTCTGACCATTTCAAGACTGGTCGAACAATGGCAGATTGGACTGGAGATTGGGGATTTGAACAATGGGTTCTAGATTCTCTGGAAAACTTTATTTCTCCTTGTGCGTATTCTTTTTATTGCCGTACTAGTCTTCTTACTATCATTGCCCCAGAGTTAACTTCTAATCATTGTCCATCACTGACCATGAGATTTGAATAGATCTCATTGACTTTGAGCGCAGCTGTCCTTTCCCTTTCGAGGCCAGTAATCGGCCCCCAAGCTCTCCCCGGACAGCCTATGAGCTCATTACCCTAGAGCTCGCTTTTTTCGTACAAGAGAACTTGGATCGCACAGGCCAGATACCCGAGAACAATGAACTGCAACTAGAGGCTTGTAGGATCATATTTGCGTCAGAAGTCCTTTCTTCGGCCGATCGCAGTCCTGAGCCCAAAGCAGCTTCTTGGCTCCGAGACTTAGTAGTCTCCAATCAGGAGATCACGCAACGGGCGAAATTCAGCCCTATAAGGACTCAAGCGGAAAGCAGACTCTCTTGTTTGCAGATAAACGGTAAAAGCACACTTTTTGACTCATGCTCCCTTGAGCTTTGGTTGCGGAATCATCTATACAGACTATGGATATCCTCACCCACGGCTCCCATCAACAGCGCCTTGCAGATGGAAGCGTGTCGAATGATCACTGAGATGGAAAGAAGTCTCTCATCTGATGGTGTTGCCGACATTGTGGCAAATTGGCTTACAAAACTCATCATTGCTTCATCCGATTGGCTTGCTCCCTTCAAAGCGCGTGCCCGCCTTTTGTGGGAATCCAACGAGAACCAAACATCCAATCAAGATTTGGAACAATCTTTTGGAGCCCTCTCTGGCATGATCCATTTCACTATGCCGCAGAATCACATTATCTCGGGATCGAACACATCGTTTTCCTTCTCTCAGAATCACACTTCAAATACATACTTCGAGCCAGCTACTGTTCAGACACAAGGCCTCATTGATTCGTTCTCACACAGCCTGAACACCAGCAGCTCAGGTCAAGCGGGCGCTGAAACCCAAGATTTCCTTTCCTTTCTAACAGCAACATCGACTTCTTCCTTTACTATTGGAGGCACGACAAGAACCGCCGGCGGACCCTCTACCCATCAACAACGGCTCGACAGCAACAATCAAGCTGCTTGGCTAAGATCAGGACAGTTCATTCTAAATAACTCTAGCTCCCATCGATGGCTGTCCTCAGACTTGAAGCGTTGGGTCCTTGCTACAATGTCACCAAGCAATCCCAACTGCCACGTCCCATCAGACGATGAGATCCGACTTCAAGCTCGTTATCTGCTATTTGGCGAGTAAGTTAGACCCCTTTCAAGTCATCAGCCTTAGAAGGTTCATCTAGACTATACTACATAGAGAAACTTACACCTCATAGTGGCGACCCTTGGAATCCGACTGAAGCCGACAATGAACAGTGGCTAGCTGTTTTCAAAAGAGACGCTGGCATTGATAGAGGCTCAGATTAGTGAAATACGACTATAGTAGCCAATGTGTGCCCTTCGGCTTTTGTTGCTGTTTCAATTCTTGTCAACGTTGGCGTGGCCATAGACGGGAAATTCGAAAGCTCACGGCCCTTTGGGTAACAGACTCTCTGCACGTGAATCATATGGTAAGTACCAGTAGGAAGCCGATTGATCAAATTTCTCATCATGAGTTAACATGAAAGGCACGCATTCGTCTCCAGATACGGGCCTTGCTAGTTTGGCTCTCAGGCTACGTTTCCATATGTAGTGGTAAGTGGTAACGCGAGTGAAAACACAGTTTAAACTACGGCCACGAACTAGATACAAGCCGGCTTTCTATTGAACGATTTAGGAATTCTTTTAAAATTGTTTTATTTGTCTACTAATTATCATTGCTTTAATCGAAGAGCATCATCAAATCGTTGTTCTAGTCCCTCCTCACACCAGGGCCCCCAAACTGATGTTCTATTTGTCCAGCAGTCTTTCCCCTGGCGACCTAAATGCCGTTCTACGGGCCTTTTAGCGGGGAGCTTGCTCGAGGTTTTGCCCCATACTAGAACTCGCAGTCCGAGACGAATCCTCCTACACGCAAAGACCCATACTGACATCCGACGAGCCGAAGATGCCGCGGGCAGAACAGATGGGTTCGTCACATTTGATAAACGAGCGGTGTCTGACGGCACAGTATAGCGTGTCCAAACATTTTCAGCGAAGGTTATAGTGAATGTGTCGAGGCCGAAAACACGTCAGTTCTCCCCGAGATCCTAACGAAGACTGGATGCCTCACTCTCACCAAGGTGAACCATGACATTGCCAACATGGACAAGGTGGAGGATCTGAGTAATTTTGGAGTGAAATTGCCTATTACAGAGGATTACCAGCAAGACACCGCCGGCGATTGTGGTGGCATGGACGTGATTGAACGACAGGGACACCAAAACGTATGGCTCACTGCGGATCCTGTCGAATTAGACGAGTCGGCAGATGAGAAGCTTCAAAACAACTTTGTGCCTATACCTGATAAAGTTATTAAGCTGCATGAACAACTTGCTAGAGAACACAGAATTGTGGAGGAATGGACAGTACCTCCGATTGCGCGCCCGTTCAAATTACACCAGCTATCTGCAGTAAAGGTTACGTGAAAATGGTGGGGACACTCCGCGTGCTGTAATGCTTTCGGTTGAAAACATAGCTCAGATGCATACGCATTCATCCATTCAGTCTTCCTTGACAGTGTGATGTAAAGCAGGTTTGTCAAATATTGGCTGATTGGGCACCTGGAGCTATTGTAAATCGAGATTCTTTAGACGCGAGAGAAAGAGTGAGATACATAGAAAACCTTAGGTTTCACTCCTTATAATTCAGTCGGCAGCCTGAGTAATTGTCTGAGACAGTAGCTCATAACGTCAAAGACGCCGTAGTACATATTTGATGCTTCGAGTTCCGTAACTATCTGTTCCAACACCTGAGCAGCTTACACTTAAACCCGGTTGCAGACTGCGTATTAAGGAGGTCGAAACATCGTTGATTATTTCCCAAGATCGTCAAGGGCTTGAGTTCTTATTTGAACCGTCTTCTCTTGGCCGAGGTGAATTCCATGCTCAACCTCGGCAAGTTGTGCACCAAATCCGGAAGTTTGATAGCGATGGAAGTCGTGGACAGAAATTTTCTTGTGGGATAGTTCATCAAGTTCTTCCAAGCTGCGAAATCCTGTCTCGGGATAGAAGGAGAAAGTCCATAGTGCGGCGGCAATCGAGAAGCTACCATAGATGAAACCGACGCGACCCTAGAGATTACCATAACCCTGTGCATAAAAGGGTTGATAAATGTGATTGAGATAGACACACAGAAACCACTAAATGTAGCGACAGTGATTGTTTTCTCTCGGAGTTGCAGAGTTGGTACCTCGGCGGTGACAATCCAGACGCTTTAAAACTCATCCGGTCAACTGGGTTCCTGTATGAAGGTGGGGCCCATACGTACAAGCCGACAGCCGCTGAGAACTGCCAGATAAACAGAGCTGCAACAGCTCCTCGGATTCCGGCGTCGTTGTTTGCAAAGTCGTAGCCCTTGATGATGGAGACAACATACATGCAGAGGGCCATGACGATAGCGTTTAGAATCAACATCCATCGACGACCAAAACGATCAGGCAAATAGAATGCGAAAGCGCTTGCGATGATTGGCACAAACAAGAGCAGAACGATGATTTCGTACTCATTTCGGATTCCAATTGTCTGGAAGAACACCACAGCATACGAGGACATGAATGAGCTGCCTTGGGCCTGTTGCAAGCACTAGACGCCACTGGCGATCAAGGTTCGGCGCAGGTTAGAACCCCTTTCAAGGCTGCACGTCAGCCCACAGCAACCATTGGGGATGGAGATGATATAGAATTTCTCATTACTTACTTGATACAGTCAGCCCAGGTACTACTGGAATGGGCCTCATTCTCCTCTTCTGAAGCGTGAATCAGCTCAATCTCCCGCTCGACCATGTCGCGCGGTGTGTTGGAACGCAGAGTGACAAGGGACTACATGGCTTCGGCCAGGCGTCCTCTGCCGAGGAGCCATCTTGGGCTCTCAGGGATCAAGAAAGACCCGGGAATAAAAATCATAGGCACCACGAACTGGAGAAGAATGGTGGTGCGGTATGCCCCCGCTCGTGCATGCTCCATTTGCAAGTATTGATGAGGACCGCACCGACGCCGATAATGAAATGATAGCAATTGACGAGCGTACCCCTGATTGACAGCGGTGCGACCTCGGCCAGGTAGGCGGGAATGGGATTTGCCAGGACTCCCAGGGCCATAGAGTTAATGATCTGGCCCGCCACAATCTGCCAGTACGAGTCGATGGTGGCACTTTGGATGAGAATACCGACGATGGATACGATTGACGACCCACGAAAGGTGTTAAGGCGACCAAATTTGCTGCCTACAAAGCCAGAGATGAGCGCACCAATGGCGAGACCTGCCGTTGGCGGTGCACTGCCTATGGATTGCCAGGTTGAAGGCATGGCCCACGAGTTGGTCTCAGAGTCGAAGACGCCAAAGGCCTTCTCAAATTCCTTCATACCCAGAATTCCAGACCAGAATCCGTAGTCTGCAGTGTTATGCTTGTCAGAAACAATGGGTACAGTGCGGCGTAACCAGTAAATGCAGACAGAACATACCTGCGCCGAATCCGAGGCCGCCCAACTATATATGGAAGCTAAGAACAACCTCATAGTCATCTCCCTGAAGATATCCGTCTCCTTGAAATTCAGTGGGAAACCCATCTTTGAGACTAGTCAATGCGATAATGTATGTATTAGTAAAAAGATGATTGCGTCAGATACCACCGAGTTTTCAGAATTGTTAACTGGCGTGGATGGACAGACTGTAACGTGCTACATATAGGAAAGGTGGTTGCTCACTCGGAGCTGGATGTTGAGTATTGCACCCTCGTAGCCACAGCCATCCTTCTTAGCGGAGGTTGAACTAAGGTCTTATCAAAGTGTCGAATATGGTACTCTCATGGCGACTGTTATCTTTCCCGGTGGATATTCAATGGTCTCCACCCTCAACAATATATCGGACAAAGTAATCCGTAGCAACGGCTATCTTCCCCAGCTGATCCCACCTTTAGACACGCTTTAACACGCCTAGTCATATATAAAGTCCGCATGGCCGATTCGAAACCAAACAAGAAGACCCCTTCGCATGCATTATATGATGAGATAAGGGTGTTCGCGTGATACAACGACAAGTCAACAGTTCAACAGCAAATTATAACGCATCACTTGAGTAAACACATTAACAACAGTAAGAACAAAACTTCCGAAATTGGAGCGATTCACAGCTCTATGACACGATGTAACCGGTTAATTAGACAACCGTTTTGTTACAAGTCATTGTGAGCTTCATAGCTCTCAACTATTAACACGTGAGAGAGTACACATGCACCGAAGTAAATAGCCATTCTCGAGGATGACCTCCAATAGAGAAGGGCTAAACATGAACAATTCAGAATGTATTCATCTCTATTTGCCTATTTTCTTATCTGCCATTTGATTTGATTGTTCTGCTTCGGGCTTGTGGCAGAATCGAAGCCGCGGACTTCGCCTAGAGACGAGGCAGCGGCTGCATCCCTCGTGGCCCTTCTTTAGTTCATACAGCTCATGGGGAATTCACGGTGAATTGTTGCATTTCATAGTATCCAGGTCAATTGCGAAGAAGTCGACTACGAACTGACAACCTAACTGCATGCCAGTATGTTGACACTATCCGGCTTCAGTTGGTGGATTCGGTCTCTTTCCTACCCTAAAGTTTATGTCTTATTAAGGCACATGGACCTGGTTTATGGGTATAGTTGCAGCTCAGATACGACATTTTGGTACAGCTTGTGACCTGCTTATGAAAAAGATAGGCCTTGATGGCGGGCATCCCTAGGTTTCCCAACCCTGACGACAGGCTAGTTGCGAGACGATGCCTTCGAGAGATGGGTTACCTATAGCAATGTTCGAAGCACTACCAACCTCTGATAATATATTATAAATAAGTCAAGAAGCTTCCTCCGAAGGCTTGGCATTCATGGTGCTCACAGATAAAAAAGTGCACACCAACAGGCAGAATATTCATGGGGGCTTTTTTTTTTCTTTTTTTCTTTCCTTTTTTGCCTCGAGCAATATAACAGGTATACGAATTACCTGATTACACGGTCGGAAGGCTACATTCAGCATATACCTTGAGTGAGACGAGCCTGAGGGTCAAGTTAGTGGGCGCGGCTTGAGCGGACTGAAAACTCACACGCCTACCTTCCTCCGTCATATCAACGACGTTTGAACTGCCGCAAAAAGCATACGCTCGTGTTATTGCGGCTGCCTGTCTCGTCAAGCTTGAAGTCTGACTCGGGCGATTCGGCATGCCAGGGAAGTGTCTTCGGCATGCCGAATCTCGGCGTTTAAATGCCGACTACCAGTTAGCTGTCACTCACAGCAGGGAAATGCCTGACACACTCACTATCATCAGGCTAGTCACGGATCAACAGCCTCTCAATCATTGTCAATTGCTGGGGTCTCTATTATTTACTCAGGATTCGAATACTTGCATACTCAGACTCCTCGGTAAGTCTTTTCCATGCATACTGCATTGCAACTTATCAGCTCCCAGCAACCGGTGCCCGCTTATCCACTTCTGATCTGACTCGCGGCGCGAGCCATATTGCCATGTTTTGACCATCAACTAACATATTTCAGGTTCAGACATTTTCTCTGAAAGCATTGCGTGAGATATCACTGACGTGGAGCGCAAAATTGTGCCGTCTACTCTGCCTACTTCCACGACCGCATTTCGGGAACATTAAATGGTAGCTACAGGCCGGCTCCGGTCCAGCATAGCCTGTATCCGGTGCAGACGTTCCAAAATCAAGTGCGATAACACTGTTCTCCTTGACTCGCCTTGCAAGAACTGTAGAAAGAGCGGGAACGCATGCGCTTGGCCAGTGTTAGCCCCGTTGCCAACCAAAAGACCAACTCCTCAAGCCGCCACAGATGAGCCGGATGCACTGTCAACTACAAGCGCCGGTTGGAAGAGACCAAAGAGAGTTGCAAGCAATGAGCAAACTGATGACGAGCGCCACACGGTACTGCAAGTTCTGAAGGGTATTGACAGGGCTTTATGGGATAGGATTCTGGTTACATATCGACGTCACCTTGTTACCGAGCTGCCTTTTCTCCACATACCAACAATCAAAAGCAGGGTGTACAACCTAACAACAGGAAAGGCTCAGGTATCCTTTGACTCGCAGCTTGTTCTTCTTGGACTCTTAGCCTTGACTGGAAAATATCATCCGGAACTCACGAGCCAGACTGACATCACTTCGGGCGATGCGGGACTAGGGACGCACAGCGTATCCGACGCGTTTGCCAAAAAGTTGAACAAGTCTCTCGGCTCATTCATCATGGTGACCTCTGTTGGATCAGTCGAGCGTGTTCAGGCTTTACTTATGCTTGGGCTCTACGAATGGGGTTTTCCAAGCCATGAAGGGCTGAGGGCTTGGATGATTGTTGGTGCTGCCGGGAGAATGGCTCAGGCACTCAAACTGGGTTACGAGACCGGGACCCATTCGATAGAGCCTAAAGCGATCGAAGGAGCCGTTGTTGACTGCGAAGTTCGGCGCAGAACCATGTTTGGCTGCTCCATCTTCGACCGCTTGATTTCCTGTGGGAAGGAGAGACCGTGGTTAATACGATCCGAAGACATTCACATTCGTTTGCCATGTTCGCAGGAGGACTTTGATATGAGTCGCAAGACAAACACCGCATTTATCTCGACAGACATAGCTGTGTCGGCGACAGACAATCACTGTAGCCTCATTGACAATTTATACGTCTGGTTGATATCTGGGGCCGCATTTCACAATATACCAATGCCGGGGGTCGTTCCCAAGACAAAAACGTGCCGCCCTGGAATATCGATTCCAGATTTCACCGTTTACGGCAACAGCTGGAGGCATTCAACCAGGAAATCGAAAACTCGACCTTGCTCCTCGGACTGAATCCGTCTAATCATTTTCGACACGAGAACAACTCTAGCACCTATATCCTTCTTCGCCTCCTGCTATCACTCTGCAAGACAATGCTTCATCGCCAATACCTCCCTTTCACACCCATTAAATGCCAACGACCGAGCGGTCCATTAGACGAGCCTACTTTTCCATCTCACTCGGTACCACCTGGATTCTGGGAGGGTAGTGCCAGTCAACTATTCGCGGCAACGAAAACAGTTCTAGAACTCGTTGAGCTGTGCGGAGAAAAGCTTCCTCACTCTCCTCTGGCTACATTTGTCGTCTACACGGCATCTTTCACCAGCCTTTACGCTCGTTACTTCCCTCACATGGACCTCGAAGGCTCTCTAAAGAGCCAAAGCGAGCACCCTATACACTATGACTCATCGACAAGCTTTACAGATGGCGTTACCAAAGTCATGTTTGACACCCTTGCCCGCCTTGGAAGATACTCGGGCGTGGCATCAGCGTTCATCTCCAGGTTCAAAGAAGTGGCTTACTATTTCTTTTCCATGATCCAAGACCACCACCGCAATCTCAGGCATGGTGTCTCATCCCAATTGTTCGACAACGAGAAGCTGAGTGTCCGTTTAGGAGGCAGTACTGGGGGGCTAGAGGAATGGGTGGAACGGTCCGATGGGATGATCAGCAACAGCAGTATTGTCAAAGGGAGCAATAATCCGGCTACGTTTGAGGAACTTCACTCAACTGAATTTGAGTTGTCGTCTCTCAAGGGTATCGGTGGCCGACAACCTCATGGATGTATTGCCACACCGATTGAGGAGTCATCGGTGGACCAACAAATCACTCTTAACTCCACAGACGGCGCAGCGCTGCTTGCTTCTGAAGATTATTTGTACACTTCCCCGGTGTTATCAGCTGGGAACCAGGCAACAAACGGTGACTCGGCCATGCTTCTGGGAAGCACTGAGGATTGGAGCTGGGGTTTCCTCCACGACATGTACTTGGGAAGTGCTACTTTTGACCCTATAGATTTTGATTCCGGCCGCCAGTCTTGATCTATGATTCGGTTAAGATACACTATATGTTCTATTCGACGGCCACATCACTCATGTGGTCCATATTCTGAGCAGGCAGCTGGATCTGTATGAAAAATGATGTATCGACCTTGAGCCAACGACGCCGATCCAATATTTCACTAGCCAAACTCACCAAGTTTCGAAGGTCATGCGACGCGACTTTTATCCAACGATAGGGTTCCGTCTTGCCTGCATAGAAGGAGGGGGGTTTCAGCAATCTTAAATACCTTCAGAAAGTCTAGGGTTACATTCATGTATTCCTCTTTGTTGCGTTTCCTCATAAGCTGTATCACACTGTCGAGGGCGAAGCTCGAAGCTCTGGTGCACGACATGGCCAGAGCAAAGGCCTGACCGGAGTATGGTAACACAGCGACATTTCCGCATTTCGACAGGAACGATGGTTGTTGATGATTTCGGGTACGGGGATGATACTTTTGACTCCATGGCTGGACCAACTCTTGCCTTCAATTTGGGCAAACGATTAGTGCCGCAGACGCTGAAAATTCGGTTTGCATGGACGATCTGGCTTTTGGAGCTTCTTGAACCCCCTGAAGAGCTTAAAAGCTACGATGCATTTGAATGTTTGCTATTAAAAAAGATCCGACGGAATGTTATCTTTTTCTGAAGGCAGTTGATTAAAATATGACATCGCTCGCATTTAATGAGGGTTAGTTCACACTTGTTATGAAGTGCGTTCTTGAGGAACGCGCTTGTAATCTATCAATTTCTGTTCCATTGGTCAACAAACTTTATTTACACTTATCTAACAGTAAGTTCAAACAACCAAACGGCTGCCTCATCAAAGCTTGTGCCTGCTGATTATAGACACTAGAAGATATTTGTCCTCGAACATGGCATCTTGGTCTAAAATAGTCAAAGCATCTCGATGAACCTTCTTGCCGCAAAATGTGATAGCTCCTAACTAATGGGCCAGGTTTGCAGTAAGAATTTGCTGGAGTTGTCGGAGGGCATCGACACTCATGGTGACGTTAACAACATCTGAGGCCTCCAGGCCATTAGAAGTCGCCACATCAGGATTTGGATAATACCAGCAAGCAATAGCGATGATTGTGTAAACAACCTGAAGCTATCAGCATCTGCAGACCTCACAGTCTCCTCGTCGTCGTAAAATAACTCACCACAAGCAAAGCTCCCTCAAGCCAGTTTGACTCTCCATCTCGTAGGAAGTTCCCAACAACAAGAATCGAGAGAACCAGCAGCGCAATCATGAAAATCTCGAAGTTCAGGTCCATAGGCTTCCCAAGAGCCCAACCAACGAGAACGACAAGTGGACCATTGAAAAGGGCAGTTTGGATCGAAGGAGCAAGGCAATGGTAAAGTGCCACATTGATGACACCATCTGTTCAAAAACCGAGGTCAGCATTGTCTAAGCCGTTCCCAAATATCGAGAGGAACTATTGGAAACACCTAAAACGCAACTTACCCCAAGCCTCGTCGATGGCCGTCAGATGCTCGGCGGCTTTTTCCACAAGAGGGAGGAGAATCAAACCCAAGAACTGATCCGGAATTCCACTGTGCACAACGTGTTCGATTTCCTGAACCAAGAAAATGAGAAGAAGTGTAACAAGTACGAGTGATATGATGAGGGCAATTGCAGTTTCAGTCAAGGTAAACTTAGGCTTCTCCATGTCTGCTTCACGGTCAGCATCACGGTGCTCGTCTGTTTCTATGACCTCGTCAAAGATGCTATGCTGACTGCTGGCCTGGTACCAGATGTACAACAGAAAGGCGATAATGAGAGCAATCGAGGTTGACTGGCTAATACGCAGCACGTCGGTCTGAAGAGTGCCCTCGGTGAACTTCTCGTGCATCACGCGCAGGCCAGGAAATTCCGGCATGGTCTCGGATTTGAGGGCGGAATAGAAGGCACTGGGGATGAGAAGTCCAAAGGCTGCGACAAGGAGAAGGCCAGTGCCGACCTCAGAAACAATAGCGTGAAACTTCTGGCTGGCGTGGCGGATGCCACCAAAGAAGAAGCATAGGCCGAGACAAAGCAGCAGGTTCGTTAAGATACTACCAAGAATGGCGGCTTGGATAATGGGGATCAAGTTGCCTTCGTCGCCATTCTCCACGGACGATGACGTGTCATGCTTCGTGATGAGTACAACGAAGAGAATGATCTCGACAATGGAGCCAAATGTCGTCTCGATCAAGATGCCGGCCACCTTTGGCATCTTTCGAGCGAATTCCTGACCTGCGAAACCCAAAAGATTGGCAGAGGGCACGACGGCCACGTAGGCAGTGGCAAACTTCCAAAGGTGCAGCCCAGGTAGGAATTGAAGCACAATGGCAACCAGGACAACGGGCCAGAGTACGTTGACCAACATGGAGGCAGTGCATGAGCTGCGCCATAGCACAATCAGGAAGTGCCGTAGGTGGAAACCGCTTCTTCCGCTTTCGCCCTCGTGAGCAATGCGACTCGAGATGGATTCATGGGCGGCACGGAACGCGGCCGTCGGGAGAAGCGGGGTTGATTCATGGCTATGCTCCGTGCCACCGTTGCCGACCGCTGGAGATGGACGGGCTCCGTGGTTGTCCGTCATGCTGCTTAGGCGGGGTTCCACCTGGTGGGCGTGGTCCGTGACGGGGTGAATGCGGGGATAGGGGAAACAGATAGGAAGAGGTAGTGAATGAGACGACAAAGAGAGGCTGGAATGAGTGTAGATGATTTAGGAAAACAAAAGGGAGTTCCTCACTTGTGGCAGGACTCAGGAGATGACCATCAACGTCTAAAAGGCTTGGCATTCATGAAAACTTGGCACCATTTGTGGAATGTTGCGCAGTACCCATGCAATTGCATTATTAGATCTCGGTTGGATAACTGGGATAATTGCATGGCTGGCGCTATAACGAGGCTAGTCCTATCTCGTAGTATAGAGCGAGACTTTGTGGCACTCACTTGCTGGCTTACGGCGCAAGTTGTACAGTTTTTACGGTTGAACCTGACGCGTTTCTAGGGATACAACGCCTCAATGATTTCCATCCTGCCAGTGTACCGATGCAGAGGTGTCTTGGCCTTGTTTGGTCAAAGACCTTAACGTGGGACTCACACTATCTTGCTCTAGGGTAAAGTCTCCCAATCCATCGTATTGGCTATTGTTATTCTTAGATTCTCAGGACCGTGTCTCTCCACGTATGGAACCCTTTCATGGCTCCTAGTCGAGACACATAGGGGTCTTTTTCCCCATTTGTCAGCGCCTCCAACTCTATCAGTACGTAGTAGTAAATCTTCGACAAACTCTGTATTCGTTACTACCAAAGTCTGTCAAGAATAAAGAGGCGCACCTCAAGGGCGCCGGACTCGAAATTGGCTTCCCTTTGCCGACATATGAAGGATACACCTAGGGACCCCGACCTGCCAAGAGTGTCATCTCGAGTTCATGAAAACTCAGCCTAGTCACGAGTTACAGTCTACAACAAGCACACGCCTAATCGACCGATGTGATAGTCTAGGGCCGTGCATGAGCATACGACATAGCCACCTGTCCACTTGACTGGTTCTAGAACTGACATGACACACAAGATGCTTACGTACGATTTTATCACGTGCGTCAATGCGAGTGTCAAACTGAGACTTAGAGATCGCCAGTTAAGGTCAGAGGGCCGAGCGCCGTTCTCTAACTCCGCCTGACGCCGGTAGGTCTTGACGCCCGCATGCCGGGGCAATGGACGCGCCCGTCGTCTCTCCACAGTCCGACCGCAGTGGAGCATAAAGTCTTCTTTCCCCGCGTTCCTCTCGTCATTTGGTGGAGGCTTAGCTTGCTACATGATGGCCAGATCGGTAAGCCAAGACTTTTAGACTCTTATTGTGCCACGTTGGACGAGGATAGGGGTCTTCGGATCGTTCGACTAGGTCTGAAGCCTGGAGCTGGCCAGTAGATTGGTCACAAGGTTAGTAGCTAAGTCTACCACAGCTGCTGGGAACTTGCGTCTCCCCACGAATCATGTTACGCTGCAAACTTTCATTTTGCGTTTGGCTGTTTCCAATAGCGTGCATAGGTGCGTCCTAGATGCCCCGGAACCTAAATTAAGGGGCGATCTGGTCGTCGCTATGGCGGCTGAAAAGACATAACGTTGTTCAACATCAGATGATGTTTGATGAGGAGACAGAAGCGAAACTCTGAACGGAGCATGATCTTGTGATCAAGAACCCCCCACCTCCTCTTTATTTATTCTACCCCAATCACAAGCATTTGAAAAAGTGGCAAATTCGGTTTCCTTGACTTTCTAATCATCCCGACGTATATATAACAGTACTCTTGCTGTCCATCATCGTCCATAGTGCCTCGTAGAGCAAGTCCAGACACAAGTAAGGAATTTATTCGCCATGGCTACATCACCTCAGCTAACGGGCCGCCGCCAAGTCAACCTCGACTTGACCCGGAAAACCTCTCCGCAATATTCTTATTTCGACACTACAATGTCAGAGAGTCCCACCACTCCTGCGCGAGGACAAAGAGACCCTGGAAGTCCAACGATCACGGGCATTCCTTCCATTTTGACGGTTCTCCGTGATCCCGAACCATTCAAAAACGATGACCGGCGAGCGCAGCAATATCGCCAACAATCTCCTGAGACCGCGTCCAAGCTGGCGCGTGAGACTCTGATCAGCATGTGTAAGACTATTGGCCTCGTTGGCGCACAGCTCAACAACAGTACAAACGATTCCGACTTCCAACTTAGGCAGCTTATTCACCTAGCACGCAATATCACAAAGAGGCTGGACAACCCTGAGACCAACGGATATGCAGGCCCTCCACGCATGGAATGAGTTGGTTGTAACCCAGATGATTAGCATAAACAGATTGACCAAAGGTATACTGGGAGGTGCAGTAGCATACTGGAAGGGCAGCGGCGTTTCTGCAAAGCTTGCTGGGTAGCAAAGCTTCATTATCGGATTACATTGCCTGTACACGTGGTTAGGTAGATTGAAAATCCCAGACTGCCTATACCATTTTTTCGCTACCAACCCCTTAGACATTGGCCAGAGGCCTATTACAACAGGTGCAAGTATCGTGCCATCCTTTCCTATCTTGATTCACACTGCACCTTTACCATATCAAGCTTTTGATCAAGCGAGAACTACAGAGTGTATCTGTTCCTTGCTTATCTTGTAAGGGCACGTCGAACCCAGTTGCTTGGTTTGAAGATGCTCACTCACTCACTCACTGAGTGAGCAGTCTTTATACAGTTAATTGAAGAAATTGCAGTCTTCGATTTAGAATGTTCATCAGCAGCTTGTTCTATAATGTGATGCGGGAGCTTTCGTGTCCGCGGCAATGTCTGAGTCGTTTCAATTGAATTCCACTATCTTCCGAGGGTCAACTTTTTTCGAATTCTGGTTGTGTAGGCCGGTGTTGAGCTGTCCTCACAGGCGTGTAGCCGCCAGATCAGACCCTATCGTCTCAAAAATGTCGGAAACATCTAGCTGAGCAGCGTCTGAACTCGAGAAAACTTTTAGGTATTCGGCTCCCTTGATGGGCCGTGCAGGGGACTACAGTCTATCACCCTGCTCTAAGTAAGTTTATCACCTCAGCTCCCATCATCAAACGTCAGCTAGTCCTTTCAACGTGTCTCAGAGGGCAAATGACTTGCAATCACAGATTTCGAGTCGGCAATTCACTCTTTGACCTAGAGAATCTGGAGCTAGGGTCTATTATTTATCATGCCACGAGCGGGAGGACTGGTGCGATATTTGGAGAATCTCAGACCGTACACAATTTATTCCGCATATGTAAGGGCAATCAATCATCTGGGCCCACAGAGGTATTTCTGTGGTATTTTGGCTTAATATACTGCTCAACTTCGGTGTAAGTTGGTATCGAGGCAGATGAAATGCGCCTTGAAAGGTTGGTCAATTTTTGGCGTGTCCTCGAATTTGCGAGAGCACCTTCCAAGCTCAACTTTCCACAATGCTTCCCTCGGGCTTTCAATATAAATCTGAGCGTATGTAGCTCTTCATCAACTCTGTCTGGGCCATACATATCGCTGCAACCTAATGTGGCGGATGATGCTCTTAAAGCTGGCCTAAAATGTCATGGCAGTAAATATTTGAGCCGCTCACAGTGCCAATAGCTGACATTGCCAAAATCATGGAGCCCTTCACGTTCGACGATGTCAATAGTTGCGCGCTGTTGATCAAATTAATTGCGGAAATAGCCGAAGCCCCCCCCCGTGCGCCGTCATCTTGAACTATTTGCCGAAGATTCTACTTTAGGGGGATTAGTCGACGTAATATCGATATGATTTTCATCTTGCTTGGCCTCGTCATAGTGAGCCGTTTTCTACCTTATATCATCCTGAGCTGCAATCACAATACCTTAGCAGGTTCTGAACCATCGACTTCAGAAGCGTTGTCTTGTCTCTTCATCAGCTGAAGCTTCTAGAACTGTTTGCAGTATCTCTCGGAAATTTTGGCTTGCTCCTTCAAGTGACAGCTCAATGTAATCCAATTAGCTCAAGCTCACCTAGCATATGGGTGAAGACAGTTTGGAGAAATGAGAGTAGAAAAAGCCAAGGTTTGCGTAGTATTCTCGATAGATAACTGTCGTTCGGAACTAGTGGCCGTTTGATGCGATGGAATTTTATATGAAATACAATTTGGGAGTTTGAGTTTGTCATATTTTAATGATTCTGCTTGAGCGGTTTATTACATTATGGATTATCAGCTTTCCGCCAGCTATGAAGGATCACGACGTGTTGCCATAAAGTGCTCCGTCGATCTAATCGTACGCCACATCAGCCCATTTGTGTTTGCAACTCTCGGAAAATAGAGTCAGTCTTTTGTGCTGTTATGCACCACATCGGTCGAGCTTGCAGTTGTCAGTATAACAATGGTCGAAAGGAGAGAAAAGCTCTCGGATTTTGTCTGAAACCCGTATGCGGAGACAGTAGTTACGAAGTTACTTCCGCAGATCCCATATCTTGTGAAAACAAGGCAGTCTACGATGGCTTCTGGTCTTAGGTTGTTAGGAAACAGGTATCAGGGCCATCTCTATTCCTTTGGGCAAAGGCAGATCAATGGTGGCGAGGTTCACCTTGTTCCATAGACCCCTGCAATCGTACCTTGGAGTATAAGCGTGCATACGAATAAGCAGCGAGGTGCATAGGTGCATGAACTTGAGACAACCATTACATGTGTTGTCTCTAGTGTACAAGTGGTTTACGGCTATGCCTCTTAAGGTGGCCAACGAACGAGGGCCTGGATGGGATCACTAGGTGCATATTGTCACGGTCCACGTATTCTGTCAAAGCGGGCATGCAAATGACGCCGCGTGGCGATTGAATTAGAGCGGCATTTGCATTAAGCTGGGTGCACAAAAATGAGGCGAATAGTCAAAGCGAAAGACATCCGTCCACGCAATATACTTCAATTGTCGACTTCGCAATGTGCACCTTCTCTCTAGGCCAATAACGAATCGGCAATTACAAAGTCTAAGTTTCCGGACGAAACAAAGGCAGAAACAAAACTGCTTGGACGAGTTGAAGAAACGAGGTAGATCCAACTAGCGGCCCATGCTTCCAGAGCGGCACGCACCGGGCTTGGAATGAACAAGCTAAACGCAAGATGGACATCCAACAACTTCTCTATGTTGGTGAACTACGCGGCCTCTTGGAGGTTTTCCGTCCGATGTATGGGGCAGGGAGCATAGTAAACATTGTCGGCACAATGCATCTTATTGTAGTCCCTGACGTGATCCTAATCTAGAAACGTTATCCAGGGCTATATTGTCGCAAAATGTTCAAGCATCAGGGGGGGCAACACTGTTCCGTAGGTTTCCCCAACCATTTGATGCCTCGGCCACCGCCAATTGCTTTTTTCATGGTGCGGAAGTGTGATCAATCAATAAACCACGCGCATCTCTGTCAATTTTGATGTATGAGTTGCACTACGCAACCGATCTGCCTTGCCCCAACTTGCAAATGTACCTTGCCGGGCTGATCAAGTGACGGCTTGCTCTGATAAGCAATTTCGCCTCTAGATCACTCCTGCATGCCTTGAATAGCCTTGTCATTAGGCGTAAAATCTTACTGCAGCATTAAGTTCTGATCAGCTTGGTTGAGGGAGCATTATGCAGGTTAAGGTGACGAAAGCGTTTTAAGATAGCCCTTCCCTGGAACCAATACGGGATCAAGATCAACGTCAGGCTGACAATGGCAGGTATTGTTGCAAACGTGTTGATCAAGTAACCCTCACCAATGAACTCAGGGGCCTAAATTTTTCTTGTAGACGTTCGGATGGTCAATGTTTGCATGAACAGCCAAGTTTCACCACTAGTTTCCTCAGGGTACGTAGTACTTGTGGGAATACAGCAGCAGAAACATCTAACAAGTGGAACAAAACATTTCAATCGTCTGACGCTCAGAAAAAAAATGCCTTGTGTTCATTTTCAGGTGAGGCTTGTTTGCCCCTTTGGTTCCAAACTGACCTGGGTTCTTCCAAGGTGTCCAGAGACCTCGACAGCTTCTAATCAAACAAATTTATATGGGCTCTGCTCCTTGGAGCTTTCTACAAGAATAAAAACATCAACTCTGGATTTGGTGTGCGGCATGACCAGGTTGTGACTTGTCACTTATGATGGTGGTGTTCATGGTCGTTGGAAGAACCAGTGGGGAAACCTGTGACTTTGGCAGTTGACAGATGCGTCTTAATGCGACGCCACTTAGGCAATTGGTTGTATTATCAATAAGCACAATTTTAATTTTGGAGAAGGTAGATTTTCTTATGAAACATAGAGGACTTGGCCAAGGAAGACATGTCTGAAGTCTGGTACCATATCTTAGCAAACAAGAAAACGGCGATTCCACCGCCGTACTGAGAGATGCCGAAGAACTCCACCCTCAGGACACAGGCATTGGTACTTGGTCAAAGCCCGGAGGAAGCATAAGCCATCATCATGGCATTAATTTCAATATTGGACTACTATGAAGCCAGAGTTGATAGCAGAGTTCACAACGGGTACACCAGCAAACATCCTGGTTTGAAGATGACTCCCAGAGCGAACAGACAACCAAGCGAAAACGCGGATGTAGCACTCCCTCGATTTGGTATATCCTTTAGGTTTCCGGGCCAAATTATCAGACGCTTTGGGGTTGGGGTTCGCGAGGGTCATCAACCACTTTCACGGCTTCATGTTCAAACAGGGTGGGCGACGGTGCCGACATTTGGCCCAGGCCTCCAACACGCGCATACCAACGGCTGATCCATTACCTCGAATCTCTGCATATGTTACTTTCAATGGATGCAGGCGGCATGACAGACTTCTGGTAACATGAAGTGTGCGTCCTTGCCGTCATCGTCGGAAACGAACTGCTGAAGCGAGCCGGCAGAATGAGGCGGTTCCATCAACGGGGCAGACGGCTAGGATAGTGTAAAGTATAGTCTATGGTACATGAACCGAACCGGCTCCAAACGAGTACTTAAGGATCAAGTCCTCGGTTCTCATCCGGTTGAAATTACTTCTCTATCACACCCATCTCCCTGATCAAAACATCAAGTCTCCTCCCTCAGCAACTACGTTAGTGCCATACAAGCGCCTTCAAGATGCGTTTCTCCCAATCCCTTATCATCATGGTCGCTGCCACCATGGGCGCCAACGGCGCTCCGTCTGGTATGGATACCCGTGAGCAAAGGTACGTACACTAGGTGCAATACACAAGCCGTTGCATTATGCTAATACCAGTTAAAGCGCTCTGAGCCAGCCTGCCGTGGTAGCTAGACAGGCCACTGCAGTCGTTCCAGCTGCTGCTCCAGCTGTTCCCGCTCCCATCCCGGCGCCCAAGTCCGATGATGACAAGAAGAATGGCGACAAGAATGGCGACAAGAACGGCGACAAGAACGGCGACAAAAACGGCGACAAAAAAGGCGACAAGAAAGGCGATAAGAACGGCGACAGGAACGGCGGACGCGATGGGGACCGCGATGGTAACAAGGACTGCCGCGAGGAAGACCGCGGCCGTGATAGAGACGGAAGGCAGTGCTGCATGCGTGGCGGTAGAGACGGCGGTCGCAACGGGGGTGACCGCAATGACGACCGCAAGGTTGCCCGCGATGACCGCGATGGCGACCGCGATGGCGACCGCGATGGCGACCGCGATGGCGACCGCAATGGGGGCGGACGCGACAGCGACCGGGATGGCGAGCGTGAGTGCTTCCCGGATGGAGGCCGTGGCGGTGAGGATGACGATGATCGGCGCCCCCCGCCTCCTCCCCCGGGTGGCTCCCCGTTCGGTCCCTACCCGATCCAGCCGCGCCCCGGTTTCCCCGGCGCCCCGGGTGTCTACCCTCCTGCTGCCTTCCCCCCAACCTTCCCCGGAGCCTTTCCCCCTCCTCCTCCTCCTGCTCGTGGTCCCGATGATCCTCGTGGCCCCGATGGCCCCGATGGTCCTCGCCGCGGTCCCGACGGAGATCGTGATGAGGCCAAGAAGACCGCATAAGTCGGTATCGCCCGGCCTTGCAGCCATTCATCATACTCGCATATGCCCGTGACACATTGGCACCCGTTTATGGGAAGCGCGAATAGTTTGGTAGAGGATTCGCTTTGTATTTACTCTTGTTTTGTCTTTTGATGGAATACCTATGTGGCACACACAGTGGTGTTTTCTAGCACCCGATCGTACCCTTTCGCGAAGGGCCGTATCGTTGGGTTTGGAGACTAGGAATACGATAATTAGTTAATACATGAATGCTTTAACTCCGAACATCCCTGGCTCGTATGCTCTTGTTGCGCAATCTAGCGGAGCAGGCTCTCATCATATGTACTAAAACGGCGACGGCTTTGAGGATACAAATAGCCTCATCATCAGGACCGTGATTCAGGGCCCTTTGGTTTTATGTTCCGGTAGCTTCCAGTACATTACGAGGTACCCGTAGATCGTCAGAACCCATTGGCCAAGACTAGAGCCGGACGAATTATGCATCAGAGAATTGCATGGCTTATCAAAGGAGCTTATAGGTAGATCGCCTCCGTCTTGATGACAGCTTGGCATCAGTTATATGGGAAAATGAGACGATGTGGGGATTTGCGCCAAGACGAATGAAGCAAGTTGCCATATGTAAGAAGAAATCATAATGTAATGACATTGCGCAGGTATAGGTATATCAGCCCTTTGGTATTTACTGGGCTTGAATATCGACAAGAAATAAAACACGCCACGTCTCGACCATCACTGCCACAGCCATGGCGTTAGACAGTAGGCCAGCCACCGGACCAGTTGATGACGTTCCAACCGAACTGGGTCTGGGAGTCGGCAAGGCCAATGTCGGTGTTCACTACAACATGTTAGGAGGCAATATACACAAAAGGCAGCACTGGTGGATGACAACTCACTATAGTGGTAGTAAAGAACGGCACCACGCTTGGGATCGGCCAAGACACCCTGGCCACCAGGAGCGTAGATCTTGTTGTGGCTGGCGAGAAGGAGAGTGCCGCCGCCGCTGGTGCAGCTCTTGCCGCTCTTGTCAGTGTACGGGCCGTTGACCGAAGATGCGCGGCAGACGAAGATCTTGTACTCGTTGCCAGGAGTGGGTCGCTTGGCGTCGAGACCGCAGCAGGAGCCGGAGCTGAAGAAGGCCCAGAAGGTGCCGCTACGCTCGTAGACGAAGGCGCCCTCGACGGGCTGGGGGGAGGTTGTGTTGAAGATGATGTTGTAGGGGTTGCCGTCGGGCTTGGTGGCCGCCGCGTTCATGGGAACCTGGAAGATGTTCTGCCAGAAGGATCCGAAGTTGAGGTAGTACTTGCTGCCGGACTTGACCAGTTGGGCGTCGATGGCGTTGTAGCGGCTGCCGGCTTTAGAGGCAACGCCGGTGGCACCTTGGTCGGTCCAGGAGCCGAATTCCATTGTGGGCGAGGTAGCATACCCGATGGCGGAGTTCTGAGAGCCGAAGGACGAAACGGTGTAGTAGAGAATGTATTGGTTGCCGACCTTGCTGACATCCGGGGCCTGCAAGATAACATGATAGTGAGCACGCGTTATAGGAAATGGGTATTGGTTGATAGTTTCAGCCGCCACTGGTGGAGACCCAGCTGTGGACTGGTTCACACAATGGCCAAAGTGATAAAACGGAGAGGTTCAACGTGACATACCCAGAGGTCATTATTGCCCTTGAGGTTGATCTTGCTGCCAGCAGGCAGAGCAGCGCCCTGGTAGGTCCAGGGGCCGACCAAATCGGGAGCTTTCCAGATGCCGATCTTGCTACCGGTTTCGAAACGGAAGTAGGTGCCGTCGTCGCGACGAACGACGGAAGGGTCGTGACTCCAGCACTGACCCGAGCAGGCGCCGGGGTTGCCGTACGCTTCGACGGCGGCGCTCAGCAGCGCGGCTGCGAGGGAGAAGATGGAACCGACGCGCATGATGACGAAAAAGAATGACCTAGAGTGGGAGAAGAACAGTCGGTGTAACGATCAAGGGGCGAGGCATTCACCAAGGTGGGAGAAACACGATCCATATAAGAGAAACTATGAGTCGGACGGGACCCGGCTGACTGCACTGGAAGGGGCCGAGATCTCATCGTTCGAGCTCCATCACGGAGGTTACCAGGTTGTCGGGGAGGGGCTCGAAAGGCTATGGAAGACAGTCCACCCGTAGCCCCTATTGGAGGAATCTGGCCTGGTCGGCTGGGACAGCCCTAGCTGGTGATGGGACGACGGGCAATATACTTGGAGCACGCGCCAGGGAAGACTCCATCAATGAGATGAAGGGCTAGTTTGAGACGACGTTGCAGTAACCCGATCTTGCATATCGGGCCACCGTAAGTGGGCGGATTGGAGTATCGCTAGTGCCTGACAAGGGTAAATAAGCAATGAAGAATGGGTATGGGAAATGGATGTTTGGGTCGGTAGTGTCGAGGTCCATCAGGAAATGCCGTGGCGGCGTCGAGACGTCCAGGTAGTAGTGGTTGCCGAACGGCCGGACGAGATTAATCAGCTACTTGACAAGAGGTGAGTAGTGAGTAGCGGACCAGCAGGGAAGGGAAGAGATTGCGAAACCTCTTCGTCTGACTGGTGCGCATAGGAGGGCTTATCCGTATAACTACAGCGTATTCCGAATGTTCAGGAGAGCAGACACTCCACTCCGCCGGCTAGGTATTGTGCCAACACTGTCGCGTCACTTTGGAGTTGGGGATTGGCTTCTCGTAGGGTCGAAAAGCTGAGATTACTGAGTGCCGTATGTGAGCCTGCAGCTCTGCGGGTGCTTTGCATGAGAAGGGCAGAATTTCCCCGCGATTCCCGGCACAATGCCGCCCTGGCGGCCTTTCCCGTTCCTGTCTAGGCGGGCGAATCACTGCCGGTCGTGCAAAGTTCGACAGACATCACGAAGGGCCCAGGTTGTACGGATACTCGAAGATGGTCTAGGCAGGCGTGGCTCTGCGAACAGTCATCATTTACGGGAGTGAGAGACGAAAGACTCAAAATAAGCCCTTGGAAGATGAAATGGTTGATGAGGGCAGAAGCGCAAGCACTCAAAGCATGTGTGGAGAGGGTTTCGGGCAATGGAAATTAGACGGGTCGTATTGCTCTGAGTTGAAACTCTCTCAAGCATCCTTATTCCTCACGAGAGGGGTTGTTGTCCGTGGTCCTCCCGCCAAGTTCATGTCCACTTGCAGGGGTCATGCCGGATTCGCCATCGTCAAACAAACGATCGAGGGTTAACAGGGAAGTTTGCCCGTTATGGTGGCATCGCATTTGGAGTCCGAGAGGGTCCGGATTTGCTCGGGTTGATAAAGGGGCTGTATCGCAGGCAAAGTCGAAGGGCATTGGTTTCCCCGCTCCCTTCAAGCGGACGCTCCATCGTCCCAACTCCTCAGTATTACGCTTCTCGAAAATTGATACGGCCTTTTGTAAACCTGACGTGGTCCCCTCACGTTCGGTTCGTCGTCTGGATCAACGTGATCAACACGATCAGCGATATTCAGGTGGGCGTGAGGAACATTATTAAGCTTGTTGCCTCTTATCGTGCACGTTATTCAGTGGAGATTGGCAACGTGTTGGGCAGAACCCCGGCTCACGTGGGCCAAGACAGGGAGGAGTAATCCGGCAGCCCGTTTGTGATTCCATGCGCGGTCTGTCTTTGGTCGGAACTGGCCAGATTCCTGACTCGAGAGGTGGGTGAGGTGGCTTGCTTTGGTGCCAGTTGATGCGCGTGATCTTAGTTTCTATTGCAGGACGACATCCAGACAGTCTCAAGGGAAACTGAACGCACCTCTAACAGCATCCCAATGTGATGATGGATCGCGTTGATGGATCACGTCGATGGATCACGACGCATTTGGTTGCCGGATTTGGCCTCGGACTTGGAGCATCGGGCAAATAGTATCGGAGGCGAGTGGATTGAAACGTGTGGATATTGAGTGGGAATAACGTGGGTGTTGCGTGGATGTGGCGGAAGAATTATCCCTAAGGCCGTCTCACATATTTTTCGACCAGTCGGTGTCAGCCCGCAACGTTGTGCAGGGCGGTGAGCCGAAGCCATCGCCAGCGCCGTGCGTCAACCGCGGCGATCACTCTCCCCATCGGCCGGATGATTGCCAGACAATGGGTGGGGAGAGAGAGAGAGAGAGAGAGAGAGAGATCGTCGGAGCTTGCGCTCCGCACAAACGCCCCGAAGCACCGACCGAGATTGCGGCGTTCCACCCTTCTGGTCGGTGGATGCTCATCAGCGGCCGATTATGGCCGGTCGGGCTGCCTTCTGTCAACCTTCTGCCGGCCCTTCCCGTGCTTCCGGTGCGCTTGACGGCCATACTGGAGGGGGCTGAGGGCCGATCTCCAGCCTCAGAACCTGTGAGCCAAATGAGGCGCCACAGGGGATACGTCCTGAAAATGGATGTTGCTGTGCACACTTCCATGCGGAGTCGAAGACCAATGTAAGAATTAGATACGACAACTGAGATGTTTGTACTTCCCAACCTTGGAACTCGGTAAAGGTGTAGTACTCGGCCAGTTATATTGCTGGGCCTCGACAACGAGGAGTTTTGGGTTTCGGCCAACTTGGCTACTGTTTGCTTCCTTGAGTCCCTGCCGGGGGAAGAGCAAACACTCGCAGAGAAGAGTGGCTGCAAATGCGGGTCCTTCAAGTGTCAAAAGATGCCGCAAGAGTACGATCCGGAGAGAGTGGTAGTGGCCGAGGGATGACATGCGTCTGGGCGGTCCGTCAACAGAGCAAGCCCTTGCCCCCTCGCGTTATGGGCTCGTCGCCGTTGCCTACCTTTATTAAGGTACCTAGCAGTGGTCATCCTGGCATCCGTCGTTTGAAACGTGTAAGTTTCGAAGAGTCAGAATAAGCAAGTTGAGTTTGACAGGAGATTGTGACAGGCAAACCATGAAAGGTGTTGAGATGTACTAAGCATCAGTGAGTTTCGATATTGCCCCTTGGCCTAGGAAGCGGGCAGGGTTCATGGTGTTTTGGTCACCGTTCGTGCCCAAGGTGGCCATATGGTTGTCGGCGATCGGCATGGGCATGGGAAATGCGCTGGACGGGGCGCCGGTGCGTCTTGCGGTCCCTTGGCACTCACACCACCACTAGTGTCTTACTGAAATCGAGACCCCCAAGGCCGAGGGTGAGGCGTTAGGGAATGGCGAGCCCGAGGCTCTGGATCCATTACGTTACGAAAAGTTGTCAAAACCCAAGCTCACAAGCCTTATCTGGAGACCCTGGCAGAACTAGCCAAAGCCAAAACAACCTCGGAGCCATGCTCGCACGCGTTTCTCACGCGCAGCGTGGGCAGCACGAGGCGACCGCCGTTCCGCTGGCTTTACTGTGTGAGATGCAGCCAAGAGTCCTTTCTGGCGTGTTCGGTTCCATTGTTTAGCCGGCGTTGCAAATTGCGCACTTGTTTCCATTCTGTCGAGGGTCGGCTGCACTTGAATCCGCCCGTGGTACGCTTGTGGTCCAAGCAGATGTTAGTAGAGTAGGTTATGGTTCCTCTGAAAACTTCAACCGATTGCGCCCGTCGTATTCTACCCGTGCGGCGGATGGACCGTTGACTGAGCTAGTGCCTCAGCTTCGGCCTTGTGAGAGGTCGAGCACCTCCCTCCCTTGCTGGGGGAGCAGGAGGGGAGATAGTTCGAGGACCCCTAGACATCGGACGCGGGGAATGTTATGCTTCCAGCGATCAGAAAACCATGGAGCGGGCGGCCGTCAGGCTCGTCAAACGCTGTAGATGATCGGTCAAGGAGCTGGTCCTTATCACCACGCATACTCTCACTACTATCGCAGATGCTAGATACCTGTTCGGGGCTTCAATCCGGACCTAGTGCTTTCTCGTCTTCCTCTGTTCCATTCCAAAACTCCGGCGGCCGCCCAGGTGCAGTTCATCGCCGTACCTAGTAGTCCCTCAAGGGGCAATCGTAGCGAAGTCGACGCAATGTGGCGTTCCAAGCGTCCGGGTAAGTCTAAGACTCGGCGTCAACAGAACGGGGGGAACTATGGTACCTAGGCTCGATATCGGCCATCCGTCGAGCTGGCTGCGCCCGTCCACGCTCTTTTGGCAGTTCGGGTCCCAAGCGGATAGAGCAAGGTGACCCCTGGCATAGCAGAAACCGGTGGCCACAAGAAACAGTCAATGTTCTTGGTTGGCCATGGATCGATGGATGCATGCACTGCGCGTGGCATGGCACGGTGCAGAGTACCTAGGGTATATGGCGTTGCAATGGCCGTTAACGAAGCCAACAGCTGGGTGTGCCAATGCTTGCAGCTGGGAGCTTCTGGATGGAGGCAATGGAGCGATGCAGCGGAGATTCGACACAGAGGCGACGAGCGACCATTCGGACATTAATGCCATCCAGTCTTGGGCCGTTCAGGAAGTTGAGTATATCACTGCTGGGTGGAGGAAAGGGGGGGGACATGGATACACGGCAGGGCTGGACATGGCGCACCGGAAACAACGTCTGTCTTTGAAAGTTCGGTCAGCCCTTGGGGCGGACTGGAGCCACTGGGCCCCATGCTGCCATGCTGTGGGGAGGATGAAGGCCAAGTTCACCTGCATTAGTGCAACTGCAAGGGGCATCTGCTCAGAGTTGGTTTACTGATAAGGACTTTCTTGTTTCCAACGGTTGCTGCTGACGAAGATGTTTCTCTGTTGAAAACAGATGAGCGAGAAAGGGGCGCTGGGTCTCGGGTGGGGATACAAGAGGGACAGAGGTTGTGATAGTCCCGAAACTCAGTCGCCCGTGTTCCATCATGGAGGCTTTGCCTGGCTGTAAGATATTGAGATGTACAATGCCAACAACTGTTGGTGGGAGGGAGGGCGAAGGCTTCTTCTCGCCTAGTGTAAACGCCATGGATCTGCGGATTGTGGACCAAGAACCAGGTGTCGGCGGTGCGGCCCCCCGAGGATACGACCCAAAGGGTTGGGGTAAACGGGTATATTACAATATTTCCAGTCCATCCCATGCGTGGAGGTGAATGGAAGCCTCGGATGGGCGGATGCAGCGAAGTTAGGGTCCGATGCTGGAACCGCCAGGAGATTGGTTGCTCGGTGTGGAATCGAGTAACACTGAGCAAGCCAGTAGAGTTTGCGGTCGATTATTTACTTAACAAGCAATTTCCAATGCTCAACCTATTGGCGCCCAAGTGAGAAAAAGTCAAACCAGAGCGCGACGACGAGCCACATGGAAGGCCGCGTTCTGCTCCGTCAGAGTTGGGAGCGTCAGCGATTCCACTCGGCCATTCGGCATGTCATATCCATCAAGCAATCAATCGAACCAGATCAATCAGCAACGATACAACGGACGGTCGAACAAGGGCGTGAATCCTTTGGTCCCAATGCGTGCTGCAGTGCGCTCCTAGTGTATGTACACCCAGAGTGGTCCGTCGCGCTGCAGCAATTCGCTCTCCACCGTGACGATCCTTGTCCTGGCCGCTGGCCCTTTGCCGGGACCCCCCTTGATGACTGAAGCTGCGGGTTGTTCCTATCAGCATCGACTGGACGTGAAAGGTTCTGGAGCTGGATGCGGCGCCGGCATTGTATGCACCATAGCCAGGCGCCTGCGCCGGGAGAGGCAAAGGGAAAGGGGAGGTTCTCAACGTTGGGTATTCCCTCTCAGGGAGAGCCTCTCCCATACTGATGTAGGTATACCGGGCGTCCTTGGGTGTCGACAACAACAACAACAACAATAACAACCCGGGTGCCCCTAATGCAATGCGATGTGGTGCAATGTGAGATCGATGCACAAAGTCAAGCCCCTCCTCGCCAAGGCGAAGGAAGCAGAGGAAGCAACGAAGGGCCCAGGGCGCAAGGGGAGGAACTGAGTTTGGCTAGAAGAGCAGAAACACGGCGATGATACTGGGGTGGTCCGCGGGCCAAGACAGGATTAACCGAAAAGAAAGTAGTCGTCCAACAGTCTTGCGTCTTCCCCGAGCTTACACTACTGTGGACGTATGCAGACGAGACGCGACTGTGGACAGGGACGGCTTTGGATGCCCGGTTCAGTAAGGGCTGGATCCGAATGGCCCAAGGAGTCGTGAGGCGAGGTACCGACAGCTGCAACGGGCGACTCTCTGGTCGTCCAGTTGCGTACCAGAAAACGATATTATCTGGGTGACATGTCCCCCCCCTTCCGCGGTGTTGATGTTGCCGCCCTTCTCTGTTCCATTCTCTCTCTGCTTCTGCTGCTTCCACGACATCGTGTCTTGGCGTTGCTTTTCAGTGATATCGTCGTTGTTGTTTTTTTTGCTGGGCAGGACTATCACACAACAGCCCACGGATTCGACGATCGTGTCCGAGACGCAAACCGCCTCTTCGCATCACCGAGCCGGCCGAACGAACGATAGTCGCGTACGAACGGGCGCTGGGCCGGGCAAGTCACTAGGATATTACAGGAGCGAAGGAATCTTGCAAGGAACATCCTGAAAGGTGGCCCGAGAGGTTCCCCAGAAAAAGAACGACGAGACGGCGAACTCTGGACGAATACCTATATATCGACATCGGACCACCATTGGGATACCAGCGGCTGCGACTGCTGTTGTTGTCGTTGTTGTTGACGGTTTGCATCGAGTCCAACACGGTTCTCGCACGACTGGACCATCTATATCTCTCGCCCTCGAGAAACCGACACTTGTGAATGTAAGGCCACACACATTCTCCGGGGGCATCGCGCTCCCATCTCGATGGATGCACAACCAACCCCCTCCCCATTCTCGTGTATATGCGTGTGTAGTATATGTGACGGAGCTGACGAAGTGTGTGCCTCAGTTAGGGATTCCCAAACACACTGAAAAGAAAACTCGAAAAGAAGCAACGGCGAGGAGAGTCAAAGAGCAGAAAGAAGAGAAGGGGAAAAAAAGAAACAAAAAAGAAAACAAAAAGCCACAGCACAACGGCCGCACCCGCCCATGACAGCGGGCGCAACAGACGCACGACAGACCTAAAACGGGTGGCGGTTCGCGGCACGGCAGCAGCCCCCAGGCGGCCATTGGCCCCCCCTCCCTTCCCCCCGCCGTCCACTGTAGTGTAGGCAGCAGCGACCCCACATCCGCCCGCCCGCTCGCATCGCATTTTCATTGGCTTGTCCGCTGTTATCGGAGGCTCCACATCAACCCCCAACTGCCCGATTCGAATACGTACTCTCTGTACTGTGCTGTACCGTGCTGTACTTAGTGTACTGCACTGCACTGCGGCTTCGTTTTCCAGGCGACCGGTCTTATCTTATCTCACCTTTCACGTATCTCACTTACTACATTCGTTCTCTCTTGTCACTCACTCACTTACTCACTCACTACTTACTACTCGCTCGCTCACTCACTCACTCACTCAACCTCGATCTTCGTCTCGCCTTGTCGCAGAGTGCACTTTCGTCGTGTCACGCGACATCGTTGTCGACACCACCCGTAGCACCTCGTCTACAGCCAGAAGACACCGCTTCTGCACGGACATCGGTCGCCCCTTTTGCGTGTGAGAGGCTCCCTGTGGGCTACGGCCTCACCTCGCTCGTCGCCGATATCCCGCCGCCAACATGTCCGGCCGAAGCGCCTACGTGCGCAAGAAGATTACACAGACCGAGAAGGAAAAGGCGAGAGCCAGGGCGAACGGTGGTGGCATCGTGGGAGACCATGACGACCTGTTCATCCCGGAATTCCCCCTCCCGCAGACGGGCGCCTCGTTGCCCGTCGGCACCGGCATCGGCACCACCAACGCGCGCTTCCTCAAGTTCTCGGAACCCCCGCGCGACGTCAAGCCCGGCACTCCGAGCATAGGGAGCGGCAGCGGGAGCAGCGAGGGCGGACGACGCGACGGCAGCTCCGGCCCGCTCGACGACTTCGCCTACGCCCGAGCTCGGAGACCCACCATCAAGACGGAGGACGTTTCCGGCATCGAGAAGTCGGGACTCCGGAGCAGGCTGGACAAGAAGAGTGAGGACGTTCGGAGGGGCCTGGCCAAGACCTTCACCTTCAAGCGCAAGGACAAGGAGCCCGAGTTCCGCCCCGAGTCCGTGGCCACCGTGAGGCCCGGCCAGCACCAGCACTCAGCCCCAATGTCGCCGGCCGAGGAATTCAACTACGAGCACTTCAACGTCGATTCAATGCAGCAGATGCACATGCAGATGCAGATGCAGATGCAGCAGTTGCAGATGCAGCAGCAGATGCGCCACCAGGACATGGACCTGCCCACTTCGCCGCCCCCGGCATCCAAGCTGCCACCGGTGCCGACCACGCCGCCCATCAAGCGGTGGATCGGCGCGGGGAGGCCGGTCCAGAGGTGGAACAAGCTGCGCAAGGATCCCGAGCTCTGGGACCCCAACGGGGACGTCCTCGTCTTCTTCGGCCACAAGGGCCAGGCGCCGCGGCCGAACCCGTCCTTCAGGCTGTCGTCGCACATCATCGAGGCGACTGAGTCGAGGTACCTCATCACGCTGCTCCGGGAGGGACGACGGAGGAGGACATTTACATGCCGCCCTCGCCCCAGGGCGCGCCGCCCATGCTGCGCCCGCACATGCGCGGGGGCCAGCCGACGCCGCCCATCTCCGAAGACCTCGGCGAGGCCGACGGCCAGATTTCGTACGAAATGTACTTCCCGACGCCGGCCAACATGACCAAGACGGAACAGCTCCGGAGCCACATCACGACGAGAAACATATTCGCGCTGCTCTACCACGCCTCCCTCGTCGGCCTGTCGCTCCACCAGGCCCTCGCCGACCTCCACATGCGGCTGGACGCCTACATGCCCCCGGACTCGGACAACGTCGGCATGATTCTGAATTACCTGTCCGCTCGCGGCATCGACGACGTGCGCAACGACCCGGAGACGGCCGTGAGCCTGCTGGCGTGGTCCGAGGGATCCGCCGTCCGGTGGGAGGAGGGGTGGCGGGAGAGCTTCCTGCACTGCGCCGGCATGTACAGCCAGCTGGAGCAATGCGCCGACTTCAAGGAGCTCACCCCCATCACCCGCGCCCTGCTGGAGCGCGCCTGCTTGGAGACGCAGCTCCGCGTCCAGGCGGCGGAAGAGCGGCTGTCCGAGTTTCAGTACGACGACATGTGGCCGCCGGCCGCCGGCAGCAACGGCCCGGCAAAGGCGGCGGCGGACCGGCTGCAAAAGTTTTTTCTGGGCCACTACATGCGAGCCCAGGGATCGTGGCCCCCGGCGCAGGCCACCGGCCTGCCGGACTCGGACGGCGAGGACATTTGGCTGACGAGGAGCGTGGCGCAGTCGTTGCAAAGGGACTTTGGCGCCCTGTACGACTACCTGGTCAACCGCGACATCGTGTGGGACGTGTCGGAGGCGCGGTCGGAGCGCAAGTGGATGATACAGAGCGAAAAGGACAAGGGCTTCGACGCCGACGTGGACATACCCATGACGGACATGCTCGTCGAGTACGACAACAGGCTGCGGTTCCCGCACATCCCGCACCCGTACCCGCTGGTGCCCGAGTCGATCCCGCCCGCGCCGACGGCCAAGGAGAGCTCCATGTTCAAGAAGAAGAGCGGCGCGGCGGCCAACAACGGCGGCCGCGCCGGGGCGCTGGAGCGGCGGGTCCAGCTGGCGTACACCGAGGCGACCAACATCTACATCCTGGGGTCGGACTTTACGCAGTCGGACCTCATTGACGCGTACGTCAAGTTCGAGAAGGGCGACAACATCACCGAGGTCGACCCGGCGGTGGCCCGACGGGGGCGGTGGGTCCTCATCTACGGCATCCTCCAGACGCTGGCCAGCGTCTCGGTCGACGCCCCCTACGTGCGGTACCGCGCCGACGTGCCGTACCACCTCTCGCCGCGCCTCAAGGGCACCAGGGTGCCGCCGTGGAAGGGGTCGAGCACGCCGGACGAGGCCTCGCACGAGCTGTCGCACTGCTGGGCGGTGCAGCACACGTGGAACACGCCCAACAACAGCGGGGCCGACAGCTCGGGCGGGTCGGGCAGTAACAGCCCCGTGCAAGCCCACGCGCGGCCGTTCGCCTACCCGCGGGGCCCGCCGTCGACGGCCTCGCGGGGCTCGGGGTACCAGACGCCCGGCACCCGCTCCGTCCACTCGGCGGGGTCCGCGCCGCCCTTTGGGTCGGGGTACAGCGTCGTCAGCGAGAGCGACACGGCCAGCAGCGTGCGCACGCCGGCGTCGAGCCGCGCGGGGGCTGCCGGCACGACGACGACGAAGCGGGCGCAGTCGCGGGACAACGCCAAGGGGCTGGGCGGCGGGCCGGGCAGCATGCGCAGCGCCGCGACGTTTGGCGCGCACAACGACGCGGGCAGCTCCCACGGCGGGTACGCGCGGTCCGGCTCGTCGCACCCGCACGACCAGTCGCTGCCTCTACCGGGCAACATCATGGGGTCGGGGGCGTTCCTCGCGCTCGACGACCTCGTGGAGAGGCGGAGCACGCGGAGCAGCGGCGGACACGGCCGGCGAGCGCGGGAGGGGTCCGAGACGGACAACGTGGCGCCGCGGATCCGCGACTTTGACCTGGATGTAATTGACGACCACGAGCCGTGAGACGGCCGGGATCGGAGCTCGGATGGAACGTGTAGGTGGGAGACGGAGAGAGAGAGAGAGGAAGAGAAAGACAACAGAGTGCGCCTATAATACATGACGGGACGACAGGACCACGTTTAGATCACGCATGGGGCCGGGCCGTGGCCACGGACGATCAAGAAAGATGAGGGCACGAAGCGATATGGGATCACAGCAAGCGGGATATCGGACGGAGGGGGGGGGGGGGACGGGGGGACATGGGTTTTCTTTTGTCGATTTACTGCTGGGATGAAGAGGGGTTCTTTGTTTTGTCGCCACAGACATCAAAAGTTTTGGACATGGCTGTACTGATCTAGAGAGATACCCAGCAACTCTGCACCTTTTGGCCCGTGACTAAAGAGAAGGCGTGTACGAGTCGGGGTGTCGGACGTCCCGTCTTTACCGGCGACAAGATATGATGAGGCAGGCATCGGTTCGATGGAGGGCGTCTCATAGGAGCGGTTACATAAAACAGTCTGGCATTCGAAAACAGCATTGCATTGCATTCGAGAGTGACTCATTGCGCCCGTCGCAGCCGTGAATGAAAACTGGAGGATTACTGCCCGGCGAGCCAACGTCCACATGACGAGGACGGACTCGCACGCCCGCGGGGGGAAGCAGAGGCGAGCTCGGTGACGTGGCCCACTCGGCCGACGATTTGCGCAGAGCGGCTCCCGGCGGCTCGGGGGATGGTCACGACGATTCCTAAAAGCGGCATCGGTCGGAAAGCGGTGTCGAAGATGGGAGGGGACGGGAGAAGGGCCGGTTTCCCTCGTCTTGGTAGTCTCCACGTGGGCCGCCGCCGTTTGGCAGCCGCGGCCGGCGATGTGGAGTCAGGTGGATGGGAAGGGGACCTGGAGGTTCGTGGTGGGGACTCGAGCTGAGCGAGTCAGGGGATCGCAGTCCGCAGTCGGGTCCAGGCCGGCCATTGTGCACCAGCCACCTCATCGGTCCCCACTTGTTTTGTTTACAGGTACTCCGTACCTATCCTGAATTTGTTTCACGACGGCCGAGGAAGGCACTTCCACGTCGTCGCTGGGCTTGGAAGGATGGGCGAGGGAGAGAGAGGGACGGACACAAACACTACGATGTGAGGGGAATGGAAAGAAGGGAAAGAAGGAGATCGTGACCAGCCCCGCCGGTTTTAGCTCACACCTAGTACCATACATAGTACGTGCCATGGTAGTTTCCCGATTATTCACAGCATACATAGTAGTACTACACTATGTATTTTGTTGGAGGATGGTGCAGTGGGAAGGCCCAGCATTGGCTGGCCGGGAAGTTGGTGCCCCACCATTGCTTGTGAGCTGGCTGTTGCCGTTTTCTTTTCGGTCTGGCTAGGATCTGCTGGCTGGGTAACGGGAGACCGGGCAAGTACCTACCTAATTCGCGACTGTATCTGGTTGTCAGCAGGGTGACTGTGTAAAGGCACCCTGCCAGCGTCCAATGCCAGGAGAGACCCTGAAACGGCACAGGAAACAGCAGGAAAGCATGGATTCTCTTCTTCGTTCGACACTACCTACAAGCATCGAGATGACTCCTCCCCTTTGACGTGTTGTTTCTGTGGATCGCCGACAGTTGGACTCGTAGCTAAAATATATATATATATATATATAATGAGTACGTACTATGTTTCGATCGAATTACCGACTCGACAGAGGTACAACACAGCAAAGAAGCAGAAGAAGCAGAGAAGAAGGAAGGGCGCAGATGACTGAAACGACATGGTCTCCCCGGATTGACGGGATTGGCAGGATGGACAAGGCAGGCGTCTACCTGTACCGTAGACGGGCGATGATGAGCGCATCGTCCGGGCGCTGGATCTGTAGGTACATCCCACTTCTGCAAAGGCAAGCCTTCAACTGTAAGATGACGAGCACCCTCTGTTCGGTAGAGGACAGACACACGTTGACGACCACGAGCGCGTCAATGCACGTACAGGTGTGTACTGCGCAGGACTGCGTAGGACTGCGTAGGACTGCGTAGGGTCTATGTTCTGCTACCAACGGCAATTGCAGGCAGAGAGAGTGAAGAGCCCGAGGTTGTGGTGGCGTCTCTGTCTCTGCCTTGTCCAGTGGAATGTACGTTCATCGTACATATGTACAGTGATTACATCCATAGCAGAAGGTGCCATACAGGTACATACCTGTAGTTGGTGGATGGATAGGGTGGGTGCCAGAAAAGAGAAAACGAGTGCCGATCGCCGACGTCATAGCAACCGGCGCGCAGGGACGGCCCTTTTATGTTTTCCATTGATTGCGAGAGACTCAGAGACAACTCATAGACAAGAGAGAGAAAGGAAGAAAGAGGGAAAGCGGGCCTCTCTTCCTAGTCTTTTTTTCCTCCGCGCTCTCGGGCTCCCGCTCTGCGACATGCTTGCCTTGCCTTGCTTTCCCTCAGGCGAGGTTGGTCTGTGCCATTGTTTGACGCCTGTTTGCTCGAGGGTTTTTGTTGGTCTTCTCGATGGATACCACTATGTACATAGTAGATGTATTTGAACCGCCAATGGCTGCGCCTGATCCTGGTCATTTTCCGAGGTGACCCAAACGTCAGACCAGACAAGACAGCCGTCAGGCAAAGGCCGTGTGCCATGCAGAAGGGCGCCAGACAGGAACCGCTGCACCGAGCTGCGCAGCGCTGCGCTGCGTAGACGGGCCTCAACAGGGAAGAAGCTCTCTCTCTCCTTCCTCACTCACACGCTCTTTCTTACCTGTACATTACATGGTAGGTACCTATGGCGGGTGAATACCCGGACAGAGATACGTAGCCAACCGTCGGCAACGGCATCCGTTCTCGCGCCTGCTTTTCGTGCTTGCTTGCTTGCTTCCTGTCTTGTCTTCATCCCCGTTCCTGTCTCTTCTAGGCCGTCCCGTCTTGCCAGGATCCTGCCATGTCATCACCGAGCTCAAGTGGAAGGGTGCGGTGAGGTGAGGTCCTCCCCCATTGTTCCTCCCACCCATGGCATGGCATGGCATGGCAGCCCCGAGAGAGTGAGCGAGACTAAGAGATGAGAGCAAGACCAGAAAACTGGGAACCACCCCTGCCACCCTCTTTTTTTTGGCTTCTGTCTCGCTACGCTATTTTCCCTTTCCCGTCGATGCCACCATCCCCAGGGTCGCATCTTGCAGCGCTGCACTGAGTCGAGGCTGTTGTAGTTGTAGCCCGCCCATGTTCGACGAGAGCGTCGTCCCTGGGTCAAATGCGACGCTGCATCTCCTCGCTTCGCTTCACCACCCAGCCCATGACTGCGATCCAGCCCCAACCACCTTCATTTGGGAGACGACGGAATCTAAGCCCAGTTGACCCCATCATCTTCGCGCGCCGCCCAATCGCACCTTGCACTCTGCACCTTGTCCTGGACCTGGACCTGGACTTGGACTCGACGACCGACCTTGCCTTGCCTTGCTTTTTTGCTACCCATACCCAGCTTGTCATGACTTGCTGACCCGGGGAGGAGGGGGGGCCAAACACCCGACCTGCATTGGTTCTGTTTCTGCCTCGGGGCACTCACTCACTCACTCACTCACGCACTCACTCACACACACCACCTCGTACCTGTCTGTTTATTTAACTACCCTCCCCATCCCAACCACCCGCCCGTTCGTCTGAAGCTCTGTCTGTCTTTTTACAAAAGAGAAAAAAGTCAATAGTCGCCCTCTTCTTCTGTCCCTCGGCCACTTGTCTCGCCCGCCTGTCTCACGCAGCAGCACCGTCCATCCTTACACGCCCGCTCTTCATCTTGCACTCGTCTCTGGCAAACAACATCGCCGTCGCAAAAGCGCGCAACACCGGCGCGTACTGTCTGTCGCATTTGTCGCATTCACATATACACACTACACACAAACATAGCAACGCGCGCCGCCGTCTAGGCTAACCCCTTCGCCCACCATGTTGTTCGCCGTCTTGTTCGCGGCGAACCGCTTCCTGCAAATCGTCACCTTGGTAAGCTCCCTTTTCTTCGCTTTCTGTCACCACCACCTCTCCTCGGCGCGCAAGGCCAAAGACTCAAGACCCCGACTAACACGACCCAGATCCCGACGATGGGCATGCTCGCCTGGTTCGTCGACGGCTTCGTCAAGCGCAACGTCATTGTGCCCGACTCGATCCTCGTCCTCTTCATCGTCTCCGTCCTCGCCCTCGCCTGGGCCATCTTCACCCTCTTCAGCTACCACCGCAGCAGCACAAACGCCCTCTTCGTCGCCGTCATCGACCTCGGCTTCGTCGGCGCCTTCATCGCCGGCGTCTGGTACCTGCGCGGCATCAATCACGTCGACTGCACCAACCTCGCTCGCGACGGCAGATGGTCCGCCAACTTCCCCGGCCTCATCACCATCTCGGGCCCCAGCTTCAGCTTCTTCACCAACAAGCCCTGCGCCATGCTCAAGGCCTCGTGGGTCTTTGGCATCATCAACACCATCCTCTTCTTCTTCACCGCCGGCCTCGCCTGGATGCACGGCGACCGCCTCTCCTCGAGCTACGAGCGCAAGTCCTACCACCACGGTCGTCACCGCCGCCACCGCTCCCACAGCCACAGCCACAGCCACCGCTCTCGCAGCCGCCGCAGCTCCCACTCGCACCGCCGCGTCTACGTCTGAGGCCCGCGGTACGGCCAATGATGCGGTGTATCCGCTGGAGGGAGGCGACTTTGTGATTTGGAAAAGGAGATGAATAACCCCACGACAAAAAAGACGAATGAGAAAGATACCACGCAATGACACGATACAGACTGGGAGGAAGACAAGAATCGTTCCGGAAGGCAATGAAGGGAAAGGAAAGGATAGGAGGGTTTCTGTTGTTACGGCAACCCGGCGCGTGTATCTGGAGGAATACTACTTTAATGATGACGAATCTAACGACGTCGATTCAGAAGATATCTGTGATATATATACACATACTTTTATACGTGTTGCCCGTTTCGTCGTAAACCAATGTCCCACAAGGTTTTCTCGTTTTTGGTGATGCGCCGCTCGGCTGGGCCGACCAAAGAACGTCGCTATACACGAAGCCTCTCTTAGGAACAGGAAATGGACACAATTATGAATGTGGTATCGTCCAAGTCTTTTTTTCTCCCGTCTATCCCGGTGCAAAGCATCCCTCACGCCAATTTTTGGTATCCAGACCCCGATGCTTGCTATGCCCTGCCGTCGTCCTCGCCACCGTGTACCCGCGCGCGACGCCGCTCCGGCCCTCCTCGACGACGGTGCTGCTCTCCTCGTCGTAGTCCGTCCCGAGACCCTGCCATGTCCTCTGCGACCGCAGGTACTCGGCGCCGGGGCTCAGCACGCCGTTGATGGTGGCCACTTCGCCGACCTCCCGCCGCACCAGCGCCGACTGCCCCGCCGCCGCGCCGCCGCTCGCCTCTTCCTTCCCGCCGCTGCCGGTCTTGGGGTCGCCGTTGGCCGACCGTACGGGCATCCTCATCGGCCGGCTGGCCACGAGCTTGCCCGTGCGCAGGTCGTACTCGGGCGGCGCCGACTCGTCGTCGTCGAGCTCCTCGTCCTCTTGTCCGCCGGCGGCGGCGGCGGCGGCGTGGTCCATCTTCTCGATGCCGCCCCACCACTCGAGGCCCCACACGCGCTCACTCTCGGGCTTGAGCGCCACCTCCATCTCAAAGGGGGTAATGACGGGCTTGAAGAAGCCGGCGTCCTCCTCGACGAGCCCGCTCTCCCAGCACCCGACGACGACCCAGCCGTCGACCTCGGCAAAGTTGGCCAGCTTGGCGGCGTTGAGCTTGCCCACCACCACCGTGTAGCTCTTCTTGCCGGCCTCGGCGATGCGCCGCCGCAGGAGCTCGATGCTGCCCAGGTAGTTGGACACGGAGAGCGTGTTGACCAGGATGCCCACGACGCCGGCCGCCGCGAGCGTCAGGACCCGCGCGAACCGCCGGCGCAGCAGCGCGTTGGTTGTCCTCGTCGGGTCGTCGGTCGACAGGCTCGGCGTCGAGAGCACGTGCAGGGACGCCATGCGGGTCTGCAGGGCGAGGAGCAGCGCCGGCGGCGGCGCCGAGACGTGGAAGAGGTAGTATTGGGAGAGGTCGGTCTCGGGGGCCTCGCCGGAGGACGAGTCGACGAGTGTGCGGTTCGGGATCGTGCCGGCGGGGTCGTGGACCACTTCGGTGTGCAGCAGCGCCGTGTACCCGGCCGCCCGCAACTTGGACGTCAGCGGAACGACGTGGTCTTGGTACGTCACGTCGGCCATCACGACGACCTTCTTGTCCGTGGCGGGGAACTCTTTCCGGAAGGCCTCGACGGCCTGGTCGACGTCGAGGGAGTGTCGCGTGAAGACGTAGATGACGGGTAGCCTCGACGTGGGCGACAGGCACGAGCGGCCGTAGTGCACGACCACCTGGGCGTCGGCGTGCTCGGCGGCGATCTCGTCGACGCAGCAGGCGCTGTAGGACGTGTCGGCGAGGATGTAGACTCTGTGGCTGTCGGTGCCCCCCAACGCCGTCGTCAGCGCCTCGGCGACCCATGAGGCGTCGCGCAGCATCGAGTCCGGGAACTGCAGGGCCACGCGGGTCCAGCCGCCCTCCTTGATCTCGCGCGCCGTGCGCTCGATCTCGTAGACGGAGGCGAGCTCATCTTCGGTGCGCGACTCGGTCGGCGGCGGCGGCGGCGGCGGCGTCGGGTCTTCAAACGTGTGCTCGGCCGGGGTCGAGAGGACAGGCGCCGTGGAGAGTTCTGTCATGGCCGCGCGACTTTGGGCAGGAAAAACTTTTTCTTTGGTGGCGGGCGGTTGGAGGAGAAGAATTGTCGGTCGATGGCGGGGTTGCGCTGATGGCGGGGTACCAAATTCGAGACCAGGCCTGACTCACCGACCGGTGGGCTCGGTGTAGACTATGGGATCTGTGCGGGACGAGAGACTCCAGCCAGTGAACAGGTCAACAACATCCACAAACAAGTCCAATGTGCTGCAACGAAGAACCCAAACTAACGGGCTCCTATTCGTATGATCAGAAAATTAAGTATATCAGTCACCGACCCGTCAACGATGTGGCTCCTAGGTTAAGGCCTCTGTGAAATCAACTTACACACGGGGCCGAATGGGCTACTTCGACAAATGTTTGGTTTGCACCAAAGTAGGCCAGCCTGAGCAGCTGATTAGTAATAATCACGTTAGAGCAAGACTAACAATATAGTACAATCCTGAACTTGAAGTCAAATCAATGACCACCACCTTGCCGACGTCCTCTTTGTGTTCACTCCAGGGGCTGGCATGGCGACTTTCCCCCGCGGGAACTCGTCGTTGCTTGGCATTCTGTCTTGTCATCGCTTTGTATGTCCCCTTGATTAGTATGACAACTGTTGACAATCTTCTTCTCCCGGTCGGTCAACAGTATTGATGCTCAGACGACAATCGAGCCATCTTCCAGACCGTAGACTATAGCATGGCAGCCAAGCAAATCGGCTGCTTACACGCTCGCAAACAAATGGCGAAGATCTAGGTAACTTGTAACGTTGTCTTTGATCATGGGCTTGTTCCAGCGGAAGACACAATCAAGTCCTGCGATACTGACTGGCCGCTCATGGTGTTGAACGGGCCACTAAGCAATTGAGTATGTCGTGGACCGGCTCCAGGGTTCTACGGTCACGCAACGAACAGGAGATGGGTTGCTGTGAATAATCTTCGGGTCGTCTCGTTTCGAGACGAATGCCCAGGTTTATGTTTATAACATTATTTTACCATACATATCTATATACTGTATTTAAGTCGACGTCCACATTGATCATCATCCGTCATCATGGCCGTGGTCATTATCTTCTTTTATTATCCTCTAGCACGAACCCTCCAACCACTTAGAACAGACCAAAGCAGTTGGCGTAGTAGGTGACGGTGGCACTCCAGTCGGAGAAGACGCCCAAAACACCGACATCCTGGGCCAGGACATTGAGCAGGTTGTAGACGTCGCCGTCGTTGTTGGTGACGTTGGCGATGGAGGTGTAGTAGTATCCACCCTTGGTGCCATCGCCCAGGAAGCCGGAGCGCTCGAGGGACCACGAGACGATCTTGAAACCCAGCTCCTTGGCCTTGATGGCGTAGCTGCTGGGAACGATCTCGCCGTCCTCGACGGCGACGAGGTAGTACAGAGGGGGCGCCATGATCTTGACGCCGGCGGCGGCGTACTCGGTCAGGTTGGCAACGGCGAGGGGGAAGGTCTCGGGCGTGTCGCCGCTCTCGTCGAGGAGGACGGCCTGCTTGCCGAACTCGGGCTCGGCCTTGAGCCAGTAGAGGACGTCGGGGTAGTGGAAGGACTGTGTCCAGACGCGCTCGGGGCGATGCCGGCCTCCTTGTACGTGTCGATGAGCTGCTGGGCGTACTTCTCCTGGGTGTAGTCGCCTTCGAAAGGCATCTCGACCTCGGGGAGCTTGAGCTCGGGGGTGAACTGCAGGCCCAGGTCGTCGGTCATGGCGATGTGCTCCTTGAGGGTCATGACGGTGCCGCAGGTGGAGTACAGGTCGGTGCGGTATCTCGGGGTGCCGAGCAAGAAGTCCTGGGGGTTGGTGGCGGAGGCGTTGAAGCCGTCCATCTTGCTGCAGAGCGTCTTGTACTCGGCCACGGTGATGTCCGAAGTACAGCACTTGGCGGTGGCCGCGGTGCCGTTGGCGGCCGGCTTGAAGGGGGTGGTGCACTTGGCGTTGAGCTCGGGGATGGCAACGATGTTGGTCGTCGTGTGCAGGTCGCACTGCGAGTGACGGCAGACGAGCTCGCGGTCCTTGGTGAAGGCGACGTCGCACTCGAGAATACCAGCACCCATGCGGGCACCGGCGAGGTTGGACTCGACCGACTCCTCGGGGATCAACATGGTACCGCCGCCACGGTGACCAATGCTCCACTTGGTGGGCTTGATGGGCTGCTCAGAGCACGACTGCAGCTTGTCCTTGAGAGGGCCCTCGTCCATGTCGTCGACCAGCCAGTAGGGTCTGGGGCCCAACTGGATGCTGGTGATGGGCTTGTACGTCGTCGGCGGCTTGGGGCACGGCGATGCACCGGCCTGCTGCGCGGCGGCGGCCACGAGGCCAGAGACAACGACAGAGTTGAAGTGCATGTTGGCGGCCAGAGGGTGGCTGATGGTCAACGGGAGAGCAGGCAATGGTCGCGCAACGAAGGGACGCGGCGATCAGCGAAGGAGTCGCCGAAAGAAGGGGGAGGACCGAGGGGTGCAGGAGCTGGAGCTGGAGATGAGGCTAGAGGAGCAGAGAACGGAAGGCTGGCAGCACAAGAAGAGACAGGCCGAGGGCTCCTTATCTTATGTAGCTCTCCGCGGGAACCAAGGTGGTTTTGTTTCGCCAAGATTACCACCAGCTGCAGTAGCTCTGGGAGCCCCAGTATGGAATACGTAACTTGAGATAACCGATGTGTAGCTGGTCTAGCGGGATGGTGTTGAGCAAATTCGCAGACGGACTCAGATTGGACGATCCCCCAGGGCGGCTTCGGGCAGTATGCTTGTATTCGGCATGGCCGTGCTCTAACCCCCTGGCTATGTGAAGACGGGCATGAAAGGTTGGAATCGCCGGGCTGGGGCGGACGGGCACAAGTGAGAGCGACAGTGGGCAACGGACGACGGGCCGTAGAATGCGCAAGTTGGCAGCACGTGTTGTTGGTGCTGGGTTGCATTTGAAGCAAGTCAACAACTCTGGGAGGACAGGGGAGGGGATATTGGACGCCATGTAGGGATGGGAATCCCAAAGGACCTCGTGTTGGGTCGGCCATCGAGTACGGACGCATTGAAGAATAGATGGATGAACGGGATCGGTGACGGCCAGAATAACATGCAAAAAAAAAAACCGAGCAAACGAACGATTGGGAGCGTGGGGTTCAGTCCAACGATGATGCGGAGCTCCTCCCGCCCTGTCCCCACTTATCGCAACTTTGTTTCCCAATTAAAGTAAATTTCTCGCTGGGGAGTTAGGATCCACCGGCGATACGTATCGGCTAGCGGGCCTTGGCGGGCCTTGGCGGTCCCGCCCGTTCTGCGGAGTAGAGCTGCGTGCCGTCGGAGCGTCTCCTGATTTGCCAATTGACGGTCCCGAGCTTCGAGCACAGCTCAACTGATAGGGAAGGTGGTGTTGATGTCAGTCAGTCAGTCAGTCAGTCACTTTCCGCGCCCTGGGCCACCCACGCGTTCCTTCCTGCCATGCATCGCGACTCTTTGCTTGGTTGCATCCGACGCACGTGCTCGACGGACCAGACCGATCTTTCTTCCGTTTATTGTTTCCTTCTCCCTTCCCTCTTGCGCCTCGGGCCCCGTTCTCTTGACACGGCAAGTAGAAGCCCTCCCGGTGGCCGCCCCTCGGCGGCTGCCAGGTCCTCCGAGCCGGCCAGCGGGCCCGGCGTCTCCGGCTCCAAGGACGGATCGACCCTTACAATTTTAAACCAACTGCAGCGCCGCAGACAAAGCGGATGCCCGCCAAGACTCTCATATCAGCCCCGCGAGTCAGTAGTGGTATGATATCCTCCAACAGGTTCATTGGTATGTCTGGCTAGCACTCGCCTGGGGTTGAGGCCTGCGAAACATAGAAATAGGCAACGGCATCATCGCAGTCCATGATGGCCCGCATGCTCGCCGTGGGGTTTTCACCAATACGCATATCTGGTGGCCAGTAGGTCAATCGAAAGAGCTCCCCAAACGGCGAGGTGAGGTCGGGGAGCGTAATGTTCCTCCAATTCCCCGTCAGCCCAGGTCCAACTACGTGAGACGCATAGGTTGATGGCGTTCTATTCGTTCCACACATCCAGAGACAGAACCACTGCACAGTGGGCCGCCTTTCTACCTGCTTCGGCGGATATAAGCCTTTAACTTTGAGATGCAGGTTTCTTGCTGCTGTAGCCTGCCCGCGCAAACACCTGAACGTGTGTATACCGACAGTGCCATTTTCAAGTTTGAAACGCAACATCCGAGGCCGGACCATATCAGAAATGTGTTCCGGAAAGCTCCTGTATCAGACTCCTGTCGCGATGAGACGGGCCGTCCCTGGCACAGATTGGGCTACGGCTAGCAAGCCTCTGCTGCATTGCACACCCTCCAAGCCTACTCGCTGGTGTGATACTCTATCCACTGTAAAAAAGACGGAAGTTTGTACAGTTCACTTCTACACTTTATGCGACTACCCGACCGTCACACTCGGTCAAATGGGAAATGTGACAACATGTTTCAGTCATTGTCAGAGCCAAGATGAGATCCTCAGAGTGCTTACATGCACTTAGACAACAATCCAGTCTGGACAACAATCATTATGTTACGTCAAAGGATAATTGAAACAGCTTGCGAATGATGGCCCATTTGCGAAAAAGTAAAAGTCAAATAAACAGTGGTATTAATACTGACTATCAAAGGTAGCTTCTCAGCACACCAGGTACCAACCGAAAAGAATCCAGCTTCTCCGCCTGACGCCAGGTATTCCCATAACACGAAAAACAAAGCCCTAACACCGTTTCATACTCGAGGGGTATTTCCACGTCATTCCCAAGGCCGTCGAACTAGCAAATCGAATCGCTCTTATATCCATGCCTATTCTTCGTCCTCATTCCTCTGGCGCACAGTGTCCCGATTTAGGCACCGGGGTAGGTGTGGTTGGCCTTGGCGCTGTGGCCGCGCGAGCGCATAGCCTCGAGGGTGTCGAGGACGGCAAGGAACGTAAAGATGGCCCAGATGAAGAAGGCAAAGGCGACGGCGGCCTGGGCAGAGCCGCAGTAGGTGTTGGCGCCGCAGCGAGGAGCACCCACGAAGACGGCGAGAGCAATGGCGCCAGCGAACCAGAAGATGGTGGTGATGACAAGCAGAGCGAGGGAGACGAGCTTGTGGAACAGGCGGGTCATGTACAGAGGGGTGATGCCGACGTAGGCGAGGACCAACAGGGACCAAACCGAGTTGAAGATGATGAAGTTGACAATGTCGGGGGAGCGCGACCACCAGCCGCTGAAGCCGTTGTAGCCATTGTAGCCGCTCGCAACTGTGACGGGTTAGCGTGTGAAGAGTTTGTTGCGGCAATGTGAAGGGGATCTTACCATAGGAGCTCAGACCAAGCTCGATGATGGAGAAGACGGCCGCCACGATGTGGGCGATAGGGACGAGGGCAACCATGATGTTGGTTTGTGTGGTTGATTCAGGGAGTTGTTAGGCGGTGGGTGTGGCGTGGGGTTGATGAGGAGGTGATAGGAAGTGGCTGGCAGTGGCAGTTACTGAGTGATGTAAGTGATGGGAGAGGAGAAGGAGGGAGGCAGATATGGAAAGAGGCGGCCAGGTTGAATAAGTAGTGGGCGAGTGATTCACGGGGGCGCAAGACCAGTTTCTTGTTTGGCAAATGGCGTCAGATGGGCAAATGGCAGATGGGCGTAGTGCCTAGGCAGGTCGCAGAGAGAGATGCTTTCATGCCAACGTCGGAAAGGAAGAGAAAAAAAAAAGAAAAAAAGAAGGAAGCACGGCCCAAAGGTAAGGATGGAAAGAGTCTTTTTTTTCTTTGGCGGTACCTGGGGCTACCTCGACAGTCCTCCTTGATGCATGGCGTCCTACCGTATGGGTGGACAAGCGGGTCGGTACAGCTAAGGTTCCCTCTTTCTCTCCACGTATGTATTCTGCGCGCCGCTTGGTACGCACGCTACCTGCCCGGCGCGTCGCATCACATTCTCCAGAGCATGCAATGAGTGGTTGAGTGCGAATTGGCGATGCGTAATGGCTTCGAGGCTGGGGGTCACCGCGCAGCAGAAAATGACGTGGTGTCCAGCTTGCACAGGGTCGCCTGCCGGGGTATGACCTCATTGGCGATGGCTCCGGGCCAGGGCAGACAGGGATCTGGGCCAATGAGACGACGCGCTAGCGGCAGAGTTGCCGCCAATCTTCAGCCACTCCAGACCACTCGGCGTGGCGTGTGACTCTTCAAGGCTTCAAGATCCACTGAGCCATGTACTATGGCATTCTTTTGCTCGTGGACTGTAAGGTAGATACTGTACTAGGTACGTGCCTAGGTACTTGGGTACCTAGGTGCTTTGGCTGCCCCGCTTCTCTTGGTTCCCGACTTAGGTAAGCGCCGCCTTCTTCGCACGCCAGAGGCACCTCGCATCTTCCATCATCTGTATTGTCATTCCAGTCCTCGTCCCAGCGATCAAACGAAGGGGATTTGCGGATTTTTAGAGTGTCTCGTCGACCATGACGCCGTTGCTGGCCGACGCAACCTGGGCGGAAAGCCAACGGACGTTGGGTGTCAACAACCCCGCCTCAACAGAAGCCATACCCCTACTATGTAGGCCCAGGACTCTCTTGATGATATGCCGACTTCATCGTTACCCCAGGACATTATTACCTGGGAGGACCCCCAAGAAATGGCTGCATCAGCCTCTGCGAACTACTCGCTCTCGACGTGCCATGTACCTGTCCGACTGGGATGACAGCTCAAGATTCCCCAGCTCGACCCAACTCGTCCTCAGAGACATTGCGGTGAAACAATCACTCTCGAGGCCTGTACTGGCACACACACACTTTGACACTTTCACTCATACGCCTCAGCGCCCAATACGTGCCACCGCGGTCAGCCATTGGCCTCTGTCGTCCACACTCAATACACTCGACCCAAACCAGCCACTGGCATCCAATCCTTCACCGCACCTCTTTCGCGACCCTGCATTCTTGGCCCGTATGCAAAGGCATGGATGACGGGCCCATGCATCAACACCCATCCGCATAATAATACAGTGCATGCTGCGTCCCAGCCGCCCAACTACCGGCGCTGGCAACACACAACTCGTCGACAGACGGAGCAAGAAAAAAAGAAGGAAAAAAAGGGCATTTGCAAGAATGAGGCGGGCCCAGCGCCGGCAAACAGTGGGTCCCACGCCCCGTCTCGGCTCCGGCACCCAACACCAAGACTTGGGACGTGGAGGCTGCATGGATGCGTATGTACAACCGTCGTCTGTCGCCCTCTGGGACGGTCAAGGGTCCAATGCAAAGCGACCGGGAATCGCGGAAAACCCAGATGACGTGTGCCCAACTTCGTCGCAGACCGCCAAGTTTGCCCATCGCCGCCCCATCGCCGCCTGCATCCCGTCATGCTCGAAAACGTTCTCGTTCAGTCAACCAGCCCCCATCTCTTGCGATTTTTCGTTTCATTCCATTTCCGCACTATCCCCCGTCCTACTCAGCCCTCGCCTAAGCCGGCCTTTGTACGCGTCTTTCCTTTTTGGGTTTCCGCCTCTCTCTTCCCGAGTCGTCGTCTCGAAGCAACGTCGTCTCGTCCAAGACCCTTCCTGTGACGAGGAGGGGGGTGTCCTGTTGAACCCTGAGGAGCCCTGAGGTCTTGTCGTGCCCCGTCCCTCGCCCCCACCGCATCACCCCGCCGAGCGTGTTCCATTCTCGATTGTGGGTCTGGACCGCAACGCCAGCGACGGCCGACGCCGGGCCCTCTTGTCCGGACCTATGGTGGCGTCCATCATTCCGCATGACGCAAGCGCGTATCATTCCAGCCGGATGAGATCGCACCAAGGCATCTCGACACGACTGGGCTGATGGGATCGAGGGGCAACCGCGCAGGCAAACACGCCTGATGCTGCTGCTGCGGAGCACGCCCTGATGGTGAATCAAGACCGACGTTGGGACAAGGACGACAACGGCTTCGCGACGAGTAGGTTCGTCGAGCCTGCGCTAGTGTCCTTGGATGCCGCCCTATGGATCAAGCTAGCTAGCACTGCGCCTAGCATCTACGTCTTTGCCCGACAAAGTGTGCATTAGTTGCAGGGCGATGGCGCAAGTCCGTGGTCAGGTCACACTTCATAAAACCTGCAGAATCCAGGCTCGGCGGAAGCCACCACATCTCTAGTGTCTCGCCTCGGCACCACATGGTCGAGCTGTCAACGTCTGAGCTACGATGGTCTCTTGCCCACCACGACATGCCAAGTCATGAGCCGGAGCACAGACAGTGCCAACAGATTGAAGGCCGCCGAGGCGATCCTGGCGCGAAGCCTTGACCTAAATCCCTGGAGCCGATCACCACGCAAAGGGAAGAAGCGATATGCAACTTGAATATCGAATTGAGCTTAAACATATCCACGTCACAGTCATCTTTCTATGCCATGACGGCTCCACATCCTCCATCTTCTGCCAACTTGTCAACTTATCATCCCTCTCAACCCTTCAGTCCACGTGCGACGGTGCACGGTTGACACTAGGCGCAACCCGACAGTGAGTCGATTATTCATGTTTCACCCAAGGAGAAATGGCAAAGCTTTCTTGGCTCTGCCCAGGGGCTCACCTACAGCTCGTCGGCCTCATGAGGGCCAGGACCCCAGGGACCCCAAGGGCCCCAAGGGCCACCACCGCCACCACCACCTCTGCCCTTGCGCTCTGCCAACCCTTCGTTGACGGCCTTGAGGTTGTTGTACTCGGGTCCGTCCTCACCCAGGCCCCAGGCAAAGACTCCGCCGAGCCTCTCGTCGTCGACAATGGCGGGGAACTTGCGGAGGATGGCATCGGGGGTGTCGTATGTCCAGAACCGCTTCTCGGCCCTGTCAAGGTAGTAGTAGCCACCGCCCTCCTTGTCATACTTGCCGTCCTTTTGGGCCCTCTCAAAAGAGGCCTTCACGTCGTCCGGAATGCCGTCGTTCCAGCTGAAGCCTCCCGTCTGGCCCAGGTCCCCGCCGGTTACAGGGTCCTCCATCAGAGGCGTTGGGCATCCGACCTCCTTGTCCTCGGGACAATCAGTGGTCTTGAACCACTTGGTGTAGAAGGCGAAGCCGAGGTTGATCTTGTGAGCCGGAACGCCTCTGTCCATGTAGTTTCTAACGGCGGTTCTCGACAACTCCATGCCCGTGTGGTGCTTCGTGACGTTGTCTCGGCGGTTCATCATGTCGTACGTCATGACGTTGACGAAGTCGAGGTTGCGCACGATGCGTGGGACCGTCTCCTTGGTAAAGGCAATCATGTCGCGTTCGAGGCCGGGCGTCGCGGCGGATATGAGCTTATCCTCGGGGAGCTGCTTGCGGACCTCCTCCAGCAGCAGGGGGTAGCCCTCCATCTCCCACTTCTTTTCCTCGTTGGTGATGACCTTGTAGTCCTCGCCATTGCCACTGGACCATCTGTCAGCGGAAATCCGTATGCATGACTGTTGTGTCTTGTGGGCGCTTACGCGGGGTACTCCCAGTCCATATCGATGCCTGTGATATATCAGCAACATCTCCATTTCTGCGCTGTTTGCTCAGAGTCGTCCTACCATCAGCGCCGGTAGCCTTAACCATATCGGCGACGTTCTGGGCCCACTTCTTGCGCGACTCCGGGGTGCGGGCGGCCGTGTCGAAGCCTTTGGTGTCGCCCCAGCCGCCGATGGCGACCATGACCTTGGTGCCAGGCATGAACTGGGTGCGGACCTTGTCGACGGTGGTGAAGAGGGGCCACTCAGCGACGTCCTTATTGAAGGTGTCCGAGTTCATGAAGGCCAGCTCCACGTGGGTGATGTGAGACACAAGCTCCTTGGAGGGGACGTTGGGATGCTGTCTACGGAGCGTCAGTAAGGTGATGGTAGGGCATGGCAAGGATACGGATAGTGCCGATGCCAGCGCAACAAGACATACCCAGTAAGATACATGACGCATTTGAGGCCGGATCCCGATCGCTCGGCAAACTCTTGGGCAGAGGCCATGGCGGCGGACTGCAGAAGGGTTACCAGACCGCCCAAGGCCACGGGAAGCAGCTTCATGGTGTGTCGACGTTGGAGGCGGGAGAGGAAGGGAGGAAGGGCTCCTGCGGAGGGCGTTCGGGAGTCGCGACGGCGGAGAGCAGGAGTCTAGCCTTGTTCAAACGAGGACAGTCGACGAGGTGACTGTAAAAGAAGAGAGCGAAGAGGCCGAGACGACGCGAAACGGCGAAACGGGGAAATGGTGGGAGACGCGGTCGATTCGGTGAACTCGGGACCGGAAATCCAGTGAATCAGATGCCGAACGTCGCATGTTTCCTCAACCAACAACTTTCTCTTTGCGCCCGGGATCGTCTCGGTGCAGCAACCCCGCTGTGGCGGGAGCTCTCTCAGCAGTGTAGATGCGCCTTGGTATGTGCCTGCCCGGTCTGCAACAGCCCTGCAATGGCGCTGCAATGCGACGTCGGACAGCCAACACTGGCTGACTAGTGCGCACCAAACAGGAAGCTGTTGGCACGGGGAAGGAAGAACCCCGCACCAATTAACCTTGAGCCTTAAGGTAAGCTCTTTCCTTTCCTCCGCACCGTGCCTCCCTAGTGTACGGTATCTCCTTCCTCCCTTTTGCAGCCCTCGTCGCACAGGTGCGGTACGTATCGTCTTTGCCAATAAGATGCGCCGATCCTACAGAACCATGTTCCGAAAACGAGATACCCACGATACCGTACAGTCAGGAACCTAACGCAGAGAAACAAGCGAGAGACCTGGAAAGCCATGAATGAGTTCGCCCGAGGCAAAAGCGTGACGTTGTGAATAGCTGGCTCGGTGTGTCGAAGCTTCGACCGAGTTATTGAATGGGCAATACACCGTACTAGGCACATTGTGCGCGTTCGCGACTTACACGGCGACTACTCTGTTCTTTGTACGAATCGTCCAAGGTACTAAACAAACTGCGCATCAGCATTGGGTAGCTAGACAGCGTTTATTGGCCAATTCGAGAGGAGACATTGTGGTTTTCTGGCTCAGTCGTCTTTGTGAAAACATCTGGGTCATCCCACGCTCTGATGTTTCTAGATCTGGCTCCCGAGCCGTGTTTGCATCTTCCAAAACATCTGACCCGGGCCCTTCCCAGTTCTTCCTCGCGTGCTCACCTGGGACGGGTACCTTGGTACCTAACCACGCCGCTCGGTGAGAGCTCGGGTGGGGCATCCACACCTCGGTGAGCTGCTCACCTTAAAAATTAATTTCCTCCACGGCCGGCTTCCAACTGGCTTCGGTCAGTTTCTGTCCCGACTGCTTCCTAGCCAGCTTCGATTGGAATCCCCTAGACACCTTTCTTTTTTGGTAGTCCAACAATTCAGTACTCTTTAGCCTTCCATTCCAAGAGTTAGGGAACCTGATTGGTGCAGCAACCATGTTCGAGAACCTCTGCACCCTGCCTCTGTCCGCCGAGGTCTTTACTCAAGTCCTCCATCCCACCGAGCCGCTATTGACCGTTGGGCTGTCCACCGGTCATGTCGAAACCTTCCGCCTGCCCCTCCCGTCGAGGACACCTCGGATGCTTCGGGGGACGCCGATACCAGCATCGCATCGAACGGCCGGGGAACCATTGACAGCGTCTGGCGCACCAGGCGGCACAAGGGAAGCTGCAGAGCCCTGGCCTACAACCACGATGGATCTGGTGAGTAGTCTTGCGACGCGCAGCAACCGCTGCCGAGAGCCACGGCTAACCTCGAGGACTCGTCAGCCCTCTACTCCGCCGGCACCGATGGCTTGATCAAGCACTTCTCCCCGAGACCGGCAAGGTCATCTCCAAGGCCGTCGTCCCCTCTTCGAACAAGCAGACCGACGCTCCGACACTCATGCACGTCCTCAACCCCCAGAGCCTGCTGATTGCCTGCGACTCGGGCGCCGTGCACATCTTTGACCTGCGGGACGGCGTCCCCTCGGCGAAGCCCGCACAAACGCACTTCCCTCACTCCGACTACGTCTCTGCCATCGTCCCCTCCCGCCCTCCGCCGAGAGCACGTCTGGCTTTTCGAAGCAATGGGTCTCCACCGGCGGCACCACTCTCGCCGTCACCGATGTGCGGAGAGGCGTGCTTGTCCGATCCGACGACCAAGAAGACGAGCTGTTGTCCGCCTGCTACGTCCCCGGCCTCGGCCCCAGGAACAACCGCAACAACGGCATCGTCGCCGTCGGATCCGGCTCCGGAGTCGTGACCGTCTGGGACAGGGGTGCATGGGATGACCAGCAGGAGCGCATCATCGTCGACGGCGGCAAGGGAGGCGGCGAGAGTCTGGACACCATGGCCCTCGTCCCCCAAGAGCTGGGGCTGGGCAAGAAGCTGGTGGTTGGTCTTGGCGACGGCAGTCTGCGCGTCGTCGACTTGGTCACCAGGGAAGTCGACAAGTCGCTGAACCTCCGACACGACGAAGTCGAGGGCGTCATCTCTGTTCTGTTTGACTCGCAGAACCGCCTGATAACGGCCGGCGGCAAGACGGTCAAGGTGTGGGAGGAGCTGTCGGAGCTCCAAGGAGAGGCCGAGGGTAGCGACGACGGCAGCGACAGCGACAGCGATGATGCGCCTACCGGCAAGCGTCGCGCGGAAGATAGCGACAGCGAGGACGACGAGGACGACAGCGATAGCGACGATGATGGAAAGAGGCGGAGCAAGCGCCAGAACACGGGGGCTGCCGCGAAACTCGGCCCGATGGGTGCTCACGGCATCCTCGGTTTTGACGGTTTGGACTAAGTAGATGTACATAACTAGTGATACCCTCCAGGGCCATCTGAAGAAAGGATGAGCAGCCAATGGAACCGATTCAACTCTTGGATTTATTTTTCTTTCTTCATTCGGGGTTACTCAAGCTACCTACTCTATTCTTGAGAGTCCGCGGTCATCACAAAGTTGAGGGTTCATGCGCCTACACGATCGAGCAAGGGGGTATGTGCCGTCCCACTTGACAATGGAGTTGCGGGTGGTGGTTGATGAGTTCGCCGTCCACTTCCCGTCTGTATTGTTGACTGCCGAGCTCTGCCGCCGCGCCCGGGACTTGGAAACCTTCCACAGCAGGGCGGTCGGACCCCGCCCCCGCCGATGACAAACGACTGACAACATTGACTTATCAACGGCTCTCTCTACACCCAGAGGCGGAAATCTATTTCTTGTCTCTTTCTGTTTGTTCAGCACCCTAATCTGAGAAAGACATTCTCGCTGCCAGTTTGCCCATCATGGACACCATTCATCCTTTTGTCTTTGGCATTACCACGCCCAAAGTCTTTTTCGGACCGGGCACCGTCAACGAGTTGAGTGGCGAGCTTCAGTCCCGAGGCCTCTCCAAGCCTCTCATCATCTGCTCGCCGTCCCGTGCTTCTCTGGCTCACAAGATCCGGGACAATCTGAGCAAAGCAGGCTTCTCAGACATTGAGATACTCGACACCGCCAAGGTCCACAACCCCAGCGACATCATCGGGCCTGCTGTCGACCACGCCAAGGGCCGGGATGTGCTCGTGTCAGTGGGAGGCGGCAGCGCAGTCGGCCTGGGCAAGGCGGTTGCACTTCGTACCGGGATGCCGCAGGTGGCCATTCCGACAACATATTCTGGTTCGGAGATGACGCCCATCGTCGGTGAGACCAAGGATGGCAAGAAGACGTCGACGACGGACCCCAAGATTCTGCCCAAGGTTGTCATATACGACGTGGATTTGACCATGGACCTGCCCGTAAAAGTCAGCGCCCCGAGCGGCATCAACGCCATGGCGCATTCGTGTAAGTCTGCGGCGCTCAAGCAACTGATACACATGACTGACAACGAGTCTAGTCGAGGCGCTCTACTCGCGGCAAGCCAGTCCGCTGACAGACCATTTTGCTCTGGAGTCCATCAAGGCACTGTCCAGCGCCTTGCCCGTCATTGTCTCCAGCCCGTCGTCGGTCGAGGCGCGCACGTCGGCCCTCTACGGCGCCTTTCTGGCCGGTTTGATGGCAACAGCAACGGGCATTGCGTTGCAGCATAAGCTGGCTCACGCGGCGGGCGGTTCATTGAACCTCCCTCACGCCGAGACGCACTCCATCTTTCTTCCCCACAGCATCGCTTACAACGCGCCGTCCTTCTCCGAGGACGTCAGGACTAGGCTGTGCTCCGCCCTCGCGCAGAGCACCGAGAACTCGGTCGAAGGCATCGTGGCCGGTCTGAATGAGCTGCTCCGGCTCCTGGAGATACCCCGCGGGCTCAAAGACATCGGGATGCAAGAGACGGACATCGATCGAGTCACAAACGTCGCTTCAGACACGCCTTACTGGAACCCTCGTCCGCTCGAAAAGGCAAAGATCCGCGAAATCGTCCGCAGAGCGTGGGCGGGGGAACAAGCTAGAGCTGATCTCTAATTGGAATCCACATATTTCTTTGGGGCATGTGCTTATTCTATCTCTGTTTGTAGAATCTACGCTCCGGGTCTCGAGTATTCCAGGTGTCTCACTCGCTTCCACGTCTCCCGCACGACTCTCTCCTGTGCTTGGCGTCCCGTCTCCGTCTCGGTTGGTGCCGCGGGTCTGGGTTTGGTCAGCGGTGTGTGACGATGCAATTTCGGTGACTCAACTACGTACCGGATGGCCAGGTAAAGTCTGCCGCCTAGCTTCGCCTCGGGGATAATGCTCGTATCTTCGGGCGGGTTCGCCACCGTCACCAACCCTCCGGCCTCCTCGAGGATGGCGAATCCTGCGGCGACGTCCCTACAGGACTGCAGTTAGCACCTAATCTCCCCCAACGAACGAGGAGGTCAACTTACCACTCCCAGCACCCGCCTTCCCACCAGATGTCGAACGACCCCATTGCTGTGTATGCCAGATCCAAAGTCGCACTATCCCGTTAACAACCATGAATAACCCCAATGTCGGACGGCGTCAAGACTTACCTTCCCAAGCTCCTCATACCGTGCACCATGCCGCCCTTTCCGCCTCTTCCCCCACGCTCAGCAGCCATGTTCATGAAGCTCTCGACCTTTCGATGCATGTTGCCGTCGGGCGTGTCCCGGCGATCCTTGCCCCACTCGCACGAGAAGACGCATCCGCTGGGCGCGTTGGCCGGCAGCGGGCTCAGGACGAGGGGCAGCCTCTGCGTCTCGTTCATCCACGCGCCGTGCCCCTTGCACGAGGAGAATGTCTGGTTCAGAAAGGGGGCGTTAATGACGCCGATGACGGGCTTCCCTTTTACTGCGAAGCCGATGGAGACGCAGAACATGGGGAAGAGGTGGGTGAAGTTGACGGTGCCGTCGAGGGGTCAACGATCCATGTCGGGCTGTCGTCGACGAGGTAGTCGCGGGATGCGCCGGCCGAGTACGTTTCTTCGCCGAGGAAGCTGACGTTGGGTCAGGATTGACACTGGGGGAAAAAATAATTGCGCATCGAGGCCGGTGGCCGGGTGAGTCGACCTACTTGTGGCTAGGGTACTTGTTTGCGACAGATGTGCGGATGAAGGCTTCAACCTCTGCAGTCGAGAACAACTCGTCAGCACGTCAAACTCCGCACTGAAACTCGGATTCCCATCCACGGACCTGTGTCTGTCTTGGTCACCAGGTCGACCGAGTTGTCCTTCTCTGTGAAGGCCTGCTGCTGGCCTCCGGTTCCCCATCTCGACTTGGCCGCCGTCATGAGCAGGTCCCCGGCCTCCTTGCCCAATTGGACAGCAAAGTCGTAGATTTCGCGGAGCTCGGCGTCGCTGATGTCCGCCATTTTGACGTTCCTTGCAGCGACTTTCTTGGGAGAGTTGCGAGTCAGAGAGAGTTGTGTAAGAGAGAGGGGGAGAAGAGAGGGAGAGAGAGAGAGAGAGAGAATGAGAGCAGAGTCGGGAAGAGAGACGACTGAAACCGCATAAACGTGAACCTGTCCGCTGTCGGGGCCGGGTTCAGTCTGGTTTATCAGAGAAACACGGTGACTCGACGGCTGGGCCGCCGCCAGCCGAAGAATAGCGGCCGCGGAAGCCCTGTGAATGACGTCCAGTCCCCTATCAGCGGGGAGTCCCCGCATGGCACCCCGCCCCAAAGAGCCTGAGGACGGGCCCTAGAGACAGGGGGGACATCGTCAAAAGGTCCCTTAGTAACGCTTGTGGAACTCCGAGTCAGGAGGTGGGAGCTTGCAGCTCGGAGCTTGTTGGCCGAGCTTCTGAGTGTCTGGCGCTCGACTGTGAGGCGCAGAGTTTTGGAAACGACTCAACTATGTAAAGAGAGAGTGTTGGCGAAGTGAGAAGACCATCTCCAGCCATCTCGGCTTGCGCCAATTCTCAACCCATCACCGACTGAGCGTTTCCATCATGCGCGGAACAAGACTCGCCCACTGAATCGGATCTAGGGGAGTTTATGGCCTCATTGTTTGAAGCTGTTGTTGATCCAGACTGAACGAGGAACATTGCAAAAAATACATCCGCAAATCTCATCTCAACCACTGGCTATCAACACGACCTCCAGAGTTCTACTCATCAACAGTGCCAACTCAAAATAATTGGGCACCCGTGAACCCCAAGTCCATGAATCGACAACTCTCAGTGACGTAGTCTTTTAGGCCGAGAAGCAGGCCACCAATCTTCACATACACTTTGAGGACTCCCAGCCAACCACGAGGGGGCAATCGTTGACAGGATTCACGATGCCAGGGGCAATATCGATGCTAGCTCCATCGTCCCAGTGCCTCTACTCAGACTAAGTATCGCCATTCGCGATGCAGTCTCGGCTGTAGACGCTCCCTTTGTCGAAATCCACATTATCGACATCCCCGCGAGGGAGGCGTTTGAAAACCACAGCTACATGAGCGACAAGGCGGCGACCGCCATCTGCAGCCCGCGAGGTTTGCAGTCACACGGTAGCCGTCGAGTTCGCGGCGAGACACTTGACGAATGGCGGGGATGCTGGGATTGTGAATAGAATTAAATGGCTCATCAGAAAAGATGTATATAATGTACAGTCGCTGTTGCTTATCTTGCTCGTCCACACCATCCGGTGCCAGGAACTATAGTGACGCTGTTACCGCCTTCGACGGCTCGTCTACTTTCAACTTCATATCCCTCACAAGCTTGGCCCAGGCGATGGCTCCTCTCCTTGCCAACTCCTCGGGGACATCGTGGTCCTCCTCGGACATCCTCCGGTTGAAAAGCTCGAAGCTGACCCAGCCTTCGAACCCAAGGCCTTGGAAAATAGCGGCGCAAATCTCCCGGACGGGGAGGTATGCCCCTCTTGAGTATTCGCCGTAGAATAGGCGGCAGTTTCTCGACCACGACATGCGCGACGGCTGCTCGGCGTTGTAGTAAGGGTGTGTTTCGCAAATGGGTTCGGCCAGGCGTTCTGCGTCGACGACTTGCACGTAGATGATCTTGGAGACGTCAACGGTCGAGAGCAGCCGCTGGATGGACTCCTTGACGGCTTGCTCGGCATCAGGGACCTTTCCAGACGCCGCTGTAGGGTCGGCAAAGATGCGGCCGGCGATGTTGAAGGTGTCGAGGCACATGCCAAAGTTGGGCCGGTCGACCCGCTGGATAACCTCCCAGCAGCGCTCCCAAACATCGACTCTCGTCCCCCATGAGAGGGACTCGTATGAGAAACGGATGGGAGGGTTGGATGCGGCGCCAATGTCTGCAACTTCGGCAAGGTCGGCAACGTGGAGCTCAAGATCCTCGGAAACCTGGTCCGCCGGCAAGACGTTGCTGGGGATTTGGATCAAGTCTGTGCCAAGCACGTGGGCGAGTTGGATCCAGACACGCAGCTCTTCGATGCGGCGAGCATGCTGTTCACGGTCAATGAGACCTTCGAAATGCTGAAAAGGCTGCAGGCAAAGGATCTCGATGTTGCGGACGTCGCACATTCTCTTGACGATGCCGGCTGCGGCGAGTTGGTTCTCGAGCAGGGCGGCGCCCCCGGGCAGCTGCTCGGCCACGTCCATCATGTCTTCGTGCCAGAGCTCAATGCCTTGGTAGCCATACTTGGCTGCCATGTCCATCTTGTGTTCAAAACTGTGGCCTGCCCAGCATCGCCCGAGCGACATGGTGCTGATGGCTAAACGAGAAGGCATGTTGGATGAGATGTGATGTGTGTCGATGAAGGGAATATCGGGGTATCAAACGCGAAGACAGCAGAGGAGCAAGGTGTGGCTGGTTGCTAGCAGTATATCGTGTGACAGCGGGAGACGGTTGAGATAGAAGAGAGACTAAGGAGGTATTACAAGTCAAAGAGGGCGGTGGACGTTTACTCGTATACGTTTGCCTTCGGCAACTATGGAGGCCTGGAAGATTATTTGCAGCAGCTCGTTTCCCGGATCTACCAGAAAGGTCATGTCGGACCCATACAACCAACAGTTCTGTCACAGACAAACGCAAACAGCTTGCCCATTGGTCTCATATGCTGCCGTCCTACCACCGGGATGCACCGAACGCCCGAGGGGAGGTGAGGGGGGAGCAAATCATTCACCCGCCACCTACTCCGTCTTATCAGCATCAAACGTTCGGCAAGCATGTTGATCTGGGGGATTCTGGGGCGCCCGAAGGTAGCCGGGCCAGTCTGGAAGACGCTCTTCCAGCACGGTCATGCCCCGCGAGGGTGTGGTGGGAGGCGTGCAACGCCCATCGCCAAAGCCGGTGGTTGATGTTCGTTAGCTTGGCGGCCGGTGACGTTCGACTTACAAGCGCTAGCACGTACCTCGTTCCCTGGAAGAACGCTTCTCCTGCGGTGGAGGGGGGATAAACGTTCTCCAGACTTGGGCCTCGGAGGTGTGGTGGGATACCCCTCAGGTAAATGTACCGGGGTAGGTCGGCCGTCTTTGTGTGTGGTATGCCCACCATTCCGAAGTCCAGACTATCCGGCACTTCTCACTGGTTACCGTGCTGGAGAGTGCTTTGCCGGTAGGCCCTCGTCGCAAGTGCTGCGAGCCACCGATGGGAAAAGCCCTGATGCGGCTATGAGCCGATCTGATGAAGCGCATCCCCTAACCCCCGGACTTTTTCCCCATGTTTCCGCAAGAACAAATAAGTGCAGCATTATTGGGCCCGAGGAACTCCAGTTGGAGGCAAGAAAAAAGCCGGAGTAAAAAGGCGACCAGACCGAAGAACAAAAAGTGGCCCTGAAGAGACATTTTCCCCATTTCTGTTATTACTAGCCATTAGCCACCGCTTTTAGACAAAAGAGGACTCTTTTCCCTCCATTTGCTTGTTGCATCCCACCATAACGCCATCTCCAACCGTCCTTCTGAGTCGTATAGAACTCGTGCTGATAACATTCGAGTCAACCAACCAAGACAAACAACACGGAAACTGGAAATCCTCTCTTCTTCGGTTCCCACAGAAACCCAAGTCAACACCACCACCACCATGGCCAGTGCAGCTCCCGTCCAGCAATTGGACGAGTCCATTGCGGCCAAGATTGAGCAGCTTGACCGCCACGGATACCTGTTCGGCCAGAAAATCACACATTCCTTGTCACCCCTTTTGCACACCACCATTTACGAGGGTATCGGCCTGAACTGGGAGCAAATGAGACTCGACTCAGCAGACATGTCGCTGTTTCTCGAACTCATCAAGCACCCCAAGTTCTACGGCAGCTCAGTGACCATGCCCAACAAGGTCGCCATCATCCCGCACCTCGATGAGCTGACGGACGAGTGCCGCGATGTCGGCGCGTGCAACACGCTCTTCATCAGAGAACGCGACGGCAAGCGGATATTCTGCGGCACCAACACGGACGTCATTGGCGTGCGAGAGTCGTTTGTCCAGAACGTCGCCGACCCCGACACCGTCTACCACAACAAGCCGGCGCTTGTCATCGGCGGCGGCGGTGCGGCACGCAGCGCAGTCTACGCCTTGCGCAAGTGGATGAAGGCGACCGACATCTACCTCGTCAACCGCGACAAGAGCGAGGTCGACGCCGTCATCACAGAGTGCTCGGCGCGGGGTTACGGAGACAGGATGTACCACGTCTCCACCGTCGAGGAAGCGCGAGAGCTCGAGGCCCCCGGCGCCATTGTGGCGTGCGTGCCCAACTTTCCCCCCAAGACGCCCGAAGAGATTGTGGCGCGTGAGATCATCGTCGAGTTCTTGAACAAGGATCGCAAGGGTGCCATTCTGGAAATGTGCTACAACCCCACGCCTTTCACGGAGATCGCCGCCCTGGCAGAGGATGCTGGCTGGCAACTCATCTTGGGCACGGAGGCTATGATTTACCAAGGGTTGGAACAGGTGAGTCAACAGAGGCACAAGATCCGAGTAACCTTTCAGGGCATATCTAACACACGTGCAGGACCGTTACTGGACAGGCAAAGAGGTTGATGAGTTGCCCGTGCAACAAGTGAAGGAAGTGATTGCAGCGAGGCTGTCGCAACACTCAAAATTATAAGATTTAATGACCTGTAAATGACTTGCATAGCTGCATGACAAGCGTCTGTTTTGACAATTCAGTATGGAGACAGCCCCTTTCACCGTAAAAATGAGTGTGATTTGGAGCTGTTTCGACCCAAACACATCCATCCGGAGCCCTAGTGAGACTCAGCGTCCATCACGCCCTTGGCTCCCTGTCATGACGGCGTCAGATAACAGTGGGATTATTTGGGCGGAATGCGTTGATATAGGCTTGCGATGGCTGGACCTAAACAATCTTGATCTACTCATATCGTAGCATTACTGGCGTAGTTGATGAATAAGGCCTGGAATCTCAGATCAACCTTCATCTCGGCGAACGCAAAGAACTCATTTGAGCTCGTTTAATTCCACTTATAAGTATTTGTTACGATACTTGGCTTTTTATCGAATTACATACATTTAAGGCCACGAGTCCATTTTGGGATGCTAGTTACTTTTTACGAAGGTAGCAGCAGGCCAACAATGTGAACCTCGGGAACTTTAGGAACACTTGAAGTTTATCAGCTGAGATTCAATATTTGACAACATGATTAGGACTACTGAAGTGAGACTAACGTACAACTTTTTCTCGACTTCAATTTTGAAAAAAAGGAGCATAGCTCTCATTCAATTACCCAAGTATAAGTCGACGTGAAATAAAGTAAAGTTGCCTTACTTGAGCCATCCTGGATTATGGATGAAAAGTGCGATGGTAACAATGTCTCAGGAGATACAACAGGTTTCTCACTCAAATCATTTTCGCATAAATCGTGTTCTTATTTTTGTTCGTCTTATCAAGTATGGAGTCTTGGTTCCTTCTTTCAACTTCATCGCGGGCGGGAAGCTAACCTGGGACATATCTGATTTATCCCAAGTCATTCTAGCCTTCAGGTTGAAGCTTGTGGGGATAGAATGTTTCGCGTTTTCTTCAAGCCAAGTTGCGGACCTTATGGAACTCATTCGCACATTGGGCGACAACTCGTTACCCACACAGCCTGTGTCTACCCTGCGATTTTTTGCTGTCAAACTGGATTCCTATGATATGTATGCAACGTACTTAGGAAAGGCCAAGAATAATATTGTAATGGATCTTGGTTCATACTCAGGTAATGTAGGTGCTGACTGGGGATGTTTTGTAGCTGCATGACACTGAGACGGTTGCATTGTTGCTGCTAGGACATTACGCTCACACAAGAACGTCTCCACTAACCATATAATTAACCTCTTTTTGCAAGAATGTTTACCCAGTAGGAGTGCTTCGGATTGCTAGCCACAACATAGTTAGCCCCTGAGAGTACCATCGTTTGGTACCCAAACCAGACTCGTGTCAGACCCTAGGAAATACCTTGTCTCTTTGCAATGCTTACGAAATACCATCATGTTTCAGCTAATTATGTACGGTCACACGACTCCATGCCACGATCGCGTCCAATTTCAGTGCGCAGATCATTAGACTGGCTGGAGCAGCTGCAAGTACTCTGAGCACATCATCTTGACATGGCTTTGGACCCCCCCCCCCCCCCCCCCCCCCCCCCCCCCCCCCCCAACCGCTGCCTTCCACGACAACCTGGAGAAGTTGACAGGGCCGCAGTGGTGATGTACTGTCCTGGTGTGGAAGGCTGTCAACACGCCGCTGGTGCCTTCGGCTTACCCAAAGCAGGATCCTCCCACCCCGGCCTGGGCTTTGTAACCATCGTCCTCCTCTCTTTAGTTTTATTTTCTCCACTCCCTCATGCTCTCTCGGCTCATGCTCTCTCGGCTCATGCTCTTGTTTGTCTCTCAATCGTGATAAGGCGTTTATTTTTTAATCACTTGATGGAACGGTTGCGTGTGGACGTATGTGAATTCCTAAAGACTGAACTCTTGGGAACATACATCTAAGTGTTCCATCCATTCAAACGTCCTTCAATCGTATTAGTGAACCGTAAACCCATTCGTTAAGCGCTCTCCTTCCTCTCTACCTGGTTGAACTCCGTATCGTCAGACTTCTCTGCGAGCCTTGCATCAGAGTACTCTCTGAAGTTCGGGTCATCCGCCAACTGGGCCATAATAGTCTTGTTTGCTCTCCAGACGGGCTTGATCTCGAACAGACGGTCCATCATCTCCAAAGGCACAGACTTTGTCTCGGGCACGAGGAAAAAGATAAAGATGGCCGAGCAAAGCATGAGGGAGGCGAAGAAGAAGTAGACTCCATAATCCCAGGCGTTAAACATCTGCGGAGTAAAACGCGAGATGATGAAGTTCCAGAACCAGTTGCTGGCAGCTGCACTTGCTTGTCCGAGCGATCTGAAAAACGTCAGTGGCTACACGCTGCATAGTATCTTGATTTCAACGTACCTCGTGTTTTGGTCAAACATCTCGGAGTTGATGACCCAAGGAGTACCGTTCCATCTGGATTTGGTGTTAGTACAGATCTCAAATAAACTATGCGTTTCAAGGGCTATCATACGAAGGAGTGTAGAATCTGTGAAGACAGGTTAGCTGGGTTGTTCTCAATTTTGCTCTGGGTTGACAAAAAACTTACACTGTCCAGAGGTAGAAGAAAACCATAGCAGAGATGCCGCCACCGGAGAGACCGCCGCCGGTGTTGGCAGAGGCCGGGTTAAGAGCAAGGTAGCCACCAATGTACCACATGCACAGGGATCCGCCAATGGCGCCGATCATGAGAAGGTTGCGACGACCGAGCTGGTCAATAAGCCATAGAAGCCACACGAACGTAACAACAGTCTTGACAACGCCGAAGATGCCAGTTGTGAGGAAGCTAGTGTTGGCGCCAGTAATGCCGATGCTCTTGAAGACCGTTGGGCTGTAGTAGTTGATGGCGTTGATACTATCAAAGTGCAAAGTTAGTGACAAGAAACGAAGAGACGTCCGAAATGTCTATTTGCAGAAGGAGTAAAGTACTTACCCAGAGCCGTTTTGCCACAAGAAAAGCATGCTGCCAAGGAAGAAGCGCCACTGGACCTTGCGGTTCTTGAGCGACGCGAAGGGCTTCCAGAAACCAGCGCCAACTTCTGTGCGGTATCGCTCGAGTTCGGCGTCAACATAGCTCAACTCCTCAACGATGTACTGGTCGTCGGGAGACAGGTTTCTGCGAGGGTTGAAGGGTTAGTTTGTGAGTTCACCTACGAGATTGCCAACGCAGAAATAGGAACGTACCTCATCCAACACAGTGCTTTCAATCCCTCCTCTCTCCTGTCCTTGGAGAAGAGCCAGCGGGGCGACTCGGGAATGAAGAGGGCTCCAACGAGCAACAAGCCAGCGGGGATCAGCTGGACAGCAAAAGGAATGAGCCACTGGGAGTGACTAGGCGCCATGGTAGAATCGACACCGTAGTTGATCCAGAAGCCGACGAGACCGCCGATCTGCCAGCCCAACTCGTAGATTCCAACAAGACGTCCACGAACCGCAGGGGGCGAAAGCTCAGAAATGTAGATGGGTGTCATGTTGGAGCAGCCGCCCACACCGATACCCGCGAGGACTCTGCCAGCGAGGATAAGACCAAGGCCTCGCTCACGGTTGGCGCCAAGCATCATGCCGGCGCCCAGGAGGAAGATCGTTGTGAAGACCATCAAGCTCTTCTTGCGGCCGAGGAAGTAACTGCTGACGTAGGCAAACAAACTTCCGAAGAAGGCGCCAGCCTGGTAGACGGAGACAATGTTGGACTTGAGGAGAGCCAAGCCATCCTTGCTGTAGGTACTAAATTGGAATTCCTCAGTAAAGGATTGCAAAGCGAGGGTAGTTCCGATGAAGGCAGAGTCGTAACCGATGGTGCAACTGGCAAAAGACGCGATGATTGCGCAGAAGTAGACGCGCCAGTTGTACACCTCCTTGGGCGTAGGGCGGTCCTCTACAAGTGCGAGGATAGCCATGATGATGATAGCTGTCGCTGCTGTCTTGGGTTGGTAATGTTCGAGTTGTGCGTGTGACAGTCTGAACTCTGAACTCCAAGGCAAGGCTGGGGTTGAAGAAGAGTCTTAAGGAAGGCAGACTCAAAAATTGGACAGTCCAGGGTTGCCTTTGTTATATGAACGGGTCAGAGCTCACTCCAGTCTCCAGGTTGGTAAAAGGAACTGACAAGTGGCGTATCGGTGCGTCTGGGGTAAAGTCTGGGGGTTTGGATGCGGAGTACGGCCAGGCCACACAGATAGGGGAGGGATCGTTCGGCTGAACGAATGGGATCCGGGGTAGACCACACGACGCCCTCACACACGTACGGCAATCCGGAGTGTTGACTCTGGGGTGAACGCTTCTCCCTTGAGCTAATTTTGCGGTCTTGCGTCGTCTCCGAACCGGAGCAAATTCTGCATCCTGTGACTGACTCGTCCCCATATCGCGTGGAGCCCGGCAGACAGGTTCTTCTCCGCACCGATGGATAGTGACCTATTTCGTTCCGGGCTAGATCCAATCTCGTAGACCCCCAAATTCTGGAGAACCCCCGTCCAGACCGGGGTTAAGGGTTGAATATTTATCCTTTTAGCGCTTGTCTATTGGCATTCGACTGTCTTACATGGCACGTGGAACTCGGTGGCTTCCTAGCTTAATGCATCCCAACCAAACAGAACGACGGTAATTCGTGAAGGACGAGTTCCCCAACTTTCTCTACCTGTCGGTTCATGTGGGGGATGGGGTTGGCCCAGGAGGGCGGTGCTGTCAGAGGACAGGGGCCAAAAGCAGGTTGGTTTCTTGGAATTTTGAGTGACTGGAGTTGAATATATCCGGTCGAGACATGCCAACTAAACCGCTGCGCCGCCCTTTGAGGCTTCACCGTATGACCTAAAAAAGACTCGTAACTTTACACACTTGTTGAATCGAACTAGTTGAAGAACATTCCTGGGTCTACGGGGAAGCCGAACCAAATGTTATTGTCCAGTGATGGCTGTCTTCGATTTCTTTGCCATTTGTGGTTGCTATGGCGGGTGCCCCAAATCGCAAAAGAAGCCGACAAGTGCTCTCTTGGGTTGGCCAACACATGCGAATTCTAATAGATTTTGGATTGCATGACTCTCAGCGCCGGAGTTCAAGCTACACGCGGCACTGCTCGTTGCCACAATAATAGCTTTCATTAAAGAGTTACATTAAGCAATTAGGGTGAACGCAGGCACATGCGCAGCCGCCTGTTCTGCGGCTTCAGTATCGCCCGGAGACACGTTCTCGGCAGAACCAACCCATGACACACCTGAGGTTTTGGTTGAGACGTCACCCTTTCGTTGCATGCTGCGATCTGTTCCTGGTGATTGTAATTCCGACACCATCCCTTCCTCTTGGCTCTACCGGAGTTAGACCCCAAATCCCGAGACGCATTCGACGTTAGACCCCATGCTATTGCCTGCAAAGGAGTCTGGTTAGAAACAAGAAGATAAGCGTGCTGGAGCGGCCAGGGACAGCTGACGAAAAGGGCTAGACAACCCGAATTGTCGTATCATTGCCCTTGGCATGGATGAACAATCTTTAATGGCAAGGGTCGTTCAGTTGTATTGGTCCGCTCGACAGAGGAATAAGGCTAGATAGCACTTTGATGCAAATAATGTTTCCGTTCTATGGAATTGGTGTTTATTTTTTCGACTAAAGGCCATGATACATTAAACTTGTCACATCCCACCATATTCTCCTCGGAGCATATCTGTCAGTTCTGATCCAGGAGCAAAGCCGAGATTGGCCATAAACTGTGGGTCAGCCTCCATGCTATCTGTGCAGTCGATGGAAGCGAGTTCATCCATAATGGCGTCGTAATCAACGCCGTGAGCCCCTTGTCCCATTAAATAGGGGCCTGAGCAGACGATAACTGTCCCATGAAACCTGAAGGGAACGTATCCAACTGGCTCCCAGGAGTGAAGGGCATTGTCCTCGCTGTTGAAGGGCTAGCGGAGGAGGCTGTCTGTAGAAAGCCACTGCCGTTGGAGGCGTAAGACTCCGAATTCATTGGAAACGGATAATGTGAATTTTGGCGGACAGAAGCCTGCCGCGAAGACTGCGGAGCTGCAGACTCAACGCGAGTTGGCGTTTGATCGCTCGATTCCGCATCCATGGGAGAATACTCCGTATTTGGCGACCGATCTTGCCATACGGACATGAGATCTCCCATCAGTGAGTTCCATCGGGTTTTGTCATCGTCCCGGAGAGCCTGGACGCAGCTTTTGGTACTAGCGATGCTCATGTAGGTGACAAGGAGCGGCGAGACACCAGCTGCGCCAAAATAAGATATCGAGCTCTCTAGAACCTCCATAAGGCTCCATATAAGAGAAACTCGAGCATCGGCCATCAGAGTCAGAGTCGCACCTAAGAAGGTGGCCTGTATCAGAAAGGCCGAGGGCAGTATGGGTATCGTCGAGGCTCCGAAGACTACGGAATTGCAAAATGAGAAACGAGGATCAAGCGCCTGAACAAGGTTCGCGGCGCCGACTTTGGGTCCCGCACTCCCAGATTCGACGCTTTGGTTCAGAGTGCGGAAGAACTGGTAAAGCTGGTTGAAGGAACTCAATGACTGAGCGGGCTGCACGGCACCGCCAACATTCTCGGAGCCGAACCCAGCTCTGGGCACCCAAGGAGCCCATTCCTCCGATCCACTCTCTTCTGTTGGCTTCTCCTTCATATCGTTTGTCCTCATGTGCGGTGTTTGACCGAGCCTTAGAGATACTATCGTATCGAGCATAAGACAGGCTTTTAACACACGGTCCAGAGCGTTTGAGTACGAGTCTTGCATGGACGATGTTGACTGCCCCGAGATTGAGTTCCGGTGCCTGTCCCGTGCTTGTCCATCTGTCAAAGCCATGGCACCCCGAACGGCCAAACCTATAAGTAGAGAGGCTGCTCCCGCACTGTCCTGGCCTAACCTGATCAGAGACAACACAAGCAGAGCCTTAACATGGCCTAGAGCCATCTCGGTTTCAACTGGTATAAGACTGCGTGCAGCTCCCAGTATCAGGCTGGGTCGGTCTAGAGCTTCCGACCCCCTGCGTTGCGCAACGAGGTTGAATCCTGAAAAGCTCCAACAGCAAGAGCACACCAGAGTTCAGCATGTGCCGCGCTGGTGCTTGAGTCCTCTGGGTCAATATCAAGACCGTCTGGTGGGTAGGAAGCTGCGGCGTTGTCGAGCGTTTCCTTTGAATTCAATATTGGAAGCCAGCTATGGGTATAAGAGTAGTATACCTCGAGTAATCGAGGAAAGTTTCTTGGTAACTTGAATCTTCGCCGAGATGTCGATCCGTGACGTTGCCTCGGGCGAGGTTCTATTGGAGTGGTGTCGGGTTTTCGTTCGGTAGTAGTTGGTTGCGGGGAGGGTTCGGCGCCGCCTTGGGGAGTCTCGCCGTTGCGTTTGTTACGGCCGTCGGCTTCTGCATCCGAGTCGTCCCCGGAAGTGTCCTGACGAGGGCTCACGCCGTCTTTACCAGACAGAAGGCGGTCGATGTCTTTGTGGACTCGACATCTCCTCCACCTCTTGTGCAGACGATTCCCAGCCTCGCTGTCCTTGTCCAACAGAAGAGACTGCCCACTGCCACCTTCCTGGGCCAGCAGGCTAGCCAGCTTCTCTTCTGTTCCAGGAACCTGGTCAAACAACCAGACGAGAGCAAGCTCCAGAGTTCGAATCAGACCGGTCTGGACGCCGCGCTTCTTTGGGGCGACATTATAGGTGCACTGCCGCGACAGAGTCACGCAGGAGAAGCATTGAGGCTGGACACCGTCGCATTTCTCTCGGGCACTGTATGTTCAGTCAGCGAATGTCGGGTCGGGCATATTTCAAAGAAGCAATGGCAACAATAGAGCGTAGATGGCTGGGTGTTGCAGTCAACGGAGCAGCACGCAGTTGGCATGACGCTGGTCATCCCGAGGCGCGCGGTACAGAAACAAGGTGACCGGCATCCACATGTTGCCATCAGAGAACTCAAAGCGAACAATAACTGTGTATGGTTGCTTGCCTTCTACATTGGTCGCACGCTCGAGACACCCGTTGTCGCTTTGGGACAGCAGTCGGGGCGGCGGCAGTGTTTTCGGCATCGTGGGCCTTCCTCTTAGAGGGCATACTTGTCGTTGCCTCGGGCGGCAGGGCGGCTCCAATGGCTCACGCCGTTGAGGACTGCATGAGGGCGTGTGCAAGAAGCGCGGAGACGTCGATGAGAGCTGAGATGCGAAGAGCGTGCGCTGCGGACGGTGGTTGAAGCGGCTGACCGGGGGGTTTGCGAGTGGATGTTGCGCCGGAGGAGAGAGACAAGGTATGATGACAGCGATGAGCAGCAGAAGCGGCAGCGGCAGCGGCGGCGGTAGCAAGAGTCAACGATGGGATTGACGTATTTGCTTCTCCAAGATTTCCCGCGCGCTCTCTGCTCAATGGAGGTGGGGAAATCCTGGGGTAACCTCTCACAGTCGGACGGACACAACGTCGCCTCACGGGGTAGTTGCTGGATCTCAGGCCTCGAGCACAAAGGGCAGGCTGGTCAGCTGGCATCTCCGTGGCATTAATTGGCCACTTATGAACAAGTACGACTGACTCGACATGCGGGGTGTTAGTGAGATACTTTGATGTGGAGAGCGAGGCAGGGATCCGTGGCCTGGGCCTAGGCTCAGGCTGATATTGGGGGATGTCCAGTTTAGCTGGAGATGGCTACGACAGCTGGGACGACGGGCCTTTCATCAAAGAATGCATTTCACTCAACTGTATAAAGTTTGGGGTTGAGATCGCCAAAGATCTTGGGTTGTTCTGCGTCCCGAGCCAAGGGCACACATAGGCCACGCGTTGGGGACTTGGGATTCCCGATCACTTCCCCGGCTGACAAAGTAGCCTACTAACTCATGCTTAAAGGATAAACATTCACCAGAGTATCCGGCTTAGCGCCGATCAAGGGAGAGGGGCATGAGTTTAGCACTAAGCGTCAGAGCTGGGGAACGGTTCCGATGTTCCTCCCACCTGACTGGCAATTCTGCCGCATCGGTAGGGTAGACCGCGCGGTTCGAAGTGGACTGACTGACTGACTGACTGGCTTGACTCTTTCTTTCGGAGAGAGCTTGACCTTGTTGAACCACTACTGCTCGGCTTTCCACGAAACACGGCTGGACGACAAACACAAGCAGGCACGCCCTCTCAACTCGACACCAGCGTATGCGAATGCATCCTGGGCTTGGCTTCGTCTCCAACTCGCCTGCGACTGTTAAAGCCGGGTTGAGGCGCAATGGCGACGGCTGGAGTAAAGCGGTCATATGTGGCCACGGCCATGAACGACGATGAGGATCACCACCATCAAGTCGAGAATCCTGCAAAGTTCATTCGTGTTGACACTCGGAATGGCCACTCTGCATCGCCGAGCCAGCCTCAGAGCCCGAGGACCAACAGCAGCAGATACTCGATGGCTGCTTGTTCTCGACCCCAAACACCAATCACAAGACCAGCGACTCCAATATCGCATCTACCTGGCGAAGTGCCGCCGTTCCCTGCCGATGCCTCCATTGTCCTCGCTGGCATTCGGGGAGCTGGAAAGTCCACACTCGCCATCATTGCCTCTACGGCTATGGAGCGAAGGGCTGTCGATTGCGAGAAGGCTTTCCAACAAGTCACTGGTCTGACCAGCTTCGCGTACAAAAGAGCACACGGTCCTGTCGAATGCCACCGGCGACAAACAGACGTTCTTCGAGACTTGCTCGAACAAAGCTCCAAAAATACCATAATCGTCTGTAGCTGGATGGAACGTGGGGTGCAGACGCTCTTGAGAGACTTCTGCCGTACGCACCCAGTCATACATATCGTACGGGACGTCAAAGCCATTCAGGAGCATCTGAAGATCGACGACGAAGAGAAGGCAAGGAATTTGTTGGCGGCGAGTAGCACCATCTTCCGGACATGCAGCAACGTCGAGTTCTTCAACGTCTCCGAGACTGCAGGCCCTTGGGTAGAGACCGAGGCTGCGAGAATCGAGGCGCAGGCTGGCGGCCAGAAGCCGCCTGCCCCATATTTGACCCTCAAGCGGGCAGAGAGGCACTTCCTGAAGTTCCTTAGTCTCATCATGCCCAAGGGTTCGATCCCCTTCATTGAGTCTGCCTTCCCGCTAGCGTCCATTCCCACGGAAGACCGACGATTTACCTACGCCATCTCGGTTTCCTTGTCTAGCCTTCTGAACAACGAGCTTGCCATTGAGGAGCTAGAAACTGGTGCCGATGCCATCGAGATTGTTGTTGACAGCATTGCGGGCGCGACATCACTGGATTCCGAGAAAGCGGCAGACATTGCAAGAATCATTGGGTCAATAAGAAGGAGTACGGTCATCCCTCTGATGTACCATGCCGTCCTTCCAGATTCGTCCGAGTCGGTGTACATGGACTACATCCTACACGGCCTACGACTCTCGCCTGAATACCTGACTGTCGACCTTCGACTGAATGACTATCAACTATTGCACATAATCTCGATGAAGAGGCGCTCCAAGATTATTGGTCATTTAACACCAGCTGTTGACTCTCCTGCTTGGGGAGACCCGTTCTGGATGTCGCAATACCACCGGGCCCGACGCTTGGGGTGCGACCTTGTTCGACTCATCAAGCCGGTAACCTCGATCAAAGACAATTTCGATATCAACCACCTCAAGGCCCTTGTTGATGCTTCAACTGGGCACAAGATTCCCCTCATCGCATACAACTCCGGCCCACGCGGCAGACATTCAGCAGCCATGAACCACATTCTAACCAGCGTAGTGCCGGAACCGATGGCATCAACATATAACCCCAACCAACCGTGCTTGACGGCGGTCCAAGCTACGCAAGCGCTCTACAACTCGTTCCTCTTTGACCCAATGAAGATTTACGTCTTTGGTGCCCACGTCTCTTACAGCTTATCGCCAGCTATGCACAACGCCGCTCTCAAGGCGTGTGGTATCCCACATATCTACCGACCATTCTCGACTCCTTCACTCAATGGGCTTCGAGAGCTGATCGAGGATCCCTACTTCGCAGGCGCCAGTGTCGGCTTGCCTTTCAAAGTGGAAATCATCACCCTCACGCATTCTCTCAGTCGACATGCCCAAGCCATCGGCGCCGTCAACACCCTTGTTCCGGTTCGTCGGTTGAACCCAGATGGGACTATCCCAGAGGACGAGAAGCTTTTCAACTGCAGGAACCGTGCTGGGCCGGTGAGAGCTCTGTACGGAGAGAACACGGATTGGATTGGCATCCGAGCTTGTCTAAGAAGAGGACTGTCCCCTGCAAACGCCGTCCGAACAACAAGCTGTGGCCTCATCATTGGCGCTGGTGGCATGGCCCGCGCTGCGACGTACAGCATGCTGCAGCTTGGCGTCAAGAACATTGTGGTCTACAATCGGACAATAGCAAACGCGGAGAAGATGGTCAGTCACTTCACACGCCTATTGAAACGGCACGACCTGCCACTCCTCAGCGCAACTTCGGACGTGGAGACGAGATTCCACATCATCAGATCACTGGATGAAACATGGCCAGAGGAATTCAGGCTACCGACGATGATCGTTTCCTGCATCCCAACGCATAGCATTGGCGACGTTCCGGCGCCCAACTTCATAGCTCCACAGGCCTGGCTCGGCAGTCCAACTGGTGGCTGTCTCGTCGAGTTGGGCTACAAGACACTTGACACACCGATCCTGAACCAAGCACGACAGGTATCACATCAAGGCTGGGTGACGATGGATGGTCTGGACCTATTGCCTGAACAAGGCTTCGCTCAGTTCGAACTCTTCACCGGAAGACGAGCACCACGCAGGCTGATGCGTGGAGAGGTTTTCCGCGCTTATCCTGATGGACAAGACCGCTCTGCACAGGCACAACTACAGCCACGACTGAACAATATTGTCGAGCAGGAGCCATGATCAGAGTTGGTGTAGGGTTAATGATGCTAGAAGACTATGATGGGAACTGGCTTTTTTTTCTTTTCTTTGCTAGCCTGGATACCACAGCATACACGACTAATCAATGAGTAAACTTATTAACAATTTGGAACACCTGCTCCGCGCACCCCTAAACGTGAATTTACAGTGACGTTTTGATAACACTGTACCATCAGCGATAGCCCGCTCTTTCGGGCGCCGCTTGACTCGACATGAAGGCAGCAAAGTCAGTGCCCGCGTAAGTAGAGATCGGAACCTCTCTCACATTCCCATCGACTTGTTTGGGGTCTTCGAAGACCGGCCGCCTCGAGCGTAGCGCTTCTTTCCCGACCCAACTCAGATATACCGTCTCATGCACCTGGATGAGATCGGTTCCAGTGCCGCCGGCCTCGGAACTTCGGCTGCTGCCTTCGGCCGGCTCGAATTCTGGTTTCTTCTCCACCACGAACACGCTGTGGTCTTTTCTTTCAATATAGCGTGCAACAAGTACGAAACCAAAAAACCAAGCAATACCAATGCCAATGATGACCCATGAAACGGTAGGGACCAAGTACCATGGCTTGACTGTCGAAAGCAGCATTCCTGAAGGGGGAACCCAGTTGGTGATTACCGGGTAAAGACCTCCGCACATGTACACGAGGGCGGAGAAGACAGACAAGAAGGGGTGAAATCGCTTTCCTGTCATTTCAGCCCAGGTAAGCGGCTGTGAGTCTCGTCCGTGGGTCGAAGTATCGTCTTCGGCCACGGTCCTAGGTGGTCCTCGGAATCGCAGGATAAGTATACCCAGGCCCAGGAAAGTCCCTATGAATGCGTTGATAACATACGCGCTCAACGACGTAAGCAAATTGTAGGCCGCTGTCGGCTCTATACCGTATGTCGCGAAGATGAGTATGACGCAGCTGACGAAATGGAGAACTAGAGCGCCAACAGGCGTCCTCTCGCTATGATGTTCCGGAGAGAGCCATCGGACTCGATGAAGCGACACGAACCAGCCTTTCTTCTGGAACCATCTAATCAGTCGGCCGATGCTCATGTCTGTATTTTGGGCGAAGAACTTTGGCCATGGTAGGATTCCCTTTCGAGAGTCAGTTGAGAAACCATGTCTGTAGATCCTCGTTTGTGGGTTCAACTTACCTCCTTCGCAATCTCTTGCTTTACTCGGGCGGCTGTATACGTCTGCGAAATACTGAGTGCTGGCTCAAGCTGGTACACAACCGAGATGACTTACCATGACAATGATGTTGCCCATGGAGGAGACGGCTAGAAAAGCGTTGAAGATGCGAAAACCCGTGTCGCTGCCTGAGCCCAGGGTTCCAAAGGTAAGCTCGAAGAACTTTCGAGCAACATTGTGCTGGATCTGCTCGTCTTTGGGAACCACTACCAACTGCCTTGGGGTCAGTGACTTTTCCCAATTGTCAGAAGGGCAATTCCTTCACACTTACATAGCAGATGTTGACGGCGAGGTATAGCATCACAACGACACCCACACCAGCTCCCATAGCAATCGGAAACTTCTTTCTGGGTCGACTGATCTCCCCGAGGACGTAGTTCGGCTGCTCGAATCCGGAAAATGTGAAGATTATTGCAAGAAAAGCTTGTGCGTAACTGTTGGCTTCTTTCGAGGCGTCCTTGAATGAGTTCTTTGGAGACGTGTTACTGCTGAAGACGTTTTCGGTTTCCGAAAACCCCCCGGCTCCCACAACAATGGCAGCAATGATGATCAGCAGCATAATCATGATTTTCATCATAGCCAGGGTGTTGTTAAGCAGAATACCGAAACGACGGCTAAGAGCATGAACACTGCACGCAAAAGTAGCGGCTGCGAGGGCAATGCCGCGGACTGGGCCATTCTCGGGTTTCTCAACGCCAGCCGCTTCTAATACTCGGAGCGCAAAATGAATGCTGTTGCCGGCCATGTTGCCGAGGACAATGAAGCTTATGCCGAAGATACAGGTTGACAAGAGAATGGTGTTCTTACGATAGGCCGGCTTGCGGAAGACGTATTGTAGGTAAACAAGGTCACCCCCGGATCGCGGTACCGAACTCTCAACTCCGTCAATTATGTATCGAGGAACATTCATACCATACTCGATGTATACGTGGGTGCCACAGAGGCAGTATATGATGCCCGCAAACCAAAACAAAAGGCTCGCGCCGACGCTTCTGGTGCCGCGCATCACTCGCTGGGGAGACATGAAGATGCCGGTACCTATGCCAGCCGATTAGTATCTTCGTCCACCCAGACAATTGAGTGGCCAAAACAAGGCCCCGAGTGACAAGGTCCTCTAGATGTATTTCTTCTCCATTTGGCCATGCATCCAAAAAAGCGCCTAAAATGCAGCGAGCGCACAAGTGGAAGAGGCGGCAACTAAACTACTAAGGGTATCAACTTGAAAATCTGTATCCAGCATGTCCACGTTCGCAATCCATCATTCATCGTCTCATACCTTCTTTATCTTCGAGGAGCCTGCTAGCACGTTGAAGGAGACGATACACTTACCAATCATGCGGTTGATGACGAGGCAGCTGACATCGAAGTAGCCCAGCCGAAAGCCCTCTTTGGGCGCATGCGTGACAATGCCATTGCCAATACCACCAATGACACTATCAATGTCACTGTGAACCGAATCACCGTCGACACCACGGGGTTCCTGGTAGAGGCCCGTCGAGCTTGGAAAATCGTTCATCTTATGGACGAGGTCGACCTGAGAAGAGGAGGATGGCGGAAGTGGGATTTGCGGGTGCCCCGCAGGAGGAGGAGATACAGCGCAGTGTTATTTCCAATGCTGAAAACTGACATAGCAAACCAGGCTGCAACGGGTGGCTTCATGGTTATGTATGGCGTGTCTCTACAGGCCCGCGTGCGTCGGGATGCCATGCATGTCGGAGCGGCTCAGACACAAACCTCCAGCTGGAGCGCGCACCACTGCATGGCAATATCCAGAACAGAGGACATGCAAACTTGGCCATGGGCTGGCAGCTGCAAGCATGCATGCCGAGACAGCCACTACTCCGGGACGGGTGGTGGTCGAGTCACTCGCTCCTCGACAGCCTCGTCTTGAAGTATGCCTTGCGAGGGCAATTTGGACGTTACTGCAACAAGGGCACGAGGTGATCCAGCGAGATGCGCTAGGCATCACGCTTGCGCGCTTTCTTGAGAGGGAACTGAGGACGCGTTGGCGAGAATCTAGTGCCCTGCAGGCAGCAGTTGAGATGTGCCCGATCTGGCTATGGGCTGGTCTCAGTAGACGAGTGTTGATAGGCCTGGTCAAGCGAGCACGAATGGGAAGAGTCCCCGGAAGATTGGGGGTGACACTTGTCCGTTTCCCACTTCGAGGTTGGGGATTTGGGAATGGCGGGCTGCCGTCGTTTTGCCCAGTTCACTGCCACCGCCACCAGCATTCATTTCGCAGCTGGGCTGAGCAAAGATCAACGACAGCGCCCACGGTGTAGACGCTTATGCACTTAGAGGCTTGTCAAATCCTCTCGCAGGTAGGTCCATCATGCTTGTATTGGTGGTTGTTGTTCAGCTCGTCTGTTTTCGTCTTGTGCTTCGAATCTTGGGACGCAGCGAGGCTATTTGACGTCAACGGAAATCCCCAAGGAAAATAAGGCGCAATCAATAGAAATGAGAATTGCGATCTGCGAGAAGCTGTCCACAAATACCCTGATCTTGGATCTACATGTATCTAACGTACGTAAGCACATATCCGGCTAGTTCATCTCATGTGTTTGGCAACCAACTCAATTGTGGTGGTGTCAATAGCTTATCTTGCAAATATCGTGCCGCACACCTGCATACCATCAACCGGAGGATCAAGACACACTCAACGGGATTGGATGCGTTCATGAGGGTGTCTCGGGTAACCGAGACCGCGTGACAGCCTCCTCCTCCTCCCCCTCACCCCCGCTTGACGGAACCCTGGAACCCATGGGCGGAGTGAATCCGCGCGTTGTCGGCTGTACCCAAGACTCGAGACCGAGGCAATTAGCTCCAGCTCTCCAGGAGTAGAGCTGTAAGAGTTTATTGCAGCAAGGCAAGACGTTCAGTACGGGCTACCGCAAGGTTCGACAGTAACGTCATCCATCATGATCACATCACATCTCTCTCAACTCGCCAAGAGCAACTCCCTGTGTATCATTCTCAGCTGCCCAGGAGTGCCACATTCGTAGCTCAACCCTTACTTTCGTGTACATGTATGGAACCAGGCAAGACCAGTCAAGATATCTGGATAAACAGGGTGCATGCAGCAGGCAGCATGTCTTGCGCCCCTGCTGTCTAACTGCATGGCTTCCCACACCATCCTGCCTCTCGGTGTCGACTTGGAACTGCCTGGGCCCGGCAGAGTCACCCAAGCTGGTCCGAAGGAACAAGCTTCCAAGGTGACCATGCCCATCAGCCTCACTTCCGTTCCCTCTGCGCCCGTCTTCTGCGCTCCCCTTGCCTCTTTTCACTGCTCGGTCAGAACATTTCTCCGTCTGCAGTATTCCGGCTACGTATTCCATGCCCCCCCCATCGTACGTGCCGACCCTGCGTTCCCCGTGGCGGCCACACCTGTCTCTAAGTCACACGCCGCCACAACTCGGGGCAACGTCTCCCACACCTCTGCCGTGTGCTCTCATCCTGCGGTCAGGCTTTACTTGAAATCTGACCTCGTTCCCCTCACCTGCGTCGCAGCCATCGACTTGGAGCCCACTTTTGGAAGTTTCCGTCTGTCATCGCGCTCGACTTCGCTCACGCCCTTTGATACCACCGCGCACCCAATGCCAATCACCTCATAAGGCGCCTTCGACAAAGGGTTTCGTTGTCTGTTTACCCGCTTCCCCCAATGGCAGGACCCATCCAGCTGGGGGATGTCATCAACTTCAGCAAGCTTGCGTGGGACGTCTACAGGTTCGGTTGGGATAACGACTTCAACGCAAGTGAGTTACTCTTTACAGGAGCGCCACGTTTCACTGTCTTCGTTTCTGAAATCCCTCATGATCACCATTGTTGTTTCGGGCGTCTTGTAAATCAGCTCTTAGCAGGCTGATCAGCCTATGCTTCTCCTCTTTGGAGCTTAGGCTCAGCCCTCTCCACGATAAACGGCGCCGTAGGGCTGAATGACAGCCAGTGGGGGAGAATTCCAAAGCTGTTGGCGGCAACATGAACTGACAACACCCCAGCACGGCAATATGCAGAATTTGGGCGCGATGTAAGAGGGCTGGCCGAGAATCTTGACATCCTCAGCCGCGTGGTAAACAAAGCGGACCAATCACTACGCCAAGAAGGGGCATTCAAACCGTTGCGCTGGGATCGTTCGTCCCTTGACGAGATCATCGGAGACTACGAGGAAACTCTCACTGAATGCTGCAATCTGATTGAGAACAACCATCGCTATCGTCTTAGCAGTGGCCCGCTCAGGAACATCGAGTGGAATGTCCTTGTGGCACCGGCCGCAGACCGGCTGCGAGCGCGGATAGCATTGCACAACTCCAAGGTTCTCCACGTGCTGAAGCCGTTTGAAATGTAAGTACGTTGCCGTTCGTGACCAGTCGGTTCGTAACACTCACCAAACCAGCGATTTGCTGTGCCGTGTCAGGGAAGACATTCGCCTTGTGCACGAGGATCTTGCCCACCGTATAAGTGCCGTACACCTCGACTTGCACCGCCTCATTGGAGTTCTGGTCCCAGATCTCGAGCAAGCTCTTGCGCGGCAGGGCCATCGAGAGCTCATTCAACTCGAAATACCGCGAGTAGTCGCCGAGGGCTTCCAGAAAGCATGGGACGCGGAGAGGCGAGAGGATGACTTGGGCCCTAGCCTTCAGGAGATGGCGGATGTTTTCGTTCTTCACTACCACAAGTCTACAGTCAACTTCACCGCCGGCATCCTGGTAGAAAACAGGATCCCCGAAATCGAGCAGTATGTGAGTCTCTTGAAGTGCATCTGGGTGATGCGGCGCATTCGCGAATCGGCCGAACTACAACAGTCGACGACGAGCCTATCACACTGGCCTTCGTATATCCAAGAGCTTGAGGATGTAAGTGGCCAACGACACCTTTCATGCGAGTGGCTCGGGGAAGCTAATATATCTAGGACCTTGCCTTCCAATGCGATCGATTCAGGCAAGACCTCGTGCCACCAAGCCTAACAGGCCTACTGCCCGAAATGCTGGACATCTGGCCTGAGAAAGAGCTTGCGCAGCTGGTAGATGTAGTGACAAGAGACGCACTTATGGAGCAAGTCTTGGACATGTGAGTGCGACACGGCCGCAGAGATACCGGGCTTATAAGCAATCGCTTACACGAGACTCTTAGACCAATGCAAGGAGCTGCCGCCAACGTCCAAAGGAAGCTCCAGCTGCTTCGACGGATGGGCGCAGACGGAAAGCGCTTCCGCATCAACATCTCCGGTGTAGAACAAGGAAGCACGAGCAGGAATGCGCGTCGTCAAGGTACGTTTGCAACGCGTAGTGGAAGTGATCTATGAATCCGCTGACAACGTCGGCAGCCGAGACCATCGACTTCGACATCACTTCCGTCATTATTAACCCGTTATATGCCGTCCCATCCACCACGGGAGCATGGGATATGATCTTGCGGAAAGACGAGCGGGTCGCCAAGCTCGCATTTACGCAGCTCAAGGACGCGGTCAGGTTCCAGCAAGCGATCACTGGCTTTAAGGCATTTGACAACTACAGCCAGTAAGGACCTCCTAGCCCAGCATCGGTATTTAGAAACTAATCAGTGTCGTCAGGTACAAGGCCATGGTTAGCTTCGTCGTCTCAGGCAGGGGAGAACCGATCGTCGAGAGCGCTTGCATCCAGCTGTGGGTTCCAAAGCAGCTGGATGGGCAACTCGTGACAAACAACGAGTCTTCAGTCGGGCAAAACGCTGCGTCACGGTCCGCATCGGTAGCATCTTCAGCGACTGAGACGGCGTCGAGACAGAGCACCCTCCGTGGCCTTTGGGACACGACCAACCCAATTACGACCAGCCCTACCGAGACCGTGTCGATGTGGAACAACATGAGTCCGCCAACGGGGCCTACAGCGCGAAGCCCATCGATACCGTCGCCGCCAACGATCAACAACCCGGCGGGGGTGCGGTCTCCTATGGCTATACCACGCCGGCCAGTGGGATCGGGGAGCAGGCAGACGACAGCAGCATCGCCACCCCGTGGCTACCAACAACCGACGATGTCGACATCGCCAGTTAGCCCTCGGTCCTCCAGCTTGTTCCCGGGCTCGTGGCAGTCGAGGGCGCCGTCGGTGTCTACAGTAAACACCCGCCCCGACAGAACGTTCAGCATGTCGAGCAACATGTCGGCAGCCACGTCTCCTTCTAACAACAGCTCGAGCGGTAGCGAAGCGCGTACGGCGACTGTTAGCATTGGCGGATTCACAACCGGGACTGTCCACCGGCGTCCGCCCAAACCCATGTTGGTTTTGTTCACGCAGCATCCGCAGACGGGAAAGCTGGCGATGGTGACGATAGATATTGACGAGGACACCGAGGTCAACCCGGACCGGTGCAACTGCCGGCGGTCAGGACGTGATGGGTCATCATGTCTGATTGCCGCCATCGAACAGAACCGGGGCAATGTGGACATGTCGGTGCGACGGTTTGAAAGTCGCGATGGCGACATGGACTGGAACCTGGCCAAGCTGGCTCTCGGCCGGCGAGGGGAGAAGGAGTACGCTGCCGCTGTTTGGAAGGACGTCAGGCGTATTAGCATCATGTTCCCGACTCCCGAGGACAGAGCCAAGTTCGGAGGCACGCCCAACATCTGTCAGTGCAGTGCGAGGACAGAGGCTGAGCTGGGCCAGTGCCTCAAGAGACGGCACAAAGGCTTCCTGGGGCTCGTCAGGGAATCCGGCCGGCAACAACTTAACGAGTACCATCGGGCCAGATTCGGATCGCAGCACGATGTCGTCCGCGGGATGAGAGACGACTAGTGGCGCGGCATGCGGTGCGTCTACGTGAGTGTCGGGGCAACGCGTAGACGGTTCGGGCATTGAGCCAGCGGTGTACATATTAGGGAACTTGATGTTGCGGCGTAAGGAGTTGCCGGATGGGCGGATCGAATCATCAGCTAGAGCTGACTGGGTTACAGCGAAGACAGAGGAAACATCGTTTGAGGTGGAATAGACACAAGCGGGACGGCGGTGGAAAGCGGCAGAGCTGGCGGGCGAGTGTAGAGACAGACCAATCTGAGCGTGATACGTAGCTGTATGTAACCGAATGCACCATGTTCACAAGATGCAATGATATCTAGCTTTGTCCCTAAATGTTCTTGTCTTGTACGGCTCTCGAGTAGTCATCAACGATGTGAGACAGGACAGGTGCGCCGGCACTTTGCTGGTTGATTTTCCCACCGTCCGAGCCGGAGATGCCGTCTCCCTCGTCCGCAGACCCCCATGACGTCTCCCGGTGAGTCCCTCGACGAAGAGCTCTCCCTCGTGGGCGGAGTTCGCCGATGGCAGGCAGAGGCTCGTCGGTAAGTATGCGGGACGGGAGAGAGGAACGCGCGCGCGCAAAATGGCATTGCAATCACTCCGTCCAGCCATGCCCAAGTGCTGCATCTCCGAGTCTCGGCAGCGCGGGCTGGGCCAATGAGACGGGCGCAGTGTCGCGGAAATCGACGCCTCTATCTCCCAGGGGCCCCCCTTCTCTGCCATTTTGGGATGCTTCCTTATCTCTGCGCGGCGCCGGCGTGCGTTTCTGGGTGGCCCTGTCTTTTGTCTTATCTTTGGACCATCTCGGATCGGGAGCAAGCAGGGCTCCTCTTGGATTCTTTGTAGAGGGGGGGATTTCTTGAAGGCTATTCGCCAGACGGCGTTGCAGACAACATCTGCCCACGACCTTTCAGTGTGTAGAGCAGACGGCCGTGAAAGTGGCATCAGCATGGATGGACTCGAGGCGAAGAGCAGAAATGTTGATATTCGACGATGAGTTACAGTACCCATCCGTCTTGATCTTGGGGGAGCACAGGATCGTAGCATTGGCGCACGTCCCATGTTCAAGGTGGCTGGTAACTCTTATCGAGGTCATCAAAGTTGGCAATCCCTCCAATCTCTCTCGATGGCATGATCGGCTTCTCTGAGCAGTTTCCCTCGCGTTTTGCCTGGCCATCGGAGCCAGTAGGTTTGCTTCAAAGTCCGTAAGTAAGTTGCAAGGCTCGCCAACCCGCGTGGCCGGCGGCCGTGGCATCGGAGAAGCTCGCATTGTGTCCGAGCAAACAAAGTCCCGGCCAGACTTCCCGCTGGAAAAGACGGGATAACCAGCAGGGATGCAACGCGTTGCTTGCTGTAAGCTGAAGCTCCAATGTCTCAACTGGTACATACGTACAGTACAGGTGCACCGACCGCAGCTCCGGCACTGAACCCGGGTTCGCTCCGCCGCATGGCCCTTTTCGCAAGTCGCCGCATCTTCCCAGGCCAGTTGTAGCCCAAGCCACCAGGATGTGCCCGAAGAGTGTACACTAGGAGAGCCGACGGACGGCGGGATGCTCCTGGTGTGCCACGCGGGAGCGACGGCGGGGAGTTCCCCCACACACTCTCTGGGACTCAAGCGGATGTGTGTGTGTGTGTGTGTTGGTTGCTGCGGCTGCTTCTGCATGTGCATGTGCATCGACATGTTCTTCGTCATGTCACGGCCAAGCATGCCAGAATCTGCCACTGTCTTGCTAGATGTGCTCAGCTACATGTGGTGTTGCTGGTGTCCTGACAGAAGTTGGTTGTATCCAAATCTCGCCACCCCCGGTCCCCCCAAAGAGAAAGCAATCCACTCTCATGCCTCTGGTCCCCCTTCCCACCCCCAACTCGCCCTGATCCTGGATGGTGGTGATACCGTCGGCAAGGGAGTGGTCCATTGTAGTGCAACTGTGTAGTGAGTGTACTTGATCGTCAATCGTGTACTTCTCCCCCCCCCGGAGACGGCGTTGGGCACTCTCAGCTACGCTAGAACCGGGCCCGCCCCTCTGGATACATTCGCGGGTTTATTCATTCTTTAAATTTTTTATTTTTTTTATTCCACTATCGCCAGCCATTCACATCGCCCCGAGCCGCTTATCCTACTGATAGCGGCTCGAGCTAGTTGCTCGAAACCATCAACTAAAAGGAATCTCACCCCCATGCAGACGAGATGCTTGAGTCAGATCGATATATAAAGAGATATCCACAGCCGCTGCTCTGATGGTCGTTGCTTCGTCGATACCCTCGGATCAAGCTCCTTCTCGCCTCTCTTGCCTTGCTCTGCATCGCAGTCAACAGTAACTCGAGCCTGTCGTTTGCTCTGGCAGTCGTCATTAATACTTGTGGACCGCCGCCGCTTGTTCCAGTCAGTCACCACTTACTCGCCCGGTTATCGAGGAGGGGCTCGTTCGCGACGCGGCTCAAGACGACTGCACACCATGGATGAAGATCAAGGCCCGTCGCAAATCGTCCCCGGGACGGCTCCCAAGAGGACCATGGGAGACCGCCTCCGCGGCGCCAAGAACAGGTTCTTCACCAAGGACGGCCTTGTTGGCGACTACGACTACGCCTTTCTGTTCCGGCCCAACCTGCCCTTCATGAGGAAGAGCCAGAGGGCCGCCCCCTTCTTCGGCCTGAACGACCGCATGCCCACGCTGCTGGCCCTGCTGCTGGGCTTCCAGCATGCCCTCGCCATGCTGGCCGGCATCATCACGCCGCCCATCCTGCTGGGTGGCTCCGCCGGCGCCAACCTCACGGGCGAGATGCAGCAATACCTCGTCTCGACCGCCTTGATCGTCTCCGGCCTCCTGTCCATGATCCAGATCACCAGGTTCCACATCCTCAAGACTCCGTAAGATGAAGTGTCCTTGTTCTACCGTTGCTGGGTTCCTGCAGCTCACACGTCCCCCGCAGCTACTACGTCGGCACGGGCTTGATCTCCGTGGTCGGCATCTCCTTTGCCATCATCCCCGTCGCCCAGGGCGCCCTCTCGCAGATGTACGCCAACGGCTTCTGCCCAACGGACGCCGCGGGGAACAAGCTCCCTTGCCCCGATGGCTATGGAGGTGAGCCTCGTCTACTTTCCCCCCTTCTTCTGCGGGGACATCGCCCAATGCTGACATGTTTTGGAAGCCATCATCGGCTCTAGTGCTCTCTGCGCCCTCATCGAAATCGTCATCTCCTTCATGCCGCCCAAGATGATGATGCGCGTCTTCCCGCCCATTGTGACAGGCCCAACAGGTAGGCTTCCGGAGTGACATTCTCAACGTGATGGCCGTGGTTTCCTGACATTCGTCCAGTCATGCTCATCGGCATCAACCTGATCAAGTCTGGTTTCCAGAACTGGATGGGAGGCTCCGGCGGCTGCGCGAACCCGACCTCCGACTTCTTTGCCCGGTGCCCCAACATCGACGCACCTCACGCTCTCCCCTGGGGCTCTGCCGAGTACCTGGGTCTGGGGTTCTCCGTCTTCATCACCATCATCCTCTGTGAGCGGTTCGGCGCCCCAATCATGAAGTCCACCTCCGTCGTCATCGGTCTGCTCGTTGGTAAGTCCTGCCTCAGGCCGTCAATGATTGCCCGAAAAATGTCTCTGACGGTCCATAACACAGGATGTATCATCGCCGCCGCCTGCGGCTACTTTGACCGCTCCGGCATCGACAGTGCCCCTGCCGCTTCCTTCATCTGGGTGCACACCTTTAAGCTCACCCTCTACGGACCCCTCATCTTGTAAGCCTGCCCCCTGAGGTCACGAGTTCCATCGTTTCGCAGAGCTGTCGAGTTGACGCGCGTGAACAGGCCCTTGCTAGCTGTGTACATCATCTGCGCCACCGAGGCCATCGGAGACATCACGGCGACCTGCGATGTGTCTCGCCTCGAGGTCGAGGGCCGCCTGTTCGAGTCCCGTATCCAGGGCGGTGTGCTTGCCGACGGCATCAATGGTGTTCTCGCCGCACTCATGACCATCACCCCCATGACGACGGTAAGCCTCTGACGCGCCCCCGAAATATGGACCAAGACTTACACGGATGATGATAGTTTGCCCAAAACAACGGTGTCATTGCTCTCACCCGTTGCGCCAACCGCAGCGCTGGCTACTGCTGGTACGTTTCTTAAGTCACGATATCTCCGTCTTCCCGACTAACAAAAGGACCCCCTCCAAAAAGCTGCTTCTTCCTCATCATCATGGGCATCTTTGCCAAGTTCGCCGCCTCGCTTGTCGCCATCCCCTCCTCGGTCTTGGGCGGCATGACCTCCTTCCTCTTCACCGCCGTCGCCGTCTCCGGCATGGCCATCATCACAAAGGGCGTGCCCTTCAACCGCCGCAACCGGTTCATCCTCACGGCCGGCCTGACGCTCGGCTACGGTGCCACACTGGTCCCGACCTACTTTGACAACGTCTTCACCTACGCCGGCGACAACCGCGGTCTCCGGGGGTTCCTCGACGCCATCGTGCTCATCATGGAGACGGGCTTCGCCATCACGGCGTTCGTGAGCATGCTTCTCAACTTTGTCCTCGACGAGGAGATTGAGGACACGGAAGGCCACGACGTCGTCCCTGCCACTGGTCCTGTCCCTTCCAAGGACGTCAACGGCGGAGACAGTGCCCGCGGTGCCGACTCGGAGGATATCCAACCCGTTGGACACAGTGGCGGTGCCAAGGGCGACGAGAAGCTGTCTTGATGGTCCGGGTAGATCGCTGGGTGTTGTGGTGGGTTTGACAGGTTTGATGAAAAGCGTTTGGATTTACAAATTCTCCGATATGTATGGTGTATGAATACCCTCTGCTAGTTTATTGTCCATGTCCTCTACGCCTCCGCTTGCTTTGATGTTAGCTCCTTGTTGGACGTCATGGATCTCATGGAACAAGACAGTCTCACAACAATCAACATGGAAACGATGCTGCGATAAGCTTTCTTGTCTCCTCTACCCCGGTGCCTTTTGCTGCTTTACCTTGTCGTGCACAGAACCAGGAGAAGCGCCTATAGTTTTCTGACTTCTCAAAAGCAACATGCCCAGCATTCGGCCAAGGCTCTCGAGCAGGGACAACGCTGGTGGCAGGCGACAGTTTTACTACGAGGACCACCACACACAAGTCAGTCGCGGAAACAATGGCCCCAAGAAAGCGCCGGGCAGTGTTTGATGGCGGGAACCAAAGTTATAATTTTGACCAGGCCGGCGAGTGTAAATATTATCTGACGGGGAATACGCCCAGATGCTAGAAACAAAATACCCCAACGTAGCTTAGGTATGAAGAAATGATTTGCTCCCCAAAATGCGCACCGCTTCAGCCCGCGACGCCCAAAACGTAGCCCTATTCTCTTTTGGTATCAAAACCACCCAAAGCCACTTGAAACCAAGAATGTCTTTTTTTGAGTTGCTCCTGAAGCAAGTATTACACGAATTCGCGACTCTTCCTGGCCAGAACGCGTATGTTGTCGACGAACGCCTCGACGAGTTGTGTGTACTGATGTGGCTCGTTCCTCATGGCTCGGCGTTGTTGGTCAATGACAATGTCTGGCGATAACTCAATCTCGAGCTCGTGCTCTTTGTCGATCCGGTGGGTATTCTTTGGCAAGTTAGCAACTACCTCAATCGCGGTCTGCTGCTGCAGGTATCAACTTACTCCAGGACCAGGCATCATCTGCGTCACCTGTGTCAAATCGATCTGATAGTGGTTCTGCTTATAACTCAGGCGATCCTTGTTCCGGTCGGGGAACTTGTCTGCATGCCCCACAGCCATGCTTTCCAGCTCCTCGACAGATCCGTCCCATGCCATTTCGAGGTTGATGCTGATACGACAGTCGAGCGGACACGTCGGCAGATGGAGGTGGATGTCGGCTACTCGGGCCTTGACGATCTTGGCCAGGACCTGCTGCGTCTTCTGGTCATATGTGACGCGAACTTTGATCGACCGCCTGCCAGACAGCAGGGCTCGAACGCACCCCGGGAGGCGAGCTTGCAGAGCGTTGGGCAGCTCGTAGAACTTGTCAATCTCCCGTCGGTGTTTGTATTGTATCTGGACTCGGCCTCGGGCATTGGGGTTCCGCGGATCTGTCTGAACAACCATGTTGTTCAGAAATTCGTTTAGACCTTTGTGTTGGGCCTGGGAGAGAGGGACATTAGCAAAAGCGACTTTCTGGGGCAAGGCGAGGGGGCCATACCTCTGTCATGCTGCTCCTGAAGGCAAGACGGCCGGTGTCGTGCAAAACACATTCCGAGCCAATTGCCCTCTCGACGCGATCGTTCGTGTCTCTGTCGATGAGCTGGCCCATCTTGGCCTCGATCTCGAACTGCACGCCTCGCCCAATGATCTCTCCAGAGTCGGGATGGAGCGTCACGTTCTTGAAGAGAAAATCGGCAATCGTCTTTGACAATTCCTCGTAGGGTCGCGTTCCGAGAATGCTTTCCTCCCACGGACCGAGAAGGCTGTCGGGCTTTGGCGGTTCCTGAACTGGCGGCGCCGTAGATCGCGCGACCTCTGGCGACGTATGACGGCTGGAGCTGTCCTGCTTGATAGGCTCGGGCTTGCCATTGATGCTGGGTGGTCCTCGTTTTTGTAGCTCGAAATTGGCCAGCTTGAGCCTCTTGTTCTCGCGAGCGTTCCATGTCTGAGCCCAGATGGGAGGCGTCGTGTGGATTTTCCTCTTTCGCTGCATCACGGGCGATCGGGAGAGTCTAGGTCCGCCATTGACCTCTGCCGGTGGAGGCCTCGGCTCCTTCCGCTCGAGTTCCCGCGGGCTCAAATCTCTGTCGGCAAGCTTTCTCTTGGCGGGTGTCGCGGCGCGTTCGCGTTCGGTTTCCACCATGTTGGTGACACTCGGGTGCGGTCGCGCCTCGGGTTCTGTGTGTCCACCGGTGCTGCTCGGCAGACTCGGAATTCGGGTCTTGGGACTGACACTAACGGTTCTGTCGCGTTCACTTTGGGACAATGATCTGCGTTCGTGACCGCTGTGGGAGCTGGGCATGCGAGGTGGTGGTGGTGGTGGTGTGACTTGGGCAAGGTGTGAAGCGGAGAGTCTCTGTTGATAGGGACTGTGTGGTTGCGCAAAGCTCGGTGCAGTGGAAGATTGTCGAGGCCCGGTCTGGGGCGGGCCCAGTGGGGTAGGAGGCTGCGAGAGCTGTCGGTTGTACTCGGGCGGCGGATGCGCCGTCGCCACAGGACTACCGTGAGGATATGCTTGACCGTGGAGTTGCTGCGGATGCTGGCTATGGGCAGACGTGGGAGTAGGAGTTGAATGCGTCGATTGAGAGCGCTGGTGAAGGTACGGATGCGCGCCGACAGGGGTGCCGATGGGCGGCGTTTGGGGCATGTGCTGGGGCGGAAGCGGCGGCGGCGGCGCTTGCTGCTGGTGTTGCTGTTGTTGCTGCTGCTGGTGTTGTTGTTGTTGCTGTTGCTGTTGCTGCTGAGTGTATGGAGAAGGCGCCGTTGCACCGGATGGATGAGAATAGCTGTCTCTTAGGGGGTACGCATTTGTTGGTGGATATTGGTGTCGTTGCACAGGGCTGGCGACTTCCTGAGGCGGGCCAGTGGGAGGGAAAGGATAGCCTCCGCTGGGGCCGCTCACGGAAGACGTGGGCGTGTGACGATACGGCGACGGTCCGGACATGGATGCACTTTGAGGAGATCGCGGGTCGGCATACGGAGCAGGAACGCCTGCCTGGAGCGGCGGTGGTACCGGTCGGCCGGGATAGGGCCCGGGAGTCTGATAAGGCGACTGTGGAGGGTACGACGGAGTTGAGGCCTGGGGGTGCACAGCGTATTCTTGAGGAGCTGGCGGCTTTCCAGGGGACGAATGTAAGGCGTGGCTGTACGCTGATTCTCTGAAAGCGTACGCGGTCGTGGCCTGGGAAGGCGTCGTCGGAGTCTGCTGCTGGTAGGGCAGCTGCGGTGGTGGTTGATGCTGCGGATGTGGATGCGGGTGCGGGTGCGGGTGCGGGTGCTGCTGCTGCTGCAGATGCTTTGGCGCAAGGGGTTGAGAAGAGGCGTGAGCAGGATGGCCTGGAGGAGGACCAGCGGCAGCGGCAGCAGCAGCGGCGGCGGCGGCGGCGGCGGCGGCGGCGGCTCGAGGCCGATCCCCGTCGTCGGCTGTGTTCATCAAACTTCTCAGATCCATCGTGATGACCCCAGGGGTACGGCGGTCGGCCAAAGTTCCTTTGCTTTTTGCGTTCCTGTCTGGACCAGCGGTCCGCCCAGCTTCAGCTCCGATGCAAAGTTTCAGCTTCGCCCTTTCAATTCCAACGGCTCATGTGTGCGACGAAATGGGAAACAGAGGGCAATACGGCGTCGGAGTAAGTGTCAATCGCGACGAAGGGTTTGATGTACAAGTTCGACGCGGTTCTAGTGGTTTGGGATGGATGCGCAATAGGCAATCATTACGTCGTCATGGTCAGGAGGAAGAGCAGGTCGAGTTGATGGCAAGTGGTCGGTATCGGTCTCGTCGTCGGTGGTATCGGGGTTCGGAGAGACGGGAAGGACTGTACTAGACTGGACTGGCTGGAAAGCTACGACCAGGCGAAGCAAAGCATGCGCGGCACGGCAGGGCGGTTGTCCGAAGTGGTCGGAGGAGAGGGAGCTGGAGCGCAAAGGCGGCGGAAGGCCTAGATTGGTTTGGACGGAATCGAGTTGGATTGAGGTACGGTGCGGTATCCTCAAGGTTTAAAAGGAGGCGTGCGACAACAGCCTGTGCGAACGGGGGCGACGGAGACGAATCGAGCGAGGGGTTGTCGGTCAAGAGCTCGTTTGCTCGATCGGTGGTGGTGGAGCAGAGAGGGAGTCGTCGCGATTCGAAACGTCGTGATCGTGGGGGCGAGGGAGGTGGAGGAGCTGTGAGGCAAGCGGTTGACAGATGCGATGGGCGGGAATGGCGTCGCAAAGTGCGAATGGCAGCGTTGGTGAGGAATGGGAGGAAAGCAGCGGAACGGTCGATCTCGAAATGTCGGAGGCTGTCGTCGGAGTTGCTGCGTGCGACGAAACGTTGGAGTTGTGGATGCGATGCGGAAGCGGACGAATGGGTGGGTGTAGGTAGCACCGAATGACGGGCGAAGCACACGAGTACGAAGCTGAAGGTAAGGTATTATCTCAGGAAGAAAACATCTTGTCCTCTGTTGCGGCTGGGGGACGTGGGAGGAAGAGAGGGTGGGAAATTTGGAGCCAAAAAGAAAGGATGGAAATGGATTGGTCGCGCGCCGATCGCACACACACACACACACACACTGCACCTCCAGGGCCCCGGTGCCGATGCTTGATGCTTGATGCTGCTAGGTGGCTGGTGGTGGTGGTGGTGCTCTGGATGGAGGTGTGGTGTGGTGGTGCTTGGTTCAAGGTGCTCGTGCTGGACACATTGCCTGCTTCAACGTAGCTTCTGGCCAGCAATGCCATGAATCTATATGGACGGGGCACCAGAGTCTGTAAGGCAGACGAGGTAGAATGTCCTCGCGTGTAAGCCAGCAACGTACGTTGTAGCCAGCGTGTAAGTCGGGCAGGTCAGGTCTTTCTATCTATCTATCTATCTATCTATATATCTATATATCCATGGCTTAACGCACACTCAAAGTCGGCCGCGATATCATCCAACTGCGCACTCCCCCAATCCAACCGTCCTTCTAGTAAAGCTCCAGCAGCTACGGATGCTGTTGCTTCAGTGTTTTGCGCCCCCGACTGGGGGGGCAGCATAACTGAGCAGAGCACAGCCTTGCCCAGCGCGTCCCACGGTGCGTGCGTCGCTCGAGCCCAGCCTTTATCGACCTGTCGGGGATTTTATTTTATTTTCTGTGCCCCCTGTCTTTTCCGGTCGACCAGCCAGTTCCATCCACCCTGTCTTTGTTGAAACGGTGGATGCCGGCGGGTTGAGCACGCCCGGAAGACACGATGATCCGGCCGTCAGAGTACTTGCAATGTATCCCTCACCTGTCTGTGTGGGCTTGGAGATACATCTAAAGAGCATCCACGATACCCATTGGGGCTGTGCTGCCACTCCTACGGATCCCCCTTCTCCTCCCCCCCCCTACCACCAAATCGATTGCGCCAGCGATACAGTCTGATCGTGCCTACGCTACTTTCACATTTGCTGCCCCCCCTTGCCCACACGCTCGAATTTAACCAGCATCCAAGTCCAGGTAGGTGTTAGTGTAGGTGCTATGCCATGCCATGCCGGGCCAGGCCAGGACTGTCGGCATTTCCCGGTTGGTTTTCTCAAAAACAAATCTATGTAAAACAGAACAGGATGGACGGGGGAAACGCCTTGATTCTATCCCAATGAACGGGAAATGCATCAGGCACAGGCAGACACCATCATGGAACCACACGCTGCTCTTTCATCGCAAGTATTCTCTCCCCCAACCTTGCACGCACCTCGACACTACTTGCTGGAACAGCACCTCCATCCATCTCACTCGCCCACCTACCTACCCACCCCTTGGACATGCATACGTCGTCGTCACACGGTATCTCTCTCCGCCCGCTCATCCGCAACTTCGGGTGTGCGTGGGCTTCATCCATGCACCTCAACTGCCGCGGCATGCAATGCATCATTACTGATCATGATGCTGTCCTGATAGACCCTGTTGCTCCGGGCGGGTGCGATACGATACCTACAACAGCAGTCGAAGCGACTAGCCTTGGGGCTAGCCTCACCAAAGCACACCACTGGAGGCCTTTCCCCTGTCTACAACGCCGTGTTGCCTTGTTCGCTCAAAAAAGGTTTTTAAAAAATTGCAAAGGCGTATTGCCAAGGCAAGTCAACAGATCAACAGTCTCGCAGCGTTTTCACCACCAATGGTCGCAATGTCATCATGCAAAAGGTATGGTGCAAGTCAACGTGACTGGAATGCCGGCATCGAAGCGGTCGAAATGTTCTAGGATAGCCGGCTTTTGCTCCCCAGCCTTGCCGTGGCTTCGGCCTTTTGCTGCCGGATGGCCGTGCTGCTTATCTTGGTCGCAAAGTTCTCTGTCCTGCTTGCCTCGTCGCCGAGGTCGTTGGCGTCGAGCACCTCGACTTCGTACGTCTCCAACGGCTTCCATCCAAGCGCAGTCCGTCGGTCGTTGACGGCCTGTCCGCCCGACCGCGTCTCTCCCGAAAACACCAAGACGTCCATCTCTTCCTGTGTGATTGTCGGGCCGAAAGGATCCTGGATCTCGACGCACTCCACCGTGATGGCGCCGTCGCGGAACGTCGCCTCAACGCGGCCCGGCTGCGCTGTGACCGCTGCCGCCGGCCCGGCCTTCTTTTTCCACCCCCCTTGCCCAGCTCTAGCAGGGACGAGAGGAAGTCGACAACGTAGCGGGCCCTGTCGTCCCAGGACTGCACGAGCTCTGCGTATTTCTTGTTCGTCAATAGCTGGTCCCCTGTGATGCCCACAATCAGACGACAAGTTGACGTCGAGTCCTTTACCGGCACCCGAAGGAGAAGCGCCGCAGCCGTCAGAAGTAGTTTGTGGCCCGGGTGTAAGTGGTCAAAGGTGCCACCAAGACACACGATGGAGTATCCCGGGGTATCCTCTGCATTCTCAGCCCCTGGGCTGCCGACGTTGAGACTTATCCCCGCCTCAACGACTATCAGCTGTGACTGTAGGATGGTCTGCCTGCCCTCGGCGAACTTGAGATACGTGGAAAGAGTGCGGTAGCCTTGCTCGCTGTTGACATGGAAGATGAAGCCCCACGGATGGTAGGCCGAGGCGAAGGTTGGAAGGTCCACGACGGTAGTGTTATTGGGTTCGATGGCGGCAACGAAATCGGGAGCGAACCTTCTGTTAGCATCATGGTCGACCAGGACAACGCGAGCATCAACGGAACCAGGGCCTCCATCGACGTCTGTGGCGATACCCTCTTCGGCGCATGCAACGGCGATGAGGCTGTAGAGGCCAGCGACGAGGGACTGTGCAGCTGCCCACGACAGCGATTTGGTTTTCGGCGATGCACCGCGAAGAAGCGGACACACAACGGACACTATGAGAACGGATGACCGGTTCGGGTTCTTGATTTTTGAAAGAACCGCCAGCAGTGACGGACGGTAGGCGGCGCTGAGTGAAGCGCGCGACGGCGGCCGGGGTGGGAACGGCAAGAGGAGCAGGCTCGGGTACTGTTCCGAAGCCATCTTTATCTGTTCGAGCGTTTCGTGGTCGTGTTGCGAGGAGTGAGCATGCGCGAGATAGAGCTAGGATTCGAACAAGACAAAAGTGCTTCACATCAAGGCTAGGCGGTTGAATGAATGAGCTGAGATAAGGTGACTTGCGGTACCCCCCCTCGGCATTGGTACCTAGGAAGCACGGAGCGGGGACCAATTGCTGCTGAGCTCTGCAGTGAGGTATGCAGCAAAGCTGTAAGCCCCGGCGAGAGCCTAGCAGAATTACAGGGCAAAAAGCAGCCAATCGTTATGAGAGACACGCCCGGCATTCACCCGGGAGCTGTTGGAGCTGGCGAGCTTGTCCAAGCTTCGATTGGTTATGTCAGCATTGCATTGCAGCTCTGGTTTCTGAAAGCGTCCAGTACAGCCAAACCTCCAGAAAAATCCGGGTGCGGCTCCCAGGGCCCTGCTCCAACTTCGCTCTGCTGACTCATCGCTCCGGCGGCTGCTTGGTCTGTGCTTGCCGCTGCAAGGGGGCCACACACGTTTGCTTAAGGAAGGAAGGCAAAGTGAGGTACGTACCTCGAGCACTGAGTCGGCACGACAAGACGAGGCAGGCAGACTTGCCTGACGTGGATACTGAAGCGTGCCCTGGCCTCTTGTGCTGCATTCGCGCCTTTGCTTTCGACGTCCTTCTTCCATCATCAACGCCTCTTCGGAGCTCTCATCACCACCACAAACACCCCAATCACCATTTTCATCCCACTACCTCGTCCCGCGCGGCTTCATCTCACTGAACTCGATCGAACGTCATCCTTTCTATCCCGGTTGCGCCAACGTCTCCTCATCCCCCGCAGTTAAGCTCAGCTCCCGTCTCCGTGGCCACCTCCGACAATGCCTGGCCTGGTCTCAGCTACCGGAGTCCTGGGCTTCCTGGCCGATGAGGAACATGACCTCAAGGTCTTTGCCCTCCAGACTCTCAACGATGACATCGACACAGTCTGGACCGAGGTTGCCGGCGCTCTGAGCCAGATGTAAGCTCGCTCTCCTCCCACTGCTGTTTGTTTGCCGGTCGGTCTGCTTGGATATTGACAACCACACTAGCGAGGCTCTCTACGAAGACGAATCTTTCCCCCAACGGCAGCTGGCCGCCCTCGTCCTTGCCAAGGTCTACTACCATCTCCAGGCTTACAACGAGAGCATGACCTTTGCTCTCGCCGCCGGCGATCTCTTCAAGCTCGATGCCCCCGGCGAATTCGAGGACACCATCATTTCCAAGTGCATCGACCAGTACATTGCCGTCTCTTCGGCCAAGCACACCGCTCCCAAGTCGCCCCAGAACGACAACTCTCTGCCCGCTCTGGCCACCACCTTCGCGAGCGGCGCCGCTGATGGATCCGCCCTGATCTCCCCGACGACGCCGTTTTCCCAGACGACCCTCCCGTCCAAGTCCCTCCTCTCCCGCGTCTCGACCGAAAACGCAATCCTCGATCCTACATTCCAGCCCGTGAAGGAGGGTCGCTCCGGATCCATTGCCCCCATCAATGACCAAGCAACGCAGGCTGCCCTCCAACGCGTCATTGAGCGTCTCTTTGAGGCTTGCCTCAAGGATGGCAGATATCGTCAGGTGGTTGGTATTGCCGTCGAGGCCAAAAACCTCGAGGTTCTCCGTCGTGTTATTAAGCGCGCCAGCGATGACGAGAAGCGCTCCAAGACCAAGTCCACAGACGGACAGGGCCCCGCCGAGGAGCTCATGGAGTATGCCCTGAGCATCTGCATGGACATCGTTCAGGAGCGGAGTTTCCGTACCGAGATCCTGCGCTTGATCCTGGACCTCCTCAATGAGATTCCGAACCCCGACTACTTTGCCATTGCCAAGTGTGTCGTTTACTTGAGCTCCGACGAGGAGGCATCCCACATGCTCAAGCAATTGATCACGAGCGGCGACCGCAACTCGATTGCCAACGCCTACCAGATCGCCTTCGACCTGTACGATAACGGAACCCAGGAGTTTCTGGGTAAGATCATCAACTCATTGCCGTCAGGTGAGCCTGCCAAGGCACCGGCGAGCGATGCTACCGAGGAGGAGCCTCTGCTTGAGAACCAGCAGTCATCCGAGGAGGAGCTCTCGGATGAGCTCTCCAAGGTCTACAAGAACATCCGATCCATCCTGGACGGTAGCAAGACCATCCAGCTGAACCTCGAATTCCTCTACCGGAACAACCGTACCGATTTGAGCATCCTGAACAAAGTCCGGGACAGCTTGGAAGGCCGCAACTCCATCTTCCACACTGCCGTCACCTTCTGCAACGCCTTCATGAACCAGGGTACCACCAACGACAAGTTCTTCCGCGACAACCTTGAGTGGCTTGGAAAGGCCGTCAACTGGTCCAAGTTTACTGCGACAGCCGCCCTTGGTGTCATCCACCGTGGCAACCTGACGCAGTCCCGGAAGCTGCTCGAGCCCTATCTGCCGCGTCAGAGCGGCTTGAGCAGCGGCTCCATCTTCAGCCAGGGCGGTGCGCTCTACGCCTATGGCTTGATCCATGCCAACCACGGCGCTGATGCTCTCGAATACCTCAAGACCCAATTCACATCTGCCGAGGAAGAGGTCATTCAGCACGGTGGTGCTCTGGGCCTCGGTATTGCCGGCATGGGCACTGGTTCCGAAGAGATCTTTGACAACCTCCGGACCGTTCTATTCACCGACTCTGCCCTCAACGGTGAGGCTGTCGGTCTTGCCATGGGTCTCATCATGCTTGGCACTGGCAACGTGCGAGCGCTGGAGGACATGATTACCTACGCCCACGAGACGACCCACGAGAAGATTGTCCGTGGATTGGCCATCGGTATGGCATTGATCATGTTTGGCCGCCAAGAGGGCGCCGACGCCATGATTGAAGGCCTCCTCAACGACCCCGATCCGACCCTGAGATACGGTGGTATCATGACCGTCGCTCTCGCCTACTGCGGTACTGGCAGCAACAAGGCTATTCGCAAGCTGCTGCACATTGCTGTCAGCGATGTCAACGACGACGTTCGCCGTGTCGCGGTCATGAGCTTGGGCTTCATTCTCTTCCGAAAGCCCGGCAGTGTTCCGCGCATGGTTGAGCTACTTTCCGAGTCATACAACCCTCACGTGCGTTACGGTTCTGCCATGGCCTTGGGTATCTCTTGCGCCGGCACTGGTTTGGACGAGGCTATCGACCTGCTCGAGCCCATGATGAAGGACCCCACCGACTTCGTCCGCCAGGGTGCTCTCATCTCCTTGGCCATGATCATGATCCAGCAGAACGAGGTTATGAACCCCAAGGTCGCTGCGATTCGCAAGACCTTGAAGAAGGTTGTTGGCGATCGCCACGAGGATGCCATGACCAAGTTCGGTGCTTCGCTCGCTCTCGGTATCATTGATGCTGGTGGCCGCAACTGCACTATTGGCCTCCAGACCCAGACAGGTAATCTCAACATGGCCGGCATTGTTGGTATGGCCGTCTTCACCCAGTACTGGTACTGGTTCCCCTTCACCCACTTCCTTTCGCTCGCGTTCTCCCCTACCTCCATCATTGGCCTCGATCATGATCTCGAGATCCCCAGCTTCAAGTTCCACTGCGCCACCCGTCCCAGCCTGTTCGACTACCCCCCCGAGCAAGAAGTCAAGGCCGAGGAGGGTCCTACCATGGTCGCCACGGCCGTTCTGTCGACAACCGCCCAGGCCAAGCGGAGAGCCCAGAAGAAGGAGCGTGCTCAGCGCCGCGAGAGCATGGACATCGACTCGTCTGCTAAGCCTACCGTCTCCGACAAGATGGAGGTGGATGAGAAGAAGGAGGAGAGCAAGGACAAGAAGGAGGGCGACGCCGGCGAGAAGGAGGCGTCTGTTGCTCCGGCCGACACCAAGAAGAAGGGCGAAAAGGAGAAGGTCGGCTACGAGATGGAGAACCTGTCGCGTGTGCTCCCCGGCCAGCTCAAATTCATCAGCTTCCCCACTGGGCGTTACAAGCCGGTCAAGAAGGTAAAGTCACTACGATCCTGGTGATGGCCCAAGAATACGCTAACAGTTATTAGCCTACCGGAGGACCTCTTCTCCTGCAGGACACTCAGCCGGAAGAAGAGAAGTCTCTCATCGAGGAGAAGCTGAAGAAGGTGACAACGGAGAAGGCCCCCGTCGCCGGCCAGAGTAACGCTGCTGGCTCGTCAGCAGGGTTGACGCCGCGCCAGCAGCAGAACCTCATCTCCCAGGCCCTTAGAGCCGGTACGGGTGGTGATCTCCGCTCATTGAACGAGCTCAGCGAGTTGCTCGGTCGTCAAAGAAGGGGTGACCTTGGTGGCGCGACCGATGAAAGTGGTGCTGCTGCTGCTGCTGGTGTCCTCACTGCTGTCGATGAGGACGGCGAAGGAGACGAGGAAGCTGAAGTGCCGAGAGAGTTTGAGTACTTCACAGATAATGAGGAGGATGAAGACGAGGAATAGGGGTTCTCACAAGCGGGCTACTAACCCATCTACCACGGAGTCGAGGCCGCTTTTAGAGCATAGACGGGGCGGCGTAGAGATGGCGGACTGCCACTTTGCCAGAGACAGTGGGCGGGCAAGAGGACTTGCCGGGCTGTACAGTAGTGTAGCAATTGAGTCCTCGGTTACGAATTCAATACGGTTCCACGCGGTAACAGTTTGATGGTCTGCTGATTCAAGTCGGACATGTATGAGGAACGTGGTGTGCCGGATTTCCTGTCCAAGAGGCGAGCCTATAAGCTGTTGACTTGTAATGTCCTGCCTGCTAGACCCACACCGTGGGCAGCTAGACAAAGTTAGGGACGGGCCGATGACATCCCGCACCCTGGATCGTCCCCGGCATTGTCACTGGCGTCGTTGTTTGCCTCGTTTGCTTAGATTTTCCGGTAGCTAAGTCGAAGAGTCTGGGAAGAGGAGCGAAGAGGAGGGAACCTGGTCGGAGCTAGTACCTGTAGCCATCTTTCGACTGTTACGTTTGGGCAAAGAAGGATATTTACTCCTGAAAGATACTACGGTAGTGGAAGCGGCGAATGAGGTATAGCTGATAAACAATAGATACTTGTGCGTGTCTCGTTCATTATGCAGTGGATGTGCCGCCATGGAACTACATTCTACCTGGTGTATATCACATCTCTGGCCTTACAAGACCTTGCTATCAGGAGCGTCTGGCTCATCTTTCGCTGTCATGTGCACCTTCTCCGGCAACTTGGGGTTCTCGACGTCGCTGCCATGGCTGGTCCCTTCAATGTCGGCTCCATCTTTGGTCCAGATTGTCCGCTCAACCAACGTATCCTTTGCAGGGACGAGCCAGCTCAGAGTGGTGTACAGGAAGATGGACACCACGAAGCCAAAGAGCCAGTCAAAGGTGTACAGGTGTTGTGCACCGGCAGAAATCTTGACCGCTGGGTAACCACTGATAGCCAACGCCATGCCGGGCAGGCTAGGAGCCACAGGGACGATGAAGGCAACAAAGGCCCGCCAGTTGCACCCTGCTACGTATCTATAACGACCATGAGGATCGTACAGGCCTGTTCGCGAGAAGAGTCATAAGCATACGGTTGCGGTACAAAGGGCTCAGTCCGAGAGCGAAGGGGACTCACCGGGCAGGTCGTATCGCTGGCGCTTGGTAATCCAGAAGTCCGCTGCGAGGATTCCACTGATGGGTGCAAGGAAGACGGCATAGGCGCCCATGAAGTTGAGAAAGGTGGCCGCGCTGGCCAAGATCTTCCAAGGAACAAGGACCCAGCCGCCAATCACCGCTGCAACCAACGACCCCCGCTTGATGTTGATGTAGCGCGGGAACATGATGGTCAAGTCGTTGGCCGCGCTAATGGAGTTGGCTGTGACGTTGGTTCCTACCTAAAGGCGTAGGAGATGCACGTCAGCGTTGAACCACCAGACCATGCTCGTGTGCACACTGTCTACTCACCGTCGCGATGAACCATGCGAGCGCCGCAAAGAAAGCGGCACAGCGACCGCCAGAACCGTTTTCCAACCAGAGACTGATGATATCAAGGGGGTTCCAGAGATATTCTCCGTGAAACGTCTTAGTCGCCGATGTTGTGATGATGCCCATGGTGCCGCACAAGGTGAACACGAAGGGGACGAACGGAAGCTGCACCAGCTGCCCGTTGGGGCTCTTGCTGTACCGCAGGAAGTCGGGGATGTTTACCCCCATGGTTGCCCATTGTCCGGTGACGCTGGACATGCAGCTCAGCCAGAGCCAGGCGTATTGCGCCGTCCCCTTGGGGACCTCGGGCTGCAGCTTGAAGATCTCGCCGCCGCCGCCGGCCTTCCTGACCGCCCAGCCCAGAGTGCCAAGCACGACAGCCGGGGTGGCGACAAGTTTCACGTAGAACAGCGGCCGGAGCTTCGTGGGGTGAATGAGCAACATGGGCAGCTGGAGGATCCAGAAGAGGAAGAAGCTGGGTGGTTTTGGTAAGCACAATGAAGACGAACGGCACGAAAGCTCGTATCCTTTTTGGGCAAGCCGACTTACGAGCACATTCCCATGGAGGTGATGCCGGCCGATTCGGGCAGGGTGTTGGGGATCTTTGCGTACGACGGAGCCCAGGAGCTCAGCATGATGGTGATGCAGTATGAACCGTTTGCACACTGGACGCCGAGCCAGAACATGGCAAGAACAGCCCGGCTCACAATCGCAAAATACCGGAACCAGTAGCCAAAGGATCCCGCGGCAATGACACTGAACGGCACATGCAGTCTACTGCCTATGGCGCCGTTCAGGACCATGGCCACGGCAATGCAGGTCGTTCCCACAAACATGATGGGGATGCTTTCTCTCCACGAAAGGCCCACCGCCAGGATCGAACCTGCCGTCTGCAGCGTTGAGAGGTTCATGAGGTCGCTGCTCCAGTAGGCGAGAATGGTCCAGATGCTCCAAGTTTGATGCTCCGGTTTGACGGGATCCATGTCCTCATTCGTCTGGAACACACAAGATTAAGCCCAGAGCTTCTTCTATCCCATTGAAGGGGGTTCGGTCCTTACCCATACTCCCTCAGGTGCGAGGGCACTGCTAGAATGCCGGGGGAGCTCCCAGGCCTTGATCGAGGTGCATCGTAGCCTCAGCTCCTCCCTGCTGAAACCCTTCATCTTTAAGAAGAAATTCAAGAGACGTTTTGTCCTTTTGCAGGTTTCTTGCTGGCGATCCCTTGGCTTCAGAGGAAGTGTCGTTGAAAAACGTCCTTGGAATCAGTGTGCCGACGACCCTGCTGGGCTCTGTTGCGGAGGTTCAAGCCACACCAAGTCGGGGGAGGGTTAAGACATTATGTATTCGTCCGCAAACAGACGGCTTGGTACAGTGTAACCCATCTGCTACCATCAATTCTCCCCCAGATTGGACGCTACCCATGCGGAATTGGGTCCGGCGAGGTCCGCAGTCTGCAGCCGGCAACTTGGTCATAATCGACAGTTGCCTGTATCAGTTCGGCCGTCCCAGCCATTCGAATATCTCAACTCTTACTGTTCGGGGTAGGCAAGTAAGCACCCGTAGAGATAACGAGCCCTAAGCAATGGCGAAAGCTGATAACGAGAGGAGTTGGTTGGCCGTGGAGGTTGGCTTATCGGGTATCTAACAGAGAAAGGAGAGAGAGAGTGCAGGGGTGTTGACGCACCAAAGTGGGCGATACACCCAATCGCAGTCAGCCACCTTATCAACTCGTCTTATTCCTCTTCCACTTGTGTGAGGGTTGGAGAGACTGTGGCGTTATTAGGCCGACGTCGCTACGTGCCGTGAGACGAGAAACACATATTCGGCTCTACAACTATTTGCTGCGCAAGTGCATAGCGGAGAAAATGTCGTCGTGCCGAGGACTCATGATGCGCTCTTCGGCCAAAGGAGAAGCATCAGGAATTGTGTACAAGAGGAACTTTGGTGAACCTTTTTTACTCATTCATACGCCATGGTCGCGTCCGCCTAGTGATTCTGCTCCGCAGCTTCCTGGTCCTTGCTGCGATCTTTCGCTATGCCGTCGTTGCTTTCCATGGTTTCCCAGTCCTCGACAGAAAACCCCGTCATCGCGAGCGATTCTCCCCCGTTTGCTGCAACCGCTGGTTCTTTCATGCCAAACGTATTGGCAACGCCATGGGCAGCGAGGCAACCAGTCGGCTTCTCAATGCTATGGTTGACACAAGCACGGTAAGGGTTGTCCCGGATGGCTTGGCTGTCGGTGTGCTGTCGGTACTGCGATAGGTCTCCATTATGGCCACGGTGAATTCTCCAAAGCCGGGAATAGTAAGCAGTTCTTTCGAAGAGAGTCGGCCGAGGTTGATATCCGCCGTAAGATGCTCAGTAACGTTGGATCGGAAACCATTCGGCGTAACTGGTGAGACTCGACGTTCAATTTGTGTAAATAAAGTTGAGACGGGGTGTTGTTGAGTGGTTATCTGGCCAAACTGGCAGGAGAGGGACAGATTGGATCTTGATAAAGATTTCGCAGCTGACAGTTAACTGATGGATGGAGACAAAGTTGATGTCAATAAACGAAGAGAAAAAAAAAACCCCCCGAAAAAAAAGAAGAAGAAGAAAACATGACAGCCATTGACAAGAGATGGCTCACCGTCTTGACGTGCCACGAACAAGTGTCAGGGTACAGGCTAAGATAGGACCGAGAATCCGGTGCAAAAGCAGAGATATTGATATTCAGTCAAGAACGGTCCTTCTGATTCGAGTACAACACGGGCTTAAGTGCCTCCACTCTACTTAACTACAAGAAGCGACGCGCGAGGTCCTCAAGGGCATCCTGCTTGTCTGAGAAGATGTTGATTGCTTGGATGAGCTTCTCCTCATACTTTCCATCGCCGCTTCGAGTGAAGGCAATGCGCCACTCACTCTCATCCTTCAAAGCCGCCTTAAAGTCCTGATTCCAAGGCTTGTCCGGCCCGGCCGAAAAGTATGCACCCACTTGCTCCGTCCAAGTCGATGCCGGCTGCGCAGCAAGGCCCCGGAGAAGAGGCGGCGACACGGTAACGTGCTGAATACCGGCCAGCTGCATCACCTCAGCGACAGACGTCAGACTGGCAGCAAGGACTTGCGTCTTGGCCTTGGTCTCGGCATAGTGAAGTTGCGCCTGCCTGCAGAAGTCGAATGCCTTGTGCTCGTCGACGTAGCTGGAGGTCATTCGCACAGTCAGGTTCAGCCAGATGCAAGGTTGCGGCTTAGGTTGCGGCTTAGGTTGCTTAGCTTACCCGGGAACAAAGTGAACCTTGAGCTCGTTGACGTAGGGAGCAATGTAGGTGCACCCGGCGTCAGCAGCCAATGCAGCCTGTTCCATACAGAACATGGTGGTTGCAAGTGTGTGGATGCCCTTCTTCTCGAGGATGCGGCAGGCAGCAATTCCCTCCCAGCTCGCAGGGATCTTGATGCAGATTCTTCCGGTGTCGAAGTTGGGTTCCAGCTTCTTGAACGTTTTGACAATTCCTAGCAGGCGGGACGGTGCCATCAGTCACGCTCAAAGCTGACGAAGCTTGCGATACAAAACAGCAACTTACTCTCTGCGTTTTGGCACGTCTTTTCAACCGAGTACGACCACTTGGTGTTGGTCTGGATGTGGAAGTATCCCGTCAGATAGGGAATGAATTGAAGTGACAGCCTGACCATCTATGGGAGTTGAGAGCATTAGCGAGGCTGTAGTTACACAACGGCAGGGCCGGTCTCGTGATTATGAATTCCGAATGAATTACCATGATGTCGACTGCTAGGAGAATGGGATCTACGTCTGGCCAGGCTGCACGAGCCCAGCCATTGGCGTCCTTCACCGAGTCTCGGATAAGTTGCTCGTGGTACAGCTTGCCATCAGGGGTGGTCTTGGTGAGCTCGTTGTAGGCAATGGCTTGGTTGGACGTGTGGTCGTTGAAGGGCCGAGCTCTGCGGCGACTAATTATGGCAATGTCAGATTGGGCTGGGACGGGCACCCAAGGAAACGGGGGCCTGACGCGGAAGGAGAGCACGGTACCATCAACGTCGAGGGTGTCACAGTCAACTTGGCTTACGGACCTCAGCGTGTCCAACAGAGAACCGTCTTGCGAAGCCATCGTGTACGGGTCGATGGTGGTGTTCTCAGTGCAGGCACAGAGAGTGAGTGACGGGAACAGAGGGCAGCTTCACCGGGGGGACTGGTTCAATGTAATGCAGTGCAATGTAAGAAGAAAAAGATGTGCTCAGGTGCAGAGTTGCTTGGAAATATCAGTTGGAAGGCGGCAGAGATGCAGTTGGAGTTGGAGTTGGAGATGACGTTGTGAAGACAGGAGGCGGGAGTCAGGTATGGAAAGACGCTCCTCGGCGACTTGAGGTGCGGTGCGGTGCGGTGCGGTGCGAGTGCCGGTTTTAATTACACGGTATAGTACATGGAATGGAGGAAGGAGCCAGGAGCCAGGATCGTCGACCAACAAAGGGAATCACATCAGTTGGCTAGACCTGCCGGTACTATGTACACTAGCACCCCGCACTTTCCTTCTCTAGTTACCTACCTAAGCGGCTCGGGAGGAGGGGAAGGAGCATGTCAAGCCGCACAGAACTAGAAGCCGGACTACGGTCCGCAGGCCATGTCTACTATATAGGTACGCCAACAAGAAAGGGTTGAGAGAGAGACGGACCGGCGTAGGACTTCCCTCCGGCGTCCAGCATGCGCGTCTGCCAATGCGGGCAAACGCAAGCGCAACTGCACGCCCGCCCGTGACCTCGAGAAATTTGTGCGCGTCCCAGAGCGAACCTGTCCAGTCGCTCGAAACACCACGGACAGTTGTCGCTTGCTTGCGCCGACGAAAGAAGTGGACTCTGTCTGGTGTCTGCCCCGGAGGAGAAACGTGGGGTCCCCGTTAAGAAGGCTCCGTCTCGCATCGCCCGGTCGTGGCGAGGTGGCCCACGATCAATTGCTTGGAGGGCGGGCATCATCCTTGCTGCATCTCCTCTTTTGTTTCCTCCTCCAGTTCCCATTGCTTTGCTTGATTAGGAAGGGCGAAGCGCAATGTGCCTACCTGTACCGGTCTTCGCACTCTGACCATCCATACATACACTCACTGTCCGTTGACCAATCACACGATGCTTCAGGTCGCCTACGCCGCCATCTACACTATGTACATACAGTACCTACCATGCTTGCCAGCGGCGAGGCTTGACTGGATCCACTGCTTTCCTGTCAAAATCTCGTGCCTACCTAGTTCTTGGCGCGAACAAGCGCGGCACCTCCTGCCTACCTAATTATTCTTGACAGTAACGGCGTTGGCCAGACCTTCCGAGCAGAACCCAACAGCGACCAAAGTAATAGTATTTCCACCGGGGCGTTTCAGCATTCTGCATCCTTCTAGAAAGAAACCTCGGCCCGGATCGAGCCGCAGAGCAGCAAACGTCAGAGCTTGATTCCGTCGCCTAGTCCCCCCGCCTCTTCTACATCTACCTATGTCACACACAACCCGTCACCCAGGCAGTGGCGCCTCATGAAGCCACACGCACTACTTAGGTACTCCTGGAGAGCGGCAATCGTGTTACCAGATATTATTAAGCACCCGAGTGAACGTACGGCGCCCACAGACGTGCGTCTCGGTCTCGGCGAACCGCGAATATCGCGCCCCGCAAGTAGTGCTATCCTCTTGCAGTAGCGCTTCTAGAGACGCCTGTTTACGCCAACACTTTGGTAGCTATCAGGCGGTGTCTCTGGGCAGAATACATACATACCGGGGTGTTCGCCCAAGGGTCGGTTGACGTTCGGTCAAGGCACACAGCCTGACCACCAACCTCGACGCCAAGGAAGCAAACATCCAGCTGCTGCTGTTGCTTCTGCTGCTGCTGCTGGGAGCCCCGGAAGACGCAGCGTAAGGGGGCCTCAGCTGGTTCCGCGCTTACATATCTCTTCCTGGCTGCTTACGCTGTTGTGTAGAGATGCCGCAAGAATCCCGACCCCAACGGCGTTGCAATCATGAGCCAATCACTTTCTCCTTATCGTGTGACCTCGGCGCCATGGAGGAATCAAAACATTGATAGTCGGCCGATATCTCAGGCACCCACGGTCATGTTAGTTGTTAATTACTGTCACTGGATCTTCCTCTCAACTGCCTAGGTAACTTAACTCCATCACACGACACCTGTAAGCCATTGCAGAGGTCATCACGATGGCGTCCTACCGCCCCATGGCTACGCCGCCCTCCCAGGACGCCATGCTCGATGGCTTCCTCGCCACTCGCCGCCGCGATGGCCCCTACGTCGGCCTGGGCTATTACAATCTCGAAGCGGAAATGCCTCTGCTTCTCAACCCGACTGGCGCGCCCGTCCCTTGCATGGAGCCGCCCGAAGAGTTCGAGGCCGTCAACGCCCACTTTTCGGCCTAAGTGCACGCCTTCTTCAACGCCCTGCACGCCCTCGAGGATATGGCAGCAAGGCAGTCCCCCAACGAGCCGGGTCTCATCTGGAAAGACGGCGGCCTGCAGCCCGCCGTCCGCATCGGCAACCAGTCCTACGACATCTACCCAGACTGCTGGCACCGCACCTTTCACATCCGCCGCCTTACCGTCCAGAACCCGGACAGCCTGCCTTTCCCAAACGAGTCACCCAGCTTTGCGTTTTATCTGATTTGAGTCGCTTGGGCGGGTTGGACATGCACTTCATCCACGTGCGGCCCGTCTCTCCGCGCGTACCCCTCGCGCTCGCCGCCCGCCTCCCCCACCTTCGCGAGCTTGACTGCCCCTGGCTATGGGAGCGCCTCCCCCTGGCCTTCTCGTCTCAGGCGCTGCGCATATTCTCCCGCCCCTGGGAAGGTCCTTGGCGGGATGCCCGCGTTGAGTTCGGGCGCGGTGTGCGCCAGCTCGTGTCCTTGCTGCAATCCTCCCTCACCAAGGCCCGTCTTTGGTTCTGGAAGCTCAACCCCTACGGGGGCGACACGGATCAAGCAGTGCATATGCCTGCCCTTGTCGGTGCGTCGTCGTTGTCGTCGTCCCCCTCTGAGTTTGAAGGCATGGACCCTGTGTCTCTTGGTCTACGGGACCTAGGGAGTCGCCTGGAGGACCTGAGCATCCGCGCACTCATCACCCTCGACCTTTTCCGTTCCTTGTCATGGCCACACATGCGGCACCTCAAAGTGGAATTCCACCCGTGCGCGCCTGACGGTAGGTGATACTTTTCTGGCCCGAGAGGCGAAGATCCCTACCCCACGGGTTTTGCTATTACAAGAGAGGAGCACTACCCGCCTGGCCTGGAAGATGCCGACGAGACGCACGCCTTGCTGTACCGCGAGGAGGAGGAGTTTACGGGCGACGACCAGATGGACTTTGAACGCCGGCCTGACATGTTCCGTATCCTCCCTATTGCAGAGCGCATCGACCCTCTGCTCCTGACGTTTACCTCGTCTCTACAGCGGCAAACCATGCCCTCTCTTCAAGACGCCGAGATGTTCACATGGCTTCTGTGGCGGCCCTCCGAGGAGCGGGCTCAAGAGTATGAAGGGAGTGATGACGCGCCCCCTTCTCCTTCGGGTGAGATTTCGACCGTCATGTGCCGATGGGGGGTGAGATACGATGCTCCTGACGGAGTAGGGAAAGGAAACGTGACGTGGCAGGTCGGTGAGGACTGGAGGCCTGGCGGCGAAATCATTAAGGCGTTTGAGGATCTTGTGGGCGGGGAGAACATGGAGTGGGAAGCGTTTGATCTTGTGGAGAATAGGGAGCTGGAGAATATCTGATGAAAGAATCAACAGGGCAGCTGCGAGCTCGTCAAGTAGGCGTGGAACATCCAGCCCGTTGCAACCCCGAGCCTCGATACCGCCTCAGGGGTCGGCGCCGCCCTCACCCTCGCCAACCACATCGCCAACCAGTTCCCCACCAAAACATGGAAGCAGGAGGAATACGTCCGTCTTGACAACACCATCAACGCGCCGCCCAAGTCAAGCGCCTGGGCCGGTTTGACTGGAAAGTTCAAGCAAGTCCAAACCGCCGATTTCAAGAAATGGATCGGCGGCGGCCCCAACAGCGGCGTCAACGGGGACAACCCCAACTATTCGGGCTTGATCACCGAGATCGACGGCGCTGAGAAGATCATGAAGTCCCTGCGCGCCATCGTCGCCTCGTACCTGTACCACAGCGACCCGCTCGTCATGTCCATCCTGCGGAAACAGAAGGAGCGCGTCGGCAAGGTGCTGCGGCGGCTCGATACGGAGATCCTGCCCGCCAACCCCAAGCAGGCGAGCTGGAGACCCTGGGCGCCGCTGGGGCTCAAAGAGCGGTGGGACGAGTTCATGAAGGGCAAGGAACTGCTGGCGATAGCCAAGTCGAACAAGGTGCTGAATGACATACTGCCTCGGGTGCAGACGATGTGGGCGGGCCTGGCCGCGTCTCTCGCGGCCAAGGCCGACGAACACGACTCGCAAACCGAGGCTGATATTAAAGCGAGGAAACATAGGCTGATTGACAGTATCGATGCGTTGACGGGTATTTTGAAGGTGTTGCCGGCGTGGCAACATGCATTTTGAGACATTCACTTTGTTGCATTCCGTTAACAAAGGTTAACGTGGGCTTTAATTTATTTGTTGAGAATATTGTGTATATACCCTGCGGCAGCAGACTTTCCTAAGCTTACTATATAATCACATTTAACACACTGCAGTCATGACGGAGTTTCGGTATGACATTCGGAATGGAATAGGTTGAGATAGAATAGTGATCAGATCCGCATGTTTTATCTTCACTTTACGAAGAAACGGATCTCATATAAGTAATATTACTTTCTATGGAAGCCAACATAATTAACTCGGTTGACCTCGATCATCCCTCCGACCACGACCAGTCGCCGTCCGATACTTGATACGCACTCTCACTCTTCTCGGGAGACCCTTTCCTGACCCTCGACGTCAACCGAAGCCGGCTCGGGCCCATCCCTGAAGCCTGCAAGCCTGACCATGGTAGCCTTCGCGTGCTCGTCCATCTGCTCGACCAGTTCCGCAACCCTGAGTCTGTCTCTGGTGTCGGGCTCGAGGCTGTGCACGAGGCCCGTCAGCATGCTCCCCTTCCACGACTGAAGCTTCAGCCAACACGTCTCAAGCATGAAGAGCACGTAGAAGACGCCGCCTCCTAGGGGCGCGACGATCGGGAAAGCCAGGTAGGCCCATCTTACTTAAATGTGGACGACCCGTTGATTCGTCGTGCCTCGAACGAGGTAGCGCCCAGCCCGAGATCGCGGATCCACTTCGTCAAGCTAGCTGCCACCACTTCAAACGTGGCCGTGAGATTTAGCCACGCGCCGAGGGCGAGGGCAGTAGGCGGCTACGTCTTTCCATCCGCGATTCTATAGATGTAGATTGTTGGGAAGCCGAACTGGCCGTCGCCAAACCCAGACTTGATGTAGTCTAGGCCTGCCATGCCACTCGGTTGTGCAAAGTCCAGGAAGGCGGCCGTTATGGCCTGAGTGGCGGTGTAGGAAATGTTAAGTTCCAAATCTTCGTCATTATGTGGCCCTATAATTCTGGTGTACTCATCTTGTGGAAACAATAGCTGTAGGTTAGTTCTCTCGAAGTCATAGAGGGAAAATTCCATAATAAGAGCTTAGCTTCCTTATAAGGCTTAAAACCTCCTTTTGAAACACCTCATATAAGTCATCTTAATCACCTTTGGGTTTAGGCTTACAGAAAAAGCCTTATTAGGAATAGATAATAGATCCACTATAGCAAAGACAATACAGGAGCTGAAAGGCTGCACATGTGACCGTAAATAAGTGGGTTTAGGGAGGAAAGAAGGGCGATTTAGGGGAGAGCGGGAGCGAACCAAGAGTATTTGAAATAGAGATAGAAGACGCAGAGGACAGGCAGAGGAGGGGCGAGGGAAGAGAAGGCTCGCAGAGGCCCGGGGGTCCAACACGCCTAGCCATCCCTCGCAGAAAATCGAGCATAACGAGAAGGCCGCGGAGCGGCGACGCAAGAGGTGGCAGTGAAGCGAGGTCGAGAAGTCCAGGGAGAAATATGGCGGGGTCGGCGGATTGAAGTAGTTACGGAGGGAGGACGGTGCGGCGGCGCAAGAGTGGGATCACCGCTAGGCACCGTCTGACGTGCTGAGTCATCCGGGACCCTGAGTTTTCCAATGGGTGTGGTCGTAGGTACTAGTTTGTGAGCGAGAGGAGACTTATGGAGGCTTCCCTAGTGCTCTCTCTTTAATGTTAGAAACAACCAACAAGTGCTGTGTTTAGCAACCAAAAACGGCGGCCGCTAAATGGGCTCTACTATAGAAGGTAAAGCATGACACTAAGGGGGAACGGACTATGGGCGTGACCGTGGAATTACACGGGCTCGTCATGTAAGAACCTGATGGAAGAGTGTAGGTGTTGAGGTTGTTGGATCGGAGGAAAGGACGTATAGGGACCAATATCGAAGATGGGTGTGTTGTGCTGCAATTGTGAAGAATAATTGAATCCAACCTCCTAACTCCCTTGCGTCTAGATACTTCTTCTATTACCCAAGTTTACGAAACCCCTTAGTCCCCTACGCACTCCGGACGACGAGCACGTGACATCTAGGGACAAGCAACAGTTTGTGTGCATCGATCAGCTAGCTTTTTCCCCTTGCATGCCGCTTCGTTGGCTTCAGTAGCCTTTGCATCAAAACTGTCCGCTATGCCAACCCCACATGTACCTCCGTTACCATCTCCAAGGCTACAGAAGAGAGTGTTGCCGGTTACACAGACGGCGGAGACGCTGTTTGTCTTGTAGGTAACAGCAGAGGCTGTAGCAACCATCATGCTAGTAAGAAGGGCGGTGGTAGGGAACTGCATTTTTGGAGTTGATGAAGATTGTTGTCTGTAGGTTGAAAGAGAGAGCTTGATAAAGCGTTTCTGTGTAGTAGGATGATTGTAGAGAAGCAGACCTTAGGGACAATTGCTTGGAGGTTCCATCCTTTCCTTTATGTATGGTCTTATTCTGCTTAACATACGGACGTATAATTGGCAGGTTCTAACACATGGCCGCGTGTTGACCCACCAACAGGGGTTAAACAAGCCTGAATTGAGAGATTGAGAGAATCTGTCACAAGAGAATGGCAGTGTCGCAGAGACACTAGTGTAAGTTTTCCGGGCTGTTTGATCACTACTCTGATGCAGGGAATTTGACTAGATTGCTCCTAAAATATCATGATATCTTAGGTATCATAATACATTAAGTATCATAATACATTAAGTATCATAATACATTAAGTATCATAATATATTAGGCATTATGATGTAGTAGATGTTATGATGTACTAGGATATGATCGGCAACTCTAGCAAGGATCGGATAATGGCTGGATTTCAGCCACCTAGTGACAGCTACAAGTAGACATACCGCGAAACTCTGTCCGTGTTACACCAGGCCTAAAACAGTTGTCGTGAACTTATCGGCATGCGTGGATTGGCATTATGACTGCAATCAATTTATTCTAGTTAATTGCCGTCTCTAGGGATAGGCGTGCCTGTGAGATCAGCTGACTCGTATGCTGTCTTATGACCGTAGGATAGTCCGATACCGTCGCAACCCTCGTAACAACGGTTGGGTACAACACGATTTCAATTCATCCTTGCATAATCCGAATATTGGCCCATGTATCGTACCTGGTTGAAATCTATATTTTGCCTACTTGGATAGTTAATTTCTGCCTTCTCCATCCCTTTTTTCCCCATGCAAAACTAAAGTAACGCCAATGGTCCGATTTTGGACTATTAGCGCGCTATCCAAGTTGCTGAGGTAACAACAATAATCACAGCCACAGCGACTACTATAGAGTTTTACCCCTACGTTAACTTCATGCTTATATGAGTTGATTCTTCAGCACGAATTATTTCTTACTAGATGTGACAGGCCAATGGAGACGGCAACGACCACGCAGCGTGCGGGCCAAGGGTCGGTACCATAGACTGGCTTAGAGCTTAGGTTCTTGTCACCCTGCTGAACCCCTTCGAGGAGCGAGGAGCTAGAGATTGGGGGGGCCAAGAGCAGCTTCTGTTCAACACCGGACCTAAGTTCTCGACGGCACTATTCCTAATCGTAGTGCTGCTACACTAGAGTACAAGCCTTACCTAACTGATCTGGAAGCTGCCGATCACATCCTTAGTCAGGATGGTTGGGGTTGCTCAATTTCTAACTTTATCATAGAGACATATAAACCTTATCCAATGGTTTTCAGATATATACTAACACATGAACACTAGGCAACCCCTTTCGGCGATGCTGGGACTTGAAAACCTGGACCATCAAAGATACGCTGGGAAATGGCCGAACGCGACTCGGTTGATTGTGGGATTGTATCTGTGGAAAACGCATCTAATGTTTCTCGGTGCCTGTTTACAACCCGACTTTGATACCTGCCCTCACTGGCTTATCAATGGGAGAATGGAGGGGATTCCGATTTTCCAGTGAGTAGTTATGGTCGTATGTGACAGACTAGGTCGTAGGTTGAGTTCATATTGCCAGAGAGGATGCGAAGACTAGCACCATGCCTGTCGCTCATTAACATCGCACTCCGTTCCTCTGTGCAGCCGACCCCATCACCCGTCGACCATCTCCGATTCCTTTCCTTTTCCAACTCCAAGTCCAATCGCATTCACCAGGGAAACATAGTTTATTCTTTGTTCTTTTTCAAAGACACGCCCTGAGAATCTTGGCGTTTCTGAACTGAGAACAAATTAATTAATCAGTGAACTGTTCGTGCGACTTGTCCAGGGCCAGGATCCCGGCCACAATTCCCTTGCTAGTCGTTCTTTTATTAACCGAGACGCTAGAAATGGCTTCCATGCCAACCGTCTCGTCAACTCGAAGGATTTTGTCTTTCCCTTGTTCAGCCAGATGGCCATGTGCAGCGGCTAGCCTCAACGGCCCCCAGCCTGACGTCAAGCTCCGCGATAATTCGCGGACAACATCAGCACGCAATGCCCTAAGAATGCCGTTGTTTTCAATCCAAATCAAGCATGGTTTGACAGCTTTTCTTATGCTATCGGCCACCTCCCTTGGCTCCTGAGTGCCGCCAACATAAGTCGACGACCAGCAGGCGCAACACCGCGGATGAAGAGCAGCATTCCACGCTTCTCGAACCTCATTCCTTGGCTCTGTGCTCGCTCAGGCCTCGTGAAATTCTCCGAAAACTGTGTATCTGACTGTTCTCTCTATTCTCCCTTGGGCGTGGCTGTTCCAATAGCATTACATCAATGGACAATGGGTGACATGGGCTTGGTCACCAAAGAAAGAGCGCTGTGTCTACTTCCGAAAAAGTTCAAAGAATCTCCCAAAACAAATAACATCCCTTGCTTCGGTCTCGTGAAACTTCGATTGACTCTTTGTTGCCATCTCATTAATATTAAGTACTCATTTTTGAACACCCTTCCATCAAACACAGCATACATCTCATCTCAATATTTTCTTTGCTCCTCCACTCACACTCCTGGAGCTTTTAAGAATATCAAACTGCAGCTAGCTTCAATAACCCTTTGGAAATCACTATCACGCAATGACAGAATCTGAAAAGGGTTCGCCTGAGCCCCGGGAAAGATACAACGCTCTCATCAAGCCAACCGATGATGACTGGATAACGGTTCACGACAAGTTCAAGGACCTGCTTGCCCAGCCCACCCTGCGGACAGAGCAGATATTGAAGTCATGTTTCACAGCGCATGAGCGGAAACTCTTCATGCCTGCCACGGAACCTCTGAGCTTGAGGAACTGCCAGGAAGACAACTCCAGACGATATCGGAGCTTGATATCTGGCAGGTTCAAAAGCTGCCATCTCTCAATGGCGACAAAATTTGCAATGCTCTACTTTGGTCTTCCCGTTGAGCCGATTCTGTCCGAGCTGGTTGAGAGCGCAAAGCCAGACTTTGATGTAGATGATTGGGATGTACTATACGATGTTGAGGTTCGCCCTCCGTTACATTTTCTCACAGCTCATGACCAGAGAAACTACGGGCGTGATCATATGAGAGGTTCTTGGCCAGATTATGCGTTTTATACAAATGGCTCACAGTTTCTGCAGGAATCGAAGCTCGCTTCAGCACCATCCCAGTGCCAGCTTCTCAAATGCCAGATCCCACCGCTTACCAGGGACTGAGCCTCCGAGGCGGAGGCTACGACGATGAAGACTTTGAGATGGAAGACGTGAGGTCCCTGGCAAATAGTCGTTTTTCTGTCGATGCCGGACAAGGACGCCAATGCGCCGTTGTTCCGGAACTTAACGACGATTATGAGCAGGACGACGTCGATGGCGAGCCTATCATGACGGGGCTGGGAAACCCAATCAGGCCGATTCAGCCCAGTAGGTTTGATGTTGGACACCCGTTGGCGAGCCCTATACGGCAGGCTTCAGCCTCAAGGTCGAACGTCGCTGGTGCCTCTCTGACTGCTGCGAGCAGGCCCACGATAAATGTCAAATTCAAAGAACAACCAGATGAAGCCTCCCAGGTGCACGACTGTGTTCCTCTCTATGGCTACCAGGGCCGGATTATGTTCATGCCCCACGACTTATCTGCGTTTGAAGCAGCTTCCAGGAAGCTCTTGTCTCTTCGAAGGCACGACGGATGCGATCTAGTGCTCGTCGAGTTTGATCGAATCTCTAAACAGGTTATGAAAAGCTTTCATGACAATATTCCCATCAACCAATACGGTGCTATGGCGAACCACCTGAGAAAAAATGTCAGGTCCGACGTCAACTGCGTCTGGTTCGTGCTTCGTCGAGGCGAGGCGATCCCCAAGGAATGGGAGCCTCAAAGGACCCTATTCTCGTCCTCGCTGATCAAGTTCAGTCACGTCGACGATAAGGGGTACGAAAATTTCTCGTATTGCAACGTTCCGTCTCGCAACCAGTACTTTGACGGCCCCAAATTCGCAATCAGCACGCGACCTCCGCCAAAGCCCTGGGGTGCCAACCAGTACATGCCTTTTGTCACTACGGCGCAACAAGTCCTGACAGGAGCACCAGATAGGCCTGGAGCAAGTCATTGTGATATTGTCATCTCCGCTGAATATTTACGGACGGGGACATATTCAACGTGTTGGTATGGTGGCATTGAGATGCACCGTGGGCTGTTGGATGCGATGCATCCTTGCTTCGCCAAGGGAAAGCCATTCGTGGTTGAAACTCGTTCCTTGCCTGAGGAATCCATCGTCTTTTACTTACCGAGAGGCGTCGCAAAATCCGTTACCGCGTTGGAGAACCGACAATGCCATCGCCAGACAACCTCTGAAGACCCATACCCCGATGCACTGAAGAAGTTGCAGGCGATGACTATGGATCTGGAAATGCCCAAAGATGTCTCATACCGAATTTTGCGCGGAATCGACTACTTCAACCCCCTGACCAAGGATCCATCGAGAGATTATAAGCCAGTTTCGTGGAACCCCAGGATAGCGAGGCCCAGAAGCAAGACCAATATCAAGAGAAGCTTTCCAAGTTCATCGTCAATGCTGTCGACAACAAGAGGGAGCCTTGCCGGTTTTTCGTTATCCAGCCCTTTTATGGGCGCAACGATTTGTGTACCATAGAGACGCCGAGGGAGAACAATGGCTCCGCTGAATACCAAGCGGACTCAGACACAATGGAGACGCTCAAGGCCAAGGTCGAGAGATTGTACAGGGATGACCCAAAAGTGCAGTATGACCCCCAGCAAGACAGTATGCTCATAGAGCCCATCTTTAAGTATGGCGGCTCTGGGCAATGGAACCCAGTTCATTTCATCTTGCGGTCGGATGCCGCTGACTACGAACTGGTCATGGTCCGGCGCCTTTCTGTTGCGCAAACCATGCGTATCACAGTCCTGAAAAACGACGAGCTTGACTTTGGTATATATAACATGCATCGGAGCCTCGTAAGCTAATCACTGACGTTGAAATATAGTTAAATGTGTGGCCAAAGAAAGGGACGAGCAGAACCAATGGGGGCCTAGGTACGGTCAAGTAACGTGTCTGCGTCCAGAGTTGTCTCTGCCCGTGATTGTCCAGCCTGTCGAGAACCGGTATTTCGCCACTCAGAAGCAGCCGGGAGAAGTGAGTCAAGAGACTCCAAGGCCGCCTGAACAGCATCCGCGAGAATCTAGCTGGGAAACACAGCCGAGCGTCTACGACAACGGCATATATCACCCATCCTTCCCGATCAATGCACCTCCTGTCGAGTCAGTCATGCGGACGGGGGGAAGCCGCGTGCCTATGATCACTAAGAACGCGCTCACAGTCACCGAACAACATGAGATACAGGGGGCGCTATGGAACGCCCGCGGCATGGTGTTGGATCGAATTTTGGAATGTCCGTATGAGGGGTGCAACTTCACCTACCGCGTGGACGAAGACAAGAAGCTTGTGAGACATTTGGAAGAGAAACACAATGGTCAGAAGTGCCCCTGGTGTGACAATCGGTTATTCTCATTCTGGTCTCGGAAACAAAAGGAAGCGCACTACAAGAGTGCTCACGCGGACGAACTCCAAAGGATGTTGGAGCAGCCACAGACACCAGTTCCACGTCCACCAACGTCCCAGACCTCCGTCACTGAAAGGCCACGAGATGCCATTGGCTCATTAGCATCACCTCTGTCTTCATTCAAAATCATGGAGCGGGCTCGTCTACCAGCTGGACCTTTGCCTCGGCCAGTACCACCACCCAGAGCCAGCGAGAAGGAGGCTGACTACCGCTACTGCGATCGCTGTGGCCGCGATCACACAGAGCTCAGGGGACGAGCCGAGCGGGAGCATCATGATCGCGTTTGCGTGCCACTGGCTGAGGGAGGTGGCTTGTGCACCTTTTGTGAGGTATGCGGAGATTGTGAATGGAAGACGGAGCGAGATGCAAAGGAGTTTGCGCCGTTTGACGAATACCCACACAAGTGCCGCGGCAACGTTCATCGAAACAAGCCGCATTGCACCAAATGTGGCCTCTCCATGAATGAAATGACAGACGAGGTTATCGACAAACATCGCAAGTATTGTGCGGGTTATTACGGCACCATGGGCTGTTTCTGCCCGTACTGCCAGCACCACTTCGTCAAAGATAAGACCCAACATCACATCGAAGACATCAAAAAGCACATTTCAGGATGCAGTGAGAGGGAACCTAGGAAGACCACTCCTTACGAAATCTATCCAGAGGCATACTGGAAAGACCAAGACGTGCCTGCAGACCCTCTGTACTTGGGACGGTCTGCGTCAGCAACGCTCGTGAGAAAACAACGCCGTCCCAATGGGCCTACTCGTTACCTGAGCTTTCCCCTGATGTGGTATGAGAAGTCTGGCCCGATGCCAACGCACGATCCTCCGTCCGAATGCAAACTACCTGGCTGTCGCGAACCTCTTTTTGGCTTGACGCCGTCAGAGGTTCTGGGGCATTTCGAGACGAACCATGGCGGTCAGCCGCAGAAGAAGTGTCCGCTGTGTCACCTCTCATTCAAGAGGTCCAGGGATGAGCTTGAAGGCAAGCCTGAGCTCGAGGAATGGGAAGATAGGAAAGACCAAGTCGCCCATATGGAATGCCACGTCTACCAGCTTTGGGATATTTTAGCTGCAAGGGGCCCCCCGCCACACACTACAAACCGCGAGCCCTTCTACGCAGGCCACAGCCTTTGGGATCCCGACAATGAGAGAGCCCTGGACCGACGAGACAAACGGTGCCCGCACTTCGACAAGTGCGGCGCCATGGTAGGCTTCATGAACCAGAAGCAATGGAATCGCCACATGGAAACAGCGCACGCTGCTGAAGACTTTGAGTTACGGGTGACGCACGACAGGACGACCGACATACAGACTGTATTTGATGACCGGAGACTGCAGAGAATCCGTGAAGGAAAGCCGCCCATGGCAGGACAAGTGCGCCCAGTACCTCAGCCGAAGGGGCCGGAAAAGAGAGCGAAAAGGGATTCAGGACGAAAACTCATGGCTACGGGTCCTGCCGTTCAGTCTCAGGGGCAGCTGGGAGCTAGCAAAACTCAAGCTGGAGGCGAGATGCCCGCGATCATTCATCCACAGACCGTCGTACCTAAGCAAACTCGCCCCGAAGAAAATGTTCCTCGGGGTAACCGTCCGGAGGGGGCTCGACCACACAAGAAACCCGAGACGCAAGCGACCGATCATCCAAGGCACGAGGGTGGTACAGCCGCAAAGCCCAGAAATCATGCGAAAAAGAGTGGAAAGTCCACAGCCAAAACGAACAAGCCCCCGAGGCCGACAGGGAAGCAGACGGGGAAAACGCCTAGCAAGTCTGCATTGGGCACGAAGCCAATGGCCGCGGCCCCAGCACAGAGCTTCGATGCAGACGATGACATGTACTGCTCGCGTTGCTTCCGCAAGGCACCCAAGAGAGGATCAAAGGCACATATTCCTGAAGGTGATCCCACCAGACAGGAGCAGATAGATGTGAGTACCCCATGATCCTCAACTACCGTTGTGGTTAACGAGCAGCTGATCGAACTCTTTTCCTCCCAACTTCGTAGGCTCACTCGGATCCAAAGAGAAGCTGTCGAATTCGACCGCAAGAAGGCCGCGTCAGGTTCAATCACGATGAAGAGCCTATTCTGCCGAGTAGAGTTGGGTGGATTCGAAAGGATAATTTGAATTTCAAGGACATCAGAGATGCCTTTGCTCGAGACAACCCCAACCTCGAAAGAACCATGTGTCCAACAGATTCGAACTGGAAGCGTACATATTCGAAATGGGTGCACGATCCGAACAATGAAAACAATCAAGACGTTTGGGGGCTGCCTTACCGACCCAAGAAAGACCAGAAGGAGGAAGACAGCGAAGAGGATGACGGGGAGGAAGATTATGTGGAGGGAGACGAAGAGGAGGGGGACGAAGAGGAGGGCGACGAGGATGAATATGAAGAAATGAGCGAAGAGGAGGAGGAGGAGGAGGAGGAGGAGGGAGAGGAGGATAAAGAAGAAGAAGGGGCAGGGCAAGGGGAAGAGCAGGAGGAGCAAGGGGGCTTAGATGGTGGCGGTGATGGGGCCAAGGACAACCCGGAGAACCGTCACAAGAGGAAACATAAAATGTTCCGGGGGATTCAACCTCACGATCCGACATACCGGGATCGCGGGGACGATGACAGCCTGAGTGAAGAGGATCCACGCGAGTTGGTGCCGGAGAGCAGAAGCGATGGAGACGGTAACGCTGAGTCTGGCGGCGGGAAGCGGAAGCGTCATGCCACGGCATCAAGGGGAGAGCGGCAGGCCAGCAAGAAGGGCAAGACGCAAGAAAGGGAGCGGAAGAAGGCTAGGGTGTCTGAGGGAGGCCAGAGCAACAGGCTCTAGAGAGTCGAGCGTCAGTTGCAGGTGGCGCCTTGGCGAGGACAATTGTACGTAGATACCGTGCATGGAGATCGGCGTCGCCATCGATTTGGATGGTTGATGCGACCTCTTGATAGGTATTTTTGTTTAATCCTATCAGTCTGCTACCGCCAATTAAACTTGCCAAAATTTGGGCTGGTTGATAGTGTACTTGTTACTTGTTTAACATATTCAACATCATCTTGAGAGGCCGATGTAGTCGATGGATATCATCCAGCTCGAGGGATCCGACTCGATATCACGGGAGGTTCAGTTGAAGTTGCGGGGAAGTACCGCAGTGCAGTGAGTAATTAGCAAATGAGAACGAGACAGAATGGTCTGCCGTGTCCATCGCTTCGGCGACTCACAGGGACCCGGACGATGGTTGAGTTGAGACGTGTCGGGGTCGGGCTACAACGGGTCTTCGGCGTCCACGTGGGCGGGCTCGCGGCTTTCATCGGTCTCATCCGGGCAGTGAGTTGCGGCGGGGAAACGACGTGTGACGACGCACGAAGGCCATTGGTTTCGGGTTTTTCATCGGTTGAGAGTTTGATAGCGTAGGTAGGATGATCTAAAGCGAGACATAAGTACCGTGAGGGCCGAGTCGAGTTCCCAGTCGATATGAGCGAGGGGATCCCGAAGGATGCAATTGAAAAAAACAACTGGTATCACTCTCTGTCTCTCTTTCTTGTTCTCCCGGCCCAAGTGTGCTACCCTGTAGCAAGCACGGACCGTTTGTTGGCGACATCGACCAGTACGTACCGTGCCTGCACAAAATTGTGCTTGTCGGTCTATGCAGCTCACCTGACTTATGAAGACGGTGTCCCCACCCTCCGAGTTTTTCTGCTTCCCTCATTAAAAAGGCCACAAGGTCAAAAAGGCGCAATCACGCCATCGCCCCGGTCAGTCACATCATCGTCCGAGCTCCACACCAGAGCCGCGCCTTCGACCTCGTCGTCCACCAAACGAAGAACCATCTTGCCCGATTCAGCCATTCATCTTGTAAATGTCCCCAATGCAAGCGCCGCGGCGTCTATTTAGCGAGCTCTTACAGCTCTCGACCCGGCGGCCCGTCCCTCCAGGCCCTCCTCGGCCGGGATGCCGCCTCTTGCACGCCTCTGCTTGCTCGAGACACCCCCGACCGACATCCGCGTCGTCGCCCTCCTCCTCCTCGACGCGCTCGACCGGTGGCCGTGAGGGCCAAGGACACCGCCAGCATCACACAAGTACCCCGCGAGGCAGCGGACGCGAGCCCCCACGCCGCAAGGGTCCGGCCACCGTTCGCACATTGCTCGCCAGTGGCGGGCTCCTCTCCCTCTTCGTCGGCCTCTCGGAGCCCTTCCACCTCCCCCACGAAGACGAAGTGGTGGATGCTTCCGGCCCGGCAGCCATCGCCGACGACCGCGACCCGACCCTCCCCCGGTTCACCCTCTCCGAGGTCCGCAAGCACGATGCCAAGTCCAAGAGCCCGTGGGTTACACAGGGTGACAAGGTCTACGACATAACCGAATGGGTTGGAGCTCATCCTGGAGGTGATGTCATCCTCCGCGCTGCCGGAGGAAGCATTGACCCCTACTGGGACATCTTCACCATTCACAAGTCCCCTCACGTCTACGAGATTCTGAACCAGTACCTCATTGGTTTCATCCATTCAAACGACCTAGTCGACGGCAAGCCCGTCACTCAGGAGATAGAGGACCCCTTCAAGCACGACCCAGCCCGTGACTCTAGGCTCATTACCCTCACTCCTAAGCCTCGCAATGCAGAAACGCCACTGGAAGGTCTGGCTGACAGCTATCTTACTCCCAATGAGCTCTTCTACGTGCGCAACCATATGTGGGTTCCTCAGGTCGAAGACACTTCCGACTACACCCTCAAGATTGAGCTCCTCGATGGATCCATCAAGGAGTACACCATCGATGACCTCAAGACCAAGTTCAAGCCTGCAACGGTCGTGGCGGTGCTCCAGTGCTCCGGAAACCGCCGAAGTGACATGACGCGAAATGCTCGGAAGACCAATGGGCTCCAGTGGAACGTCGGTGCCATCTCCTGTGCTGAATGGCAGGGAGTCAAGCTCTCGGACGTCCTTGCCGATGCCGGCCTCCCTGTTCAGCAAGCCATGACGGGCGATTCGGAAGCAAAACACGTTCAGTTCTCAGCTCTTGAGGCTTACGGTGCATCCATTCCCATCGAGTCTGCCCTGGATCCCCGCGGCGATGTTCTGCTGGCCTACTCAATGAACGGCAAACCCCTACCGCGAGACCATGGCTACCCGCTCCGTGCTCTTGTGCCTGGTCACGTCGCAGCTCGATCCGTCAAGTGGTTGAGCCAGATCACCATCTCAGACGAGGAGAGTCATAGTCAGTGGCAGCGCAAGGACTACAAGTGTTTTGGCCCCAACGAGACAAGTCCCGACTGGGATCGCGCTGCGCCCATTCAAGAGATGCCCATTACTAGCGCCATTACAACCGTCAGGCTAGGCGACTGGAAGACCTTGAAGAAGGACTCCACATCGGACGCGAAGACCAGCGATGGTCGCGAGGCTTCTCTTATGGGGTATGCTTACTCAGGCGGCGGCCGCAGAATAGTACGCGTCGACGTGAGCCTCGACAACGGCAAAACGTGGGACCAGGCTGAGCTGCTCGACGAATACGGAGCCGCTCCGCCAAAGGCCGGCCATAAGTCATGGGCCTGGAAGCGCTGGAGGTATGAGGGTATTGTGCCCCTTGGCGAGCCTGGTGAAGAAAGCAAGCGATGCTCTACTCTTCTGGTCAAGGCGACGGACGAGGCCTACAACTCACAGCCCGAGAGCTATGAGGCCATTTATAACCAGCGAGGTAACCTGGCCAACGCCTGGCATCGCCTCAAGGTTTGCTCCGAGTGTGCCAGCCAACCTGCAGTTGCTGCCAAATGAGAAGGTGGCGCGATCTTGAAAGAGAGATGCGTGAAAGACTGAGGTGGGGGCAAAGTTCCATCAAGAGTGATAGTTCATTTCTTGGGATTTCCTCCCTCTTGAGCAAAGTATGTTTGAAGAAGCAGAGGCGTACCGAGGAGTTACGAAGCGAACAGCATGGCTGAAGGGGGCTTTCTACATTTTCTTTCCAAATTCCTCTTTATTTCTTTAGTTTTTCCCAGAGCCCATGGCTGCGGCCGGGCATCTCCATCATGAACCCAAGCTTTACTTTGCTAGCATTTCTATAGTAGCAGGCTAAGACTGCCACGCAGTTGAATACAAATTTTTTTTTTTGCTCGTTTTGAACTGGCATTCGTGATTGTGTCATAGACCATAACTGTCAGTGTAATGGCGACTCGCCACGCTGAACTGGGGGGCAAGAAAGCAATATGATGAATCCCAGACGTGCTTCATTTTCAACAAAATGGTCAACGGAATGAATGCAATGGTTTCATGTCCGGCCGCAGCAAACATGCCGCAGTGCCCCGCGGGACAGGCCAAGGGGACCGGAAACGGTAGGCAAGCCACCAGATTCCGAGGAACAGGTTGCAAGATCCCCTATGCTCCATCCATCTCATTCATAATTCTCTTCACCTCTCAAATGTCTCTGAGTAGTACTCTGTCATTTCGTGGCCCTCATCCATGCGATCGGTAATGGACCGAACCGATGACGGGGCAGTACAACGTTCTCCCTTATGGAGGAGACGCCACGTAAATTCATAAAGCAAACCCAGGATGTAGTCTTTGGTCAAGATCAAAAGCTTAACGGTGATGGGGAAACTGCATGTTCTGAGGTACAATCATCGTTTCCAGCGTTCTCTGTGCGCCTACAACGTGGACAGATTGTTGAATGCCAAGAGATATGGTGTTTTCTACGCTCTTGGCTAGGGAATTAGAGACTTGGGTTTTGCAGCACCTGGTTCGAAAACTTGACAACAGTGAAGCAGAAAGAAGAGAGCCGGTTCTAGACGGTTGGAAGTCTCGAGGGAAGGGGTATTGTCCTTCAAATTCCCTTGGACGAAAATCCAACATGTAAATTGTAGCTGTTTCACCTGATTATGTGCTCATGATTGTGCAAAATTCGCTCTTCTCACTCCGAGCATGGAAAGCATATGAAGCTGTCAGTCCAATGAAATTCTACGTTTTTTTAAGTGCGCTTAGCTTATTGCGCGTCCCCCGTCTACATAAACGCCGGGTAATATACAGCCTTGCTCACCTCCCTTCGCCTAACACAAGTCCAGGCCATCGCCCGAGCATCAATAACCTTGTTCCAACGCATGCGTCTAGTCATCATCGGTGTATCTGGGTCCGCTAGCCGCCGGCGTCTCAGGAGCACCATATGCTGCAGGTGTAGGTGCGCCGTAGTAGGCAGATGATGAGGCGAAGCCGCTAGCAGCAGGTGTAGGCGCACCCGCAGCTGGCGTTGGAGCCGAGTCGGCACCCCAGCCGCCTTGCCATCCGCCGCCGGGCGTCGGGGCACTCGCAGCGGCTGGAGTGGGCGCCGAGTAGGCACCGGGCGTAGGAGCATTGAGAGCACCTGGTGTTGGTGCACCGAGAAGGGCACCGGGCGTCGGCGCATCATATCCAGATTGACCGGGAGTGTATCCCCACGAGTCGCCTCCGCTGGCACCGGGCGTCGGTGCAGAGCCACCACCATATGCGGGTGTCTTGGAGCCAGAGCCCCAGGCATCCCCCCCTCCGTATGCCGGTGTCTTCGACCCCAATCCAAAGGCATCATGAGCTGGTGTCTTGGCACCCGATTGCCATGCTGGCGTTCTCGATCCTCCGCCGTACGCGGTGCGGCTGCCGTCGCCGTAGGCAGTTCGTGAACCGTCGGCCCAGGCTGGTGTACGGGACCCGGAATAGTCTGGGCCGCTCGACTTCCAAGCCGGTGTACGTCCACTAGTCGGCGCGGGAGCTTGTCTATGTTAGCGACACATTCAATTACAGAAGTGGCATTGGGAATTTGCTTACTTCTGGAACCCCAAGCAGGCGTTCTCTCTGGACCGCTGGAGGCGACTGGTGTTCTGCCTCCCTGCCAATCCCCATGTCCACCACGACCGCCACCCGGAGGGCCACTGTGGCCACCGCGGCCCCGACCGTTGATTTCGATCTTGGCGCCGGTGACCTTGTCCTTGAAGCTCAGGTGATCCTTGGGCACGGTAATGGTCTTGCTCTTCGTGTGTAACTCCACTCGGGCATGGGTATCCGTGGCGTCTTTGACAATGCCCAAAAGACCCTTGTAACCGCCCTTTCTGATGATGACGGTCTTGTCGATCGCTCGATCGCGTCCTCCAAAGCTCTTGGGTGGCGCCATCTTGCTCTCAGAGCCGTTAGGGTTGCGCTTCATGGCAGGATTCATCTGATCCAGGTTGGGGCCGGCCGAAAGCACACGCCCACCCTTGGCGGCAATGGTGTTAACATTACCGGCCTTGGTGACGAAGACACCGGCGTTCTCGTTACTGTCATTGTTGTGCAAGAACACATAAGCACGATGAATGTGAATGATCTTGCCCTGGCGCTGTTGACCACCATACTCTCGCACGACATCGTCGAGCCTGATCTCGGAGCCGTTCCGGTCCGCAGCCACGGCGATTTTCCGCTTGGGGAGTTTGTTGGCAATCTGCGACGGCATGACTTGCCGCGTGTCTCCGTTTTGGTCGAGAACAACCACCGACTCGCGATCAACCTTAACGATGCAACCAACGGTGGTCGGGTCCAACTGGACCAGGTCAAAAAGCTCGTACTGGCCCAGCGAGCCCTGGCCGCCAATGTCACTTGCTTCACGCAAGTCCTTGCTGAAGACCGTGACTTCAGTGTTGGTCTGGTCTGTCAAGAAGGTGACCCTGTCTTCGGAAATTTTGACCACCATACCGACCTCGTCACGGAATCGGCTGCCACTGGTCACCTTGACGTGGTCTCCGACTCTGAACCGCTTCCTTAGGCCCTTGGTGGGGACTTCAATGACTTGGCCCGCTAGCACTCCCTCGGTGACCTGCATTGTAACAATGTCGCCCTGAACATTGGTAGCCTTTCCAACAACGCCCTTCTGCTCGCCTTCGTAGACCTCAATGATATCGCCGGGCAGGTAAGTGACATTGATGTTGCTGTCCTTAAGACTAGAAGCGAGGGCCTTCAGGTCAAGGTTCTCGGTGCCGTCCTCGGCACCGGAGGCGAATCTGGTGACTTCCTCCAGGGTCGGATTGACGTCTGTAACGACCAACTGCTGGATCTTGATATCCTTAACCTGGAAGCCGTTTTCGAACTCGTCGCCCATGTAGTTCCAAACCTTGGTGGTTGGGTTACCCTGGATATGCCGGGGGTGTCGCTTGCGAGCTTCAGTCTCGTTGAACAGACGTTGAGGAGGGCGCGGTCCGGCCATGCCAATGGGCCTTTTCCGCTTGCCATCAGGGGTGAGGGCGGAAGCGAGGGCGTCGTCTCGCATTCCGTAGTCAAGGCGGGGGATGAAACGGACTCTGGCTTCGAGTCCGTTCTCAGTAACATCGATGACCTGGGCAAGATCACCGGCGTGCTTGGCAGGCTTGCGAAGTCTGACCCAGGCGCCAGGCTCCAGAGTGGGTGTCTTTGTAACGCGAAGGAGGTCAGGCATGTCCTTTATGTCGACCAGGATCATCTTGGATCGAGGATAGACGTTGAACATGCCATCAAGAGCAACCATGATATCGGTGGAACGGTTGGCTTCGACGTAGATGTAGCCCTTCATGACGGAGGTCGGGCCGCCGCGTTCAAAGGCCGAGATGATGGCCAGTTCGTCCTTGGTTCCCATCCTCTCCTCAATACGCTTCATGATGGAAAAGACGACCTCTCGCTCTTTGCCTTCCTTGCATCTGACAGCCCAGATGGTGGGATCATCGACACTGGGCATCAACAGGCGCTTAGGGACGACGGCGGAGTCTCCAAAGCCCTTGTTCGGACGGCGATTGCCGTAACGCTGGCGAAGGATCTCGGCCTGTTTCTCAGCATCCATGCTCGCCTCCATCTCGCGGCGACGGTCGAGTTCTCTATGGCGTCTGTCGTCGTCGAGGCCTCCACTTTCGGCAATGTCGTCGGGATGGGCGTTGTCGATGAAGTCCTCTATCTCCTCACCATCTTTCTCCTCGTCCTCACCGTCCTCTTCGTCGTCAACCTCGGCTTCGATATCGAAGAAGGCGGCGCGGCGATCCTTTCTGCGCTTGCGGCGATGTCCCTAGTAATTGCAGTGTCAAGGTCGGTCCGTATTGAAGTCATGTGGGGGATCAGGATTTTGTGGCAAGCGTGGACAACTATCTGGCGTAGTCCGCAGGTGAACGCAGATGCTGCGAGGCGGCGCAAGCAGGAGGCTTACCTGTTGTACATCGTCCTCGTCCTCGTCATCCTCTTCTTCCTCTTCCTCTTCTTCCTCATCGTCGTTTTGCACGTCATCTTCATCTTGTTCCTCATCCTCGTCATCATCGTCTGGAATCCTTGACTTGGAAGGGGCAGGGGCATCGTCGTCGGCAACGGGGCTACTTTCGCGTGCGTGCTTGTTGCTGTTGTCGTGATCGGGTTCCTCATCGGATAAATCGGCGGGCGCGGGGTTGAAGTCATCCTCCTCCTCCGACTCGTCGTACCGGTTGTGGTCGCTGGAAGCCATCTCGAAGACGAGGGAGGTTCGGTTGAAGATGTGTTGGCAGTTGGTTTTGCAGGAGGTACCGAAGTGAGATTGGTTCGAGGTGAACCTACCAGAGAGCAGAACAGCAAGGGGAAGCGATTCCTCTCTAGTCTTCCCCGACTGAAGGTCAGATCGAATCCAATAAGTAGAGAGGCGCGAAGATGGAAGGAGCCACGGTGAATCTGAGCTTCCGGGTTGGAGGACTTTTGAAATGAGCTGGAGCCAGGGGAGGTGAGGCGACAGAGAATAGTAGAAAGCTCAGCATAGCCAAAGCCAAAGCCACGTCCAGAAAGCCAAGGTTAACGCGAAAGACGTCCGCGTCCGAATTGGGACTAGTGGTCATGGGCCCTGACTGACACCTGAGGCAAATCATGGTTCGGTAGCTACGCCACGGGGGACGGGACCATTAGGTGCTATACTTAGGCAGGAACACTTGCAGCAGCAGCTGCTGCATCCATTTTATGATGGGTCTCTTTTAAGCTGTCGGAATGGAGCGCTTTATTGAGAGGATGCACTCCCATCCCATCTTCAACTATTCTTTTACTCTTCCAGCCAAGGTGCCAGGCTTGAATAACCCCTTTCGACGCTTGCTACAACCAAAGCTGATCCATCTGTTCATGGAGAATGAGACGGGGAATATAGATGACACTGGGTGTCATGTCAGCTAGCTATTGATCATTCCAACAAACACACTAGCTTGAAAAGACTGTACTCAACGGAGACAGGTCAATGGGACCAAAAGATGATGGAAAGCATTGCAGCGAAGAAGCATTTCGTTTATCGTTCAAGGACACTAGTTCCCTGGCAATACTAGCCGACTTGGTGACACGATCAACCTCCCAAGCTGCCCAATCGCTACCCACTGGCCCGTTCTGTTGCGTCTGCTGCTAAATCAAGTCTCGAACGTGCAACCGACGAATGCCTCGGCTTATTCCAGCTGCATCATTAAAGACATGCGTCACCTGCGTTCTTCTTCAGTACCCGATATGACCAGTCTAGTTGTGACGTCCAAAATCTTAGACCCCGCGTTGACTCGATCTCTTTCAACTTTTTGTAACTCTTTGCTCCACCGCAATCTCTGGGCTTTAGAATGCCGTCCGAACAGAAGACAAGGGCAGTCGTCATAACCGAATTCGTCAATGTAAGTCGATCCAGCCAAAGTCAACCACACACCCCTCGTCTCTACTGTTTATCCCATCTCTCTCTCATATCTCCCAGTCCTGGTTTCCCTGATTCTTCAGCCTCGTCGTAGACTTTGTCGGTCTTTCCGAGTCCCATGATACGAGCAGGACGACAGGATGAGGAACACACCCGTTCAGCTTTGTCCATTAACCGCGTACTTACCAATGGCACTAGGAGTTCGATGAAATAAAAGTCTCCGAAGTCGATCGACCACTTCCTAAGCCAGACGAATACCTAGTCCGAGTGAAGGCTGCGGGAGTAAACTTTGTAGATACTCTCTACGTACGAGACGGCAGGCCATGCTTGTATACCCTAATTTTGCTAACACTTGGACGTAGGCCAAAGGGAACCATCAGAACAATCGGTCTCTGGTGCGGCCGCCCTTCACTCTAGGTCTGGAGTTTGCCGGCATCATTCTCTCCGCTCCGGCGGGCTCGTATCTCCGTCCTGGCGATAGAGTCTTTGGCGGTTGCACGGGTTCGTATAGCGAAGTGATATCTCTTCCCGCGTCGACGCCTTTGCACCGCATCCCAGCAAAATGGAGCTTTTCCGAAGCTGCTGGGATAGCCGCCACACTCCCCGTCTCTTACGCAGCGCTATTACAAGCTGAAGTCAAGCCTGGACAGACCGTTCTTGTGCACGCGGCTGCAGGCGGTCTCGGCCTCATGGCTGTACAAGTTGCGACAGCCATTGGATGCCGAGTTATCGGGACCGCAGGCTCCTCCGAAAAATGCGCCATTGCTGCAAAGGCTGGGGCCCAACTGTGTGTGGATTACACACAGGAAGCGGCATGGTGGGAACGTGTTTTGGAACTGACCAACCATAACGGGGTCGACGTCGTCTTCGATCCTGTTGGCCTCGTCGATCGAAGTTTGAAGTGCATTGCTCACCGAGGCAAGATTCTGATTGTGGGTTTTGCCGGCATAACAGATGGGATGGAGCAAATCGCCATGAACCGATTGCTTTTGAAGCAAGTCTCGCTGATCGGCTATGTGAGTGATAATGTGACCTTGCTGGATTCAGAATCCTTCCGATTGACTAGTTTGGCTTCTGCAGCGGTACGGGGAGAGCTTGCGACGATACCCTGACGAAGAAAAGGTCATTTGGGATGGCTTGCAACCTCTCATAGAGAGAAACGCAATACGGCCTGTCGTGTACGAGACTGAATATAACGGGCTCGAACAAGTCCCTCGGGCACTCAAAGATCTGACGAACCGAAAGGTATGGGGCAAAGCAGTAGTCACCCTGAATGACACCACGACGGACACGTCTCGGGCCAGGATCTAGGGCGACCACGCCGTAACGAGGTACAGTGTACTCAACACGTTCGGGACGATAGAGCCAGCCGGTTAAATTGGGTGCGAGGCGAATACCGCACGATGATTATGACATTCCGTTACTCTTCCCTCCTTACTACCCCTGCCGGTATATAGCCATCCATCATCCCATAATTTTGTTCCTGATCACCGACTGAGGGGCCATACTGAACCTGCGAGGGCGTCGAATCACCCGCCTTAACTGTTCCAATGGACTCCATTGAAACATGACTCACCAATGGTTTCCTCCTACAGCCGGCTCAAGAGCCCATCCCTAAACGCCAGGCTTCGCGATGCATATACCACAATTGACCAGCCAGATCTATGAACAGGGCAGCAAGACGGTCAGATGAATGCTGCTCGTCGTCCTCAGCTCCTTCAGGCACCGGTCCGTCCACACGTCTTGACGCCCCATAGGCCTCTGCCGGCACTCACTCCCAGCCACTCCCCCTGATCGTTGGTTGAGAGGTGCGGGACCCATGCAAGGTTCCCAACCTCGTAGTCGCACTGCCAGCTGGCATACGGGCTTCGCGTGTTGTCCGGTTGGGCGGCACCATTGGCAGGAGGGCCACTGCTGAGCGAGTGGTTGTTGTTGTTGTAGACATCCCAAAGCAGCACCTGGCAGTCGTCTGCTCCCGAGGCCAGGACTCCTCGCCTTGTGGGCGACCACTCAATGGAGTTGAGAGAGCCCTCGTGACCCCGCAACTCGAGAAGAGCTTGTCCAGGATGCCTTACGTCGAGGATCCGAATAACGTTGGAGTCTTGCGCAAACGTAGCCAGCAAATGGGTATCGTGAGGAGAGGTTGCCAGTCTCAGCAGAGGGGGAGGGTTCGACATGGTTTGTTGCGCGAGCGTGGGGCTGATGCGTCCGCCATTGGCGTCTTGTAATCGCAGGTTAGTCTCACAAATCAGGGATGGTAGCAATCGGCGGGGCATACCTCGTTCATCCTTGCCGGTGGGCTCGTAAATGATGGTGCTATGCTCGAGACTGCGCAGGTCGAACATGCGGACGCTTCCGTCTTGTCCACAGCTCACGAACACGTCGACACTGTTGGCGCAGAAGCGCACATCATACACCTCTTTATCATGGGCAATCAGTTGCGTCTTGGCCGTCAATGACGGAATATCCCAGATCGTGCAAGTGGTGTCGATACTAGACGTGATTATTAAGCTCGGAGAGACTGTGTTCCAGTCCAGCGAAGTCAGGGGCGCTGTGTGATCGGGAGTCTTTGAGTTGGAAAGCAGCGCGAGAGGCGTCAATTTCGTGATAGCCGGGTCTCTGCCCTGCCGCGTAATCGAGTTGCTCTGCGATACGGGGCTCTCGGAGGGGAGAGACCACAGACGAAGGTGGTCGCCAGACGTCGCGAGGAGATCGGTTGACTGTTTCTGAGACGAGGGTGGTTCCCAGAGCAGGCGCGTCACGGGATAAGAGTGTGTGGCTTCGGCGACCTTTGAAAATTCGAGGTTGAACTTGGGGGTGCCTGGTTGGTAGACATCGTTGGGCGTCGGCACCATCTGGGTATCGAGGATTTGGATCTGAGAGCAGAGAGGTTAGCGCGGTCCAATGGCCAATGGCACGAAAACGGAGTCATACATAATTGTGACCGTCCTCTAGGTAGCTGCCGACGGCAAGTTTCCCTGCACCGTTGCCCTGAGGAGGCCATTTGCACCAGTCGAACGCGTAGAGAGCCCAAGGGGCGAGGTAGTTGCTGGTACCAGGCTGGGCATTGGCGAGCTCGTAGGCGACACTCCCAGGCACGCCGTCGGACATGCTTGAATCAGCGCGGGGACGGATATCAGCCAGGCCCAAGGGCGTGTTGGATATGTTGCGCTGGGAACCGGGAGCATTGTACTTTTGGTCGGGGGGGACATGAATTGCGATCCTGAACCGCTCGGGGTGGTGGGAGTGTAGGGAGCAAAGGTCGAGGCACCTTCGTAGCCGGCAGCGGGGGAGGAGCGGGAGTAGCTATGGGACAAGCTCAGGCTCGGGGGCTTCGAAGGCGTCTGGTAATCTTGCGACTGCTGGGGCTGCATCGTGGACAGGGCGGGCGCCGTGTTGGTGGTGACGGCGGGCGGCCGGTTACCAGGACCGCCAGGCTGCAAAACGTTGGGCACCGACGAGGTATTTTGGTACTGGGGGGCGTTTGGAGATGCCTGGTCCAGCTTGATATGAGGAGCGGCGGGGGCGGCGGACGAGGATGAGTATTCGCGGGGTGACAGCTGGCCGTGCTGCATCATGCCCGCTGACATGTGCAATTCTTCGTGCTGGGAGCTGTAGGTGCCGGTGCGTCGCGGGGTGCCAGACTGCTGAAATTGCGGCGGCGACTGCGGCTGCTGCTGCTGCTGCTGTTGCTGTTGTTGTTGTTGCTGATTCATGACAGCGACGGAGGAGGAGGGTGAGGAAGAGAGATCCGGGAACAAGGCAATGGAGGGGTAAGGCCCGGCGGCCCTGATGTCTCAGTCGCAGTGGAGTGGGCGGGCAGTGAGTAGGTTGAGTCTCGGTGCGGCTGCAGGCCATGGGCCGGAAGCAGAGCGGCGGGGATGGGGGCACGCTGTTGTTGCTGCTGCGAGTATGACTGAGCGCGGGAGTGGGTGCGCGGGTTGTTGGAGGAGGAATGAGAAAGCGAGTGGGAGGACGAGTGCGACTGGGAATGGGAATGGGAATGGAAATGGAAATGGGAATGATGAGGCTGGAGAGAGCGGGCGGAAGCGGAGTCGGTCGTGGCGGCGGGCGTGAGTGTGGCCGTGTTGCTGTCTCTGGTATTATTGGTCTTGGTGTTGGTGTTGCTGCTGTTGATGCTACTGGTGTCGTTCTTAGTGTTGTAGTACTCGTCGTCCCAGCGGAAGTTGGCGACGGGGGGTTCTTTGGGCAGCGGTAGCCCAATCGCGGGTGTTGTCGCACTCGCGGCTCCTGGAGTGTATTGGAGAGACGAGGTTGGAGGAGAAGAAACGGGACCGGAAGCAGCAGGAGGTTGGTCGTGGCGGTTGTGGTCAAGCTGGAAGTACCCAGATTGGCGCTGTTGCTGCTGCTGCTGGGGAGAATAGGGCGAGTACTGCCCGTACGACGAATGCTGCGACGACACCGACGGCCGCTGAGAGTGGGATGACACGGCCAATGAAGAAGGCACCGGATTGGGCAGCGGCGGGCGGGAATTATTAGCGTTGGCAGCATCCGCCGCAGGCGTGACACTGCCAGAGGCGGCGTTGGCAGTGGCGGCAGCGGTAGGGACGCCAATGGAGCCCAATGCCTGTGCCGCCTGGTACAGAGCCGAGGACGCGCTTAGCCGGTGCTGGTGATGCGGCCGCCATTGTTGCTGTGGCTGTTGCTGTGTCTCTGGGTCAATGCTCTGCTGCGAGGCTGACCGCCGATGGCCCAGGAAGTGCATCATTCTTCGAGATGAGTTGTAATGGCCGGATCACGGCGTGACGAGACAAGACAGTGGCACTTCGCGGACAAGATGAGTTGGGTAGCGACAGACAAACAATGAGACGACGTCAAAATCAACAAACGTAACACGAAGAGAGAAGAGAGAAGAGAGGGGGGGGAGGGGAGAGGCGGAATGAGACGGGACGAGACGAGAACGAGCGCGTTGGAGACAATGGCTGCTGATCTCACAGTCCTACGGAGAGGCCAAGGAGAACGAGCAGCGGTGCCGCCGAGGAAGAGTGGACGACGTCGTGTCCTCCGGATAGAGTCACCCAATACGATAGATGGACAATGACGCGGAAGAGAAAGGAAGAGGCTCGTGTGTGATGCGGATTTTTTTTCTCTTTCTCTCTCCCTCTCTGTCTCTGTCTTTGTCTCTCGGGCTCTCTCGTATGGTCTTTCTGTCTGTTGTCTGTGGTCTGCGTTGTGGTCACGGCAGAGAAAAATCACTCCACGGCATCGCCCTGACTAATGAGATGCAAACTAGTTGATGGGGATGGGGATGGGGACTGTGACCAGGACTGGGACCCGGGACTGGGCGAGGGGAGATGGGACACGCGTGGGCATGGATCTGGGCTTGGGCCGAGACGGAAGCGCGGGTGCAAACGCGGCCGGGGATGAGGCATGTGGGAAAAATGGAGAGGGAGAATCGACGAGGGGGGAGGGACGAGGATTGTTGGTTGTTGCTGCCGATGCCTGTCTCTGTTGTCTCTGTTGTCTTCACGACAAACAACCCGGCGTTAACCTCGACACAATGCATCACCACCTTACTCACCAAACTCACTCGATACTAATTAGTATCTACACAGCGCGTTCCCGTTGTGGGCGGACGGTATCATCACCGTGTACAGGATGCTGGGTAGGTGCCCGACTAACACGGGATGCTTGGTAGATGCCCGATTAAGACAGAATACTGCCTGGGCCTGGAATCTACTGCGACGCACGTCAGGGTAGTACAAAGACTAGGCCAGCCCACTTTGGTTGTGGTAGCGCCCAACAGTAACCGAGCAGACAAGGGAAACGTCACGGTTTGCTTGCGTCTGGATCCGGCCGACTGTGGGTGGGAGCCGTTCGTGCGGAAGATAAAGACTGGGGACTGAGCCGACATGTTGGTAAATCACTGTTAGGTAGGTAGTCAAACGGAGGGGAGACATAGAGATCATGTTCTTGAAGCTAGCATCAGGCATGATATGGAATTCAACGGTAGGAATATATATGTATGCACTACAAGGCGCAAGCCATGAGATGCGCGGGTACTGGCTTATCGGCATGTCCCGATAAGCTCCCCAGCGTCCAAGGCCCGCCTGGTGACGTTTGTCTCTCTCGCCGCCGTCCAGCATCAGTGTGAGGTTCCAAAGGTCCCAGCTGTGAGACCCTTACCAAGAGGTACCGACCGCCCCGTGCCGGCTGCGGCACATGCTCAAAGCTCGTGAGCTCTGGTTGCCAGCTTTGCATTTCCCACCAAGTCTGCAACGAAATCCCACCCGTTTCCCATAGCACCCGGCCGCATTACGAATCTTTATGCCCATCACACATGTCTATGCGGTCTTGTCGTTGACGCTCTTCAGCTCTATCCACATCATACACTCTTCCTGGCGCTCACAACTTGTTAAGCCGGCTTACACAAATACCATCCTCAACCTACCATAACCACTTGTTTACATCCATCTGCTACAACAGCAGCACCGATGCGTCTCGATGGCACCCGGTTCCCCTAGCTTTCTCGATCGACTCTCGCCGACGCGACAGAAATCCCCCATCTTGCCGTTGTTCACGTCCCGCGCGAGACGCTCTGACGAATACGATCTTAACGACTTGTCCCCGAGACCTGATGAAGCCCTCCTGCCAGAGTCGCCGCGGTCGCCCATTACCATGTCCAGAAGGCGCTCTCCCTCCCCCGCAGACCCATGGCATGACGACCCGCTGAGTCCAGTAGGCTCCATCTCCAAGATAAAGCCCAAGGCCATGTTTGCCGGGCCGCCTCCTCCCATAGCTGCCTCTGTGCTGCTACAATCGCCTGTCTCACAGGCTAGGCGCGGTTCTCGAGAACGAACAGTAGATATGGATAGCAGCACAAAGGGAATGGAGGCGAGCCGGATGGCGTTTGGAAGCATCTTGTTCGACCACGGCCCTCGCGACCCAAGCATATCTCGCGTGGACTCGGTTTGGCGCAACTTGCAGCATCGAGAACGGTCTCTTCAGAAAGAAGTGCAGCGTTTGCTTGACATGCAGGCCACTGGACTGGTCTCCGGCAGTGAACCCCTCGACCCCAGTACCGGGGGGCTCGAAACATGGAGCGATTCTGGGAGCAGCACGCCAACGGGCACGTTTTACTCTACAGCGACATCCAAGTCACGCATGATGGCATCCCTGGACCCGCCGGTGCGCGCCACTCCTCGAGGCGACATCATACCTGTGCGACAGCCCAAGACGTCGGGGCCGCAAGGCCTTCGAGCTGCGCGCAATGGGCTCCGACGAGCGTTGGCAGCTCTGACCGGCCTCAAAGCCGAGGAGAACGAGTACATCGAGTCGTCCCTCTCCCAGCGGAAGAGGGCGCTTGCGTACCTGGACAAATTGGATACGCGCAGGACCAGCATCTCGGCCGAACTACACAGTTTGGCGGATGACAAAGAGGAGCCCCTGGCAAAGGAGCTCCGGGGCCTTGGGGAGCAGCACGACACCCTCGGCCAGGAGATTCGCGAGATAGAGGAGAAGCTGGTTGGTATGCGAAACCGTCAAAGGTGGCTCGAGCGCAAGATGGAAGACGTTCGTAACCGCCGAGAAGCCGGCTTAAGCGGCTACAGGGGCGCTTTGAAGGAGGTTGAAGGAGAGGTTGCATCCCTCCTGCGCCAGCCTCCTATCGAGCCTCTAGATCTCGAAGTTGTCGAAGCTGTGTCGCGCAGCGAATTTGGAAGCGCCGACGGTGTCCAGGACCCACCTGGAGGAGCTGATTTCTTCCGTATGATACCGGCGCGACGGACTTTGGCCATGGCAAAAGACTGGTGGGAAAGCGAAACGGACATACTGCATAAGCGTAAGATGCAAGTCGACAAGGATCGCGATGCGCTCAACCAAGGTACGGAGCTGTGGCAGGAAACGATCGAGCTTGTCACCAATTTCGAAGCGGATTTGCGCCATTCTTTGAGAAACGGCGGCAGTACCACGACTAAGGGCAAACAGCCTCAGCGGGCAGAGCAAGAAGGCATAGAGGCACTGCTGCCGAGAATGGGAAAAGTTATCTTGGAGCTGGAAGAACACATGAGGACTGCCGAGCGCAATAGCTGGAATCTCTTGATCTGTGCCATCGGCGCCGAGCTCGAGGCTTTCCGAGAAGCCGAGAGCCTGCTTCGAGCCAGTCTGCCTCAGTCACAGGCAGCTCCTACGGTTGAGGATGTTGAGGAACCCTGGCACAACGGTGATGGTGAACCGCAGCCGGCGACGCAAACGACCCCTGGCAGTGGACGCACAGCGGGGAGCCACCACGACGAGAGTGACAATGAAGTCCCGCCAGATTTGCTGGTGTCACGGCTGGAGGAGCATGACGACGGACATTCCCACGTCGGATCTCTGCAAACATCATCATCAAGGCGGGATAGCGACAACGAGGTGCCGCCGGAGTTCCTAGCGGAGCACAGCAACGAGCACGGCGTGGGCATAGACTGATGAATACACTATGTGCTGTTGCGGTCTGCACACATGCAATTTTGTGGGCGACAAGGTACCGTTGGCGTGGCTCTAGTGTAGGTGAGAGTATCTGTACGTTTTTGGTCCTGCATGCGGATACGAACAAGTTGCGACGACTACTGCACTTGTGTATGGACTTCCTGTGTTTAACGATCAAGGATTTGGATAGGGGATAGGATGGGAAAGGGTCAAGCACAGGCACAGGCACAGGATACCCCGCAACTTATGATTCAAGCCGGCGTTAATCGGAATGTTCAAGGGATCATTGTCCTCCACAGCATGCTTGTTTCCCCACGTCGTGGTAACTCCTGTCGTCACGAGGCAAGCAAGTCACGAGTATCCTCTTAGTGGGCGCGCAAAGGGAACTGCAAATGTGGCGCACTAGATTGGTTGGTAACCTCGGCTATATCTGCGTCTCGCGACGAGGACGATCCCGAAAGTGGGGTTCAGAAGCCCGGTTGTAAGGATAAGGCACACGGAGGAGACCGCAGCAATAGCTTGTGCCCAAAAAGGCTGCTTATAATGATAAAAACCAAGAGCTCGCCAACCGAGGACTCTGGTTTCTTCCCCTTTGAATGCAGCTCCAGAAAGCCCGGTTCTCAGTCATAACGCCCATATAGAGAGATACGAAGAAAGATACCGAGAAAACCGCATCAACGGATCAGCCAACGAGGGCCAGGCCTCCCAACATACAAAAACCCTCCATCACACCACCGAGCGGTACTCTCATGCCACATTCTTCCGAGCAGTCGCCGAGCATTTCAGCATCGTATTGAAGCGAGAGAAGATGAGGTTGACATATGGGGGTAGGAAAGTAGGGTTTGGCTCCAGCAAATATTCGCGAAAAAGAGGCGGATAAATTCGTCAATCAGGGGCGAGGGTCTGTTGGTGTTCATGTCGATTTACCGCGTGCGTTCGAACCAGCCACTGGAACCGGCGATAGCGACCGACTGATCCATCACCCACTCGCCAACACCCAGGTACTTGTCGATCCACTTCGAAACGTCCTTGTTCTCGCCGGCGGCTCTGTCCGTCTTGAAACTGGGTCTGGCGGTTCCCAGAATGGGCACACGTTAGCTGCGCTGCCTCTATCTGCCTTGTGTGTCCGAGATCAATATTCGCATCGGAGGGCACCCAAACTCACGTCAGGCCGGTTGATCGCTTCATGCCAGCGAGGAAGGCAGAGACTGAAGAGGGAGCTGAGTGTTAGCCCACGGATCGATATGCACACGACACAACATAATGGGAGAAAGAGGGGGTGAACCAACAGAGCACTGCATCGAATGCGTAGTGTGTCAAACGTCCAATCTTCGACCACAGGCCCAGAGTCAGCAAGTTAAGGAGCTAGGAGGAGGTTAAGACTGCGCAAAGCAATGTCGAAGCTAGGCAGCAGGCGAGCGAAGCACGAGGGCGGGCTCGCCAACAGCCAGGCAAGGAGGCTGAACCAACCATTGTGGAAGTCGTAAGGGGAAAAGGTCTGTTCCGATGGTTTCTTCTTTTCTGTTTTTGGTCGTCCCTTTGTGGGGTGGAAGCGATTTTTTTGATGAGCGTTTCGAGGTTGCAACGGTATTGAAGAGGCGGTCGGTCTCGCAGGAGAAGGCTACGGTCGGAGGGTCGGTCGGGTGATTGTCATGGGACAAGCTTGCCTGACGCGGGAGGTGTGGGCACTCAAGGTTGGAGACCCCACGGGCCACGGCTGACTGGAAGCGTCAGGTGCAGCAAGTGTGCAGCAGCGGCGGCGGCGGTTCAAGTGGACTGTGCGTATCCGATCGGCCTCAGGCTACCGGGCCGCGACACATGCGGGTGGGGTCTTTCTGATAAGGGGGCGCGATAAGGGACATTGGTGAGCAGCTGTGGCAGGTACCTCTCCCAGTGGTTGAAGTACCTCCTCACCTGTCTGGAGCAGCAGCTTTGTGTTTAATGGGAACCGAGCTCCGAGTCGTGTCGGGGGGCCATGCTCGAAGCTCCAGGTCCAAGTGGAGAGGGAAAGCGCTTAGCTAATGCAAGCCTGAAGCTCCCTTTTTTTTCTTCATATTTTTTGGGGAGTGTTTTGGTTTTCTTGGAGTTACGACCGCCCCTTCCCCCACGATACCTAGTGCCTTTCCCATTATTCCCTCCCGCCACCCCTGCGACTGATAAGACACGGGGGAAAGAGGGCGAAATGGGGGAACACGACTCGGACCCCGAGTTATCGAGACAGTTTGATTCGCGTCACCACCAGCTCGGATTGGCTTGCACCATCGTCATGTCCAAGGGACGGTGGACCACACCACCCACACCGGGTTAGTTGGAACCTCAGTGCTGGCTGGGCTTTTGCTCCTCCGCGGCACAAGTGTGAAGTGAAAAGGCCCGACGGTTTACCGGCGGTGGTCCACCTCTGCCTCATCAGCATTTCCATTTCCCGGCCATGTCAGATCAAGGTTACCCGATTCTGTGGACGGGAGCCACGGACAAATGCATTGTTACCAATTGCGATTTTCACGAGAGCAGGCATGTCGAGTGGATCAGGGTGTTTCTCCGCCCAGCAGCAAACGCCTTTTTGTCCTCTTTTTTTTTCCCCCTCTCTTTTTTTAGCGGAAGGAGGGGCATTTTTTTGAGGGGTCGGCGGTCCGGGCTGGCGTTGCCATTCCATTCGCGTTGGCGAGGTCCAAAAAAAAAGAGGGTAAAGGTTGTGTGTGCCCAAAGCATGAGGTCCAGTTTGTTGAGTGTTTGAGGCTTTAAAACCCGCCCAGCCCGAGGAACGCTGGACCAGGCCCGGAGCTCCGTGTCAGAGTCGGAGTGCAAGTGCAAGTGCGAATGCAAACGCAAGTATATTCGTACGGCGGGACGCGCGCGCGCGAGAGAGAGAGAGAGAGAGAGAGAGGAATAGAGAGAGAGGATGAAAAGAGAGGAAGGCCAAAAGGCCGAATAATCTTCACGAGGCCATTGATTGATTGATTGATTGACCGATCGGAATCCCTCATCATCCACCCCCTTTCATCCAGCCAATATCCCTTCCATCTCTCTCACTTTCTCGACCTATTGCTATCACAAACCACATAACTCTATCGACTTTTTGCGTACCCACACTCTCGCTCTCTCACTCAGTCACTTACTCGACACGCTCGGGCGTTGAAGAAACCAACAAATAGCTTGGCTTCAGCGAGTGGATCAAACTCATTGTCAGGTTGCGTTCCGTTCCGCTGCGTTGCGGTGTTTGCCCCTTGCTGTTTCTGTTGCTGTTTCTGTTTCCTCGACAGCTTCTATTTATTCTGCTGCCATTGCCCTGGCCTTGTCAAACCTCACTTCATCTCTCCTCGCCTCACCTCGTCTCACCCTGCATTGCCTCACCATGCTCCTGGCAGCCTTGGTATGTATCTTATTCTATTTAGGTACACCTTGTGCGGCCCCGTGTAGTCACAGCCGTACTTTTTGCCTTATTGGTCGTCCGTTCCAGCTGGCGGATGTGCTTGGCGGGAAGGCGAGGTAAGAACAAGATGGGGCGGTCCATGCCTCTCTCTTTCACTCTCCCTCTTCTCTCTGCCAGCCGTTGTTAGATATGAGACGAGGTGCGCGGTGAGGAGCGGACGAGGGTGCTGTCAGAAGCACCTCACCACGCTCACCTCATGTTGGTGGGGGCCCATGTTCGTAGGTACCTGCCCACGGACTAGGATTGAGAACTCAATCACCACACTGTGGAGACTCTCACCTCGATGCACGGACCATTGCGTTGAATTGAGGGGCAACCACGTCCGCGTTGTGGTCCCCTCAGCAGCTTTCCCACCAGAGCAGGGAAGTTCAACGAGGGGCAAAGCGCGGCGGCCACCAGAAGGGGAGAGAGGGGGAAAGAAAAGAAAAAAAAAGAAGCACCGACACCACCGCCGAGGACTGAGAAGTACCACCAGCCAGTCCAGGTCAGCAACAGCTGCTACTGCACCACCGCCAGCACCGGCGGCGGGCACAGCTTCGTTCGTTTGGACCAGGAGCAAATTGTTTCTCGCCCTCTCCCCTCGTGTCTCTCTCGTCTCTCCTGTCTTGGTCTTCAACAAATACCTATCTGAGGCTTGCTGTGTTTCTGCATAAACCCTGCATTGGTGACCTTGACACCCGACAACCCCGTTGGTCTCTCGCTTTTGTTTCTATTAGTGTATCTCTCATCCACCTATATTGATTCCTCCGATCTACCCAGCACCCAGCTTAAACAACCTTGCCTCTTTCCCTCCCTCCCTATCCCTCCATCTCTTCTCGGCCACCCCACTCCCAGCAGGATTTAACAACTGCAGCAGACCCCTCCTCCTCGCCTCGTCTCTCTCGTCTCCAGCAGCCAAAACCTCCCAGCTTCATCTTCTCCCTCCCGACGACGACGTTTTTCTCTCCTTCCTCCCTCAACAACCCCGCCAAACCACAGACACTTCCCATAGACTCGCAATGGCTGCCACTGCCAAGGACCACCTCGATGTCGGCGGCAAGATCGCCTGGCTCTCTAGCCTCGACACCGCCTACCAGCCCGAGAAGAACTACCGCCGTTCTTCCATCATCTGCACCATTGGCCCCAAGACAAACTCTGTTGAGGCCATCAACGCCCTGCGCAAGGCTGGTTTGAACGTCGTGCGCATGAACTTCTCGGTAAGGCCTACCACTTCGTCCCGACCTAGATACCTCCCAAAATCCCGCACCTTGCTAACCCTTCCTCCCTCGTATAGCACGGTGGCTACGAGTACCACCAGTCCGTCATCGACAATGCCCGCGCCGCCGAGAAGGCCCAGCCTGGCCGCCAGGTTGCCATTGCCCTCGACACCAAGGGCCCTGAGATCCGCACCGGAAACACGAAGAACGATGAAGATCTCCCCATCTCTGCCGGCAAGGTCCTGAACTTCACCACCGACGAGAAGTACGCCACGGCTTGCGACACCGACAACATGTAATTAACCCCCTCTCTTATGCCTCCTCGCTGTTTGCCCCTCAGTACGCTTATCGCCCCTCGTTTGCAGGTATGTCGA